AAAAAACTAAAGCACTGAACTTCCTCAACAACTTATAAGAAAATTGAATATAAAATATAAATAAAAGAAATATGTTAAAATGGAATGAATACCAATTATTCTAACTTTTTTATAGCTAAATTTTAAGACAGAAATAATGAACGTCCCTAAAAGTTGAGAAAAAAGCATAGAGGAATTCAATCAAGTCGGAGAGAAAATTCAATTAGTTTGCATAATTAAATGAAAATGATGAAGCAAATTAGGAAGTCTGGCTTATTGCATTATGGGCAATCACAGCCTTTCAGTTCATATTGCAAACTCGAAACAGATAGATTTGATGAGTATCAGAATGGGCCGATTAAGCCATCCAAGCCAATGCTTGCTAACATTTGGTATTGATCCTATAGACCCGTAGGCCCCCTCCCCTCTCTCTCCCATTTATCACTTCGTATGTCTAGGAAGGTACCATCCGTGCATGTATTTGATTGTATCAATTTTCGTTCAACTTTTATCCAGTGCAAAAACTAAAATTGGCCTGTTATGTTATTTAAAGGCAGAATCTGATCTATAGGGGGTGACAAAATTACAAGCAACATGTATAATTGACCTGCCAATCTATTCCTTACGATATCAAATAAAATATCTTCCAAAAGATTCTCAATATGTTATAAATTGGTGAAGTTATAATGGATTCAAAGTGCAAAAATGGGTGAAAAATGTTTAAATTCTCCCAAATAATAAGATGGTAATCATTCTTATAGAAAAATAATACATTATTGTAAAAATCTTTAGTTTTCTTGTCTTGGAATAAGGTATGCACTTTTGTGATTTTTAGAAAATAGACATGACAAGGAATGACATGAGCCACACATATTCTAAAATTGAATCAATTTTGTTTTGCCTGCTCGCTATATCTGATTCTCTCTTTAAGAGGAATTAAGAACTGAGACTAGTTTTTTTAGAGCTGTGTTTAGGTATTATACAATTATAGATGTAATTTTGGCAATTGTCTGAATATAATTATAGAATATCTAGTTTTAAATGAAGATTAATGTCAATTACATTTACAGAATGCTACTCTTTCAAACAGTAATTCATTGTCTAAAAATCCTTGGGGACCTGTCATTTTCCGAGTTGTATATTATGATATGCTAGCTGAGTAACAGTCATCCATTAGTCTACTTAATATACCTTCAGAGATTATTAATACTCAGATGGGTCCATTAGTCTACTTTGCTAACCTTCAGAGATTATTTACAGAATTGTCCATTGAAAAAATAAAAGATGAGTTCCAGCATATCATATTTACTAATGATATATTTCAAGAACAAGTTCTAAGAAGATAGGTAGACTTGACAAGGCTTACATCTAGTTCAAGTTGAGTGATTTCAAGATTAATAAAGTTCTTTGTTATTTGAGTGCCTGTTGATGAATTCCCATTTTAAAACTGCAAAATAAAGTGAAATCAATAAAAAAAAACAAGGAACAAAACAAGTCGATTTGTAGAAAATATTCTAAATTTTATAAAAATGCTAAAAAATTTGATACTCCATTCAAATTGTAGAGAGAAAATGGGTGAAATATGCAAGAGCAGACGGACATCTGAATCAAGGAAAATGTACACAACTTCTTTTGTCAGAACTATCAGTAAAGTATATTCAGCCATAAATCACTTGCTGTCAATAAATCGTCCTACTCATTAGGCTGGAGATATTTCAATATCTTTTAGCAGAACAAAAACAATGTAGCCATATCCCATAAATCACTGCTTTGTGGTTGCTTTTATTACCATTGATTAAAAACTGGAAATCACAAAGTTTATCATTCCGAGAAATAATATTCCTCATAAATTCTTTGTTATCATTAACAGTGTTAATTATCCCCTGAAATCCATAATACCCTCGATAAAAAGGTAATAATGATAAATGCCTTTGTCTGAACAAATTTTAGGATATTTTTGTTAGGTTTTAGCAGTGGTTAGATTTAAGCATTAAGCAAGAAGCAGTTTGCTACAAAATTGATTATTTGCTACCTGAACGTGGCATTTTAAATTTGCTACCTTTTTCCAAATGGTAAATGGTGAATATTTACTCCTTGTCAAAAGCCCAGACACAGTGGAATAATATGCTGTGTTCCAAACTTATTCTTGTAATTGAAATTCCATGATATAAAAAAGGAAATTATATATTTTCTTAGCCTTTGGGAACTTGCAGATCACACTTTGTAACAACAGAGGAATTCTCCTAGTTTTTCTCCAGTGAAATATAAGACATTCAAGAATGGTAACACTCAGCTCTTCTCTCTGATCTTGAAATCAACTGCAGTTTCTGATATTTCTCTAAAATCTTGAGCATTCTCTACATGTCTGCAGGCCTGTAGCCAGGATTTGCCAAGGGGGGGTTCACATTTGACAATTTTGGCCCAAATATGGCTAAAATCACTTGAGAAGTGCTCAAAATGGTGAAAAACTGCATGAATTTGAAAGAATCTTTGGTCAGGGGGGGTTCACCCCCTTCCTCCCCTGGCTACGGGCCTGCGTCTGTCTGTTTTATTCCGTGCTGGTACCTCTCTCTTCCACTCTATTCTGCAATTGAAAACTCAACCACCATTCAGTTTTTAGTCATGGGAGAAGATATCAGATGATTTGAAAATATATGCTAACTGGGCATTCCATGCTGTTAATCTGTGTTAGATTCACTTTGATTTCAGTTTGGTACAAGGTGTGATGATTATTTCCTGGTGAAAAAAATATTTTTTGGGTATTAGGCATGGTTAAGTCTCAAGGTTAAAGAAACAAATATAGTTTAAATGTCAAAAGTTTGTTGAGAGTTTCAGGCTGATCTCTCGCCAGGAATTTTATCAATTTTGAAAACTAAGCAGCCAGCTTTCCAAGACGGATTTGTAATGCTTAGTTATTTATTCATACGTTTTATAACTAAAAGACTTGATGGTATGTTAAAAGCCACAATCAGATTTGAAAAGTGCTTAAAAGTAAGGTTAGGGGAGATTAAAACCTGCATATTTATGGTAGAAAAACTTGGGCGGGGAAGATAGATTTGTTTTGTTTCAAGCCAGTGATTCAAAATCAGCCATCAGTCACAAAATAAATGTAAGTTATAAAAGTACTGGAAGAAATACACTAGTATTCTCATATACAAATGTTGCCTTAAAAGCTATTTAGTCTTATAGACTCCCTGGAGTCTGAATTCACATATATAATCTTTCAGGAATTAGCTCTGTAAATGCATATTTTCTAGTTTGGATTTGAGCTAAATGATCTGAAATCCAGTATGAAAGAACCTTAGTTATATGGCACCAGACTATTTAACCCTTTAACATACATAGTATAAAAACAGGTATAGAAGCAGGAATTTAAGATTGTGGAAGGTCTGGAAAGGGTTAAGGAGCTAGTAATTATTTTTAGAGTAATCTATCTTAGGTGTGAGATTCTTTAGAAAAAACAAGACTTTGTTTAATTGTTAAACTTGATAGAGTGAAGGAGAATGTTATGCCTTTCAGAGACTGTTTTATACATTTTTCTGATGTATGTGTATTTGTTCAACAGTATCCTTTACTTAAAGTGGCACCAAAGAAGGGGGGGGGTTAATTTTAAAAAGCCATGTGTTGTTGCCTATGCAATTCTAAATTTTATTCCTGAAAAAATTGAGATACTTGATCCAATGTAACTAACAATATGCCATTTTTAAATATTTTAGCTTGTGATAAGACATACACCCACTAGGGTGTCATTATCACTTATATGTATATATGTTTATATGATTTTAATAAATAAAAAAAAATAAAAATAAAAAAAGATAGAAGTTACGACAGATTGCATAAATTTATAAATTAATTTGATTTAAAAAGGTCCACTTTTTCTAAATATATTGCCAAATAAGCTCATCAAATCAAGCTTTATATCTTAGGCATATAACAAAGGATGCTATATGTAAAAACACTAAAAATCATTTTTTTTATTTATAAAGTTATCCTCAGCTAATGTATTTATCATTTGTTGCAAATTTAATATGAACATTTTCACCATAGTAATCTTTGGTTTCACTTTAAATTCTGAAATATAGATTAACATGCTGTCTTGGATGGATAAATAAAAGCTAAATATAGCAAAGAATTATTTCATAATTTATCATCTCAACTGGTACTTCTTTTAGAATATTGGCTGACCTGCGAATAAACTTCAAGATGGTCATGTTTTCAAATTCAAAATAGAGTGGAAAAGAGTGGAATCAGCAAGGAATAAAGTAAATAGACATGTAGTTAACACTCTAAATTGTATAAAAATGCCACAAAATAGAGCTCTTCAGTCAAATTTTAGAGAGAAATTGAGTGAAATAGGCGGCTATAAACATAGCAGCCGGGATATTTTAGAAAAGAAAACTTGTGTATTTTATCTTGAAGTGTTGAAAGCACCTGGGTTTTCAAGATTTATTAGTCGGAACTTATCCAAATCATGTAACCTTTCACAAGTCCCTTACATAATCAAGCGAAAAAATGGAAAAAATCCTGGGTATGTAGACAACGTGTCCTCTAAGCCTTCTCTCTTTTAAAGAAAATCTATTTTTGAATTGATTTATTTTTGTTGTTGAATTGAAGTTAGTATTACGTATAAGGCTAATTATTGCAACAAAAACATTAAGGTAGGCCTTGAAGAATGTTATTTTGCACGTGACATAGCTATACAAGCCAACCATGTAATTTAATCTACAAGTTCTGCTTTAATAATTTGGTTAGTCATTGGAATTAATTATTTGCAATAGTAAGCATGTCATCAATCAAGAACAGCTTGTATATTGTTTACTGCTATCATTTTTGTAATCATTATTTGGCATTGGTATTCTGAAGTTCTGTGACAAATCGTTACACTGTTGTAACTTACCATGTAGTTACATTTTTACAATTGTCATGGAAATGCCGTGTATGATATGAGCCAACTACCCATCCACCCACCTCTCCCTCACTTAATACTCCATTTTCTCAATTCATGTTTTCTCTGCTTTCAGTTGATTGTCTACTATGTTATTGCGATCCCTGTGATGGGCCCCGTGTGCGAGGCAACAATACTTGCGAAGCTCCACCCCTAGCTAAATGTTTCAGTTCAGTCGCAGCATCCCCTGATGGCGGAGAAGACATATACAAGTTTGGATGTCTGCCCGAAGATGAGGGGACAATATTATTGGTTAGTATAAATATATCTAAATCACCATAATGTTTGCTATTTATACTATCATTACTTCAGTATATTTTGATCCCAAAGTTCATGTACTTCAATTTTTTTTTGACATACACCTTTATAACAGTGGTTCACTGTCATCCATTGTATAAGAGGGCCGAATTACATTCATTTATAAAATATTAAAGTATACAGCCTATAATTTTTAACTAAAATAATGATAGTCATGGTATACCAGAATATGGTATATGTACACATCTGTTCAAAACTTTTTGAAACAATTATCTAACTATTTCCCCATTTTGTTCCGTCATATAATAAAAACATCATCCCCTAGTTACCTAGTATATATCATACCCTAAGGTCATGGTGTATTTGTAAAAACCCTGACGCTAAAAGAGCTTCGCATGTTTTTTTAACTTTATATTCTGTGTCTTTCGTTTTGTTTGTTTGTTTATTCATTCAGAATTAGTTTCTCATTGAAAATATTTTCCTGTTATCATCTCTTTTACCGTCTTAGACATGGGTGGTGAAAACCGCATAGCAACAGGCGGAAAACATGTTATTCACTCCATGAGAACATACACAAAATGGCAGGCAGATTTTACAACACAGGTGGTCGAATTTGCAGCACCTGAAAATGAACAAGCTGATTATTATTCAATTTTAGGATCTGAGCGGTCTGATTACAATAAGAATTGAGGAAAACAAAAAAGAAATAGACTAATTTAGAGTTCAATTTTGCTTGCATGTTTAAAAATAACAAACTGCCATACACATGTTATTATTGAATTGGAAGAATCGTCAATTCACCATATTGATGAAAATGAACCAAAGATTATATCATGGAAAACTCCTTTCTCCTTTCTTTAAACATGCAAAATATTTGTGATTTTCTTATTTTCAAGTGGGTACAAAATGCAAATAGGTTTTCATATAGTTACAAGCCTGTTTTCCAAATCTTAAGTGGGTGCTGCGCCCACTTGCTTCAACGCTGGGGTGATCACTGGAAAAGCACAATAAACCCCCAAGAAAGAAATCCCTGAGAGAAAACTCAAAAAAATGAAACTGTAATTGAATCACACTGTTGGCATCAGTAGAGAAAATAACATAAGAAAATCTCACTGTGTTCATAAAATAGATTTATGCCAATAAATTACAGTGCAATGGGAATGATCTACAATTGCTATTATCATGTTGTCTGTCGGCTATTTTTATAACAAATACAAGCATGATTGATTGACTGTGCAGATTAGCGAATATTGGTATGGTTCACAATTGTTTTTATAATCCACAGACAATAATGTACCATTGATTCAAGTAGTTAAGCTCTTACACTCAGAGTGACTGAGGTTTAAAAAAATTGGGAGCTCAAGATACATTGTGATATCAATATCAATATCGATGTTTTCAGCTTATTTGATGGAGAATAGGGATGTTGAATCACATCATCAAATCCATATAGAAAAATTGATGTGTTTTCAATATTAGATGAGATACGCTTTCGGTTATGAAATAACCCTGCTATTTTTGTCAGTGTTTTTAAATGCCCATCATGTCCTCATGCTTTATTTTATGCTTGGTATTTCTTCAGAATAATATTCCAGAAATTCATGGATTCATTAAAACTTTAGACTAATTATTCTTAAGATATTTTAGAGTAATCCACGTGAATGGTTCAAATTCATTCTAGGGACGTTATAGAATTTGGTGACATTATTTAATATTTAACAGAGAGATCATGGGTAAATATATCTTAAGCTCTGAAGCTTAAGAAATGTCAAGATGTGACATGCTTGTTTCATTCTTGTATTTGCATAAAGAGAAGCAATTGGTTTTCTTTAAATGTAATGTTCAGGCTAGCTTGAAAAAAAGAAATAAACTTATTTTTATTAACACTTTTATGTATCATTATAACACTACCAGAAGTGACATATTGTTATAGTCTTCAATTTTTTGTGGATGATGTTTGGCAGTTGGTGTTCGGCAGTCAGTGTCTGAAACAAATGGCAGGTAGCGACATGGTCTATCCTGTCAATGAACGATAATATTTGGACAGTGGAGATTCTGAACAGTCAAAAATTCTTTGTCAAAAATACGAGAACTCACCATATGAGCACTCTTGGTGCCATTTTTCAGTTTTGGCTGCCTTTTAATAGATTCCAAGATTAGCTTCATTACAAAATCAATAACAAGAAATAAAACCCTATTTGCATATACTGTTATTGCATGTTAATATGTATCATAGTGATTAATTGTTATTGCATGTTAATATGTATCATAGTGATTAATTGTTATTGCATGTGATATGTATCATAGTGATTAATTGTTATTATTCTCTTGTAGTGCCATGGAGGCAATGAAGTCAACCATAAGGTACCCAAGCACATAATATGCTGCAACAGCACCAATCTATGCAACGAACATCTCATCCCACAGTATAAAGTACAGCCCCCTACCCCAACAAGTAAGCACAACGCTTTCTCATTTAAATGAACTTGATATAATGTTTATTGCATATATTATTACTAAACTATCAGTATTTATTGATGAGTATGCGCAAATGCCAACGAGGAAGTACCAAAAATTGCAACCAAACTCAGCATATTGTGAATTACAGATAGCCTTGTATCGAGTCTTCCCCTCCCTCTCACACGGGATTTAGTCTAATTGAAGTAAAAATTTAAAATTCATATCAATTCTCAAACCTTGTCAGAATAAATGTGCACAAGTACTAGTGGAAAAGTAAAAAATGTTTACAGTACACAGCAAGAAAAAAAATCAACAGAATTATAAACTGTAATACATGTTTATTTCACTGAAACTTGCTTTCGGGATACAATTCTTCAATTACCATTCATTTCAAATGACAACAAAATCTGAAATTGCAAATGCATCAGTACACAAATTACAAAGGAATCCAGAATTGTGATAATGACAATTAGGAAATCAACATGTTTGTCAGTGCTAATTGAATGTATTAATGATGTACTTTGTTGTGTTAAATGGATTTTTTATCTTGTAAAGTGTACATTATGAAATTAATGTGATGTAACATCTTGTCTCAACTAATGATGCAAATCGGTGTTTTTATCAGCTCATATTCATTGCAACTTCACATTATATTGAATTGTTTGATTCTTCATGAGATATCACATTCAGCAATATCCAGTAGTAGATAACATTTATTGCATTGCATGTTGAAGTTACGTTAAAGGTTTAAAAAATCATTTTTGGAATATTATATTAGTCCAGAGTAAAAATTATATTTTTGAATTTGCTTTATATTGTAATGTTATGTATCCAAGATATGATGATAAATTTTTATGAAAAAAGTACATTTACTTTAAAATATTTCTTGTAGGTTTTGTTCCAGAGAAGTACCGCTCCAACGAACATGTTACCCAGATTGCATTGCTCATCTCCGTCACCGTGTGTTTTGTTATTCTAATCATCACAGTTACATTTATATATTTAAGGTATGTTTAAAACATCTTTTTGTTTTATTTTTTAAAATTAATAATCATAAGTAAGAGGAGGGAAAACCCCATGATTCAATTGATGACATACAATTTCCTCCTTCGCGCACCTCCTTTTGTCAAAAACGTACCCTCCATCTTGGTTTTCAAAGTTTTCAAATTGACCTAGTTTTAAACCAATCAACGACATTATAAGCGTATGTCATCTTTAAACCCTGGAGTTTCTCCCCCTCTTATCGTAAGTGTCTTTTTTCAAACTGCAAATATGTGGGCACTGATGCCAATTTGGAATTATACTGAAATGTGTTAAAAAACAGTTCGAAAAGAAAAACCAGTTTGAAGGAACAATGACCCAACATACAATGAAATCATGCCTTCTGCTCCCTTTCATTCACCATTCAGGAACCAAACATAGAGTGTGCCAAGAAAGTTCATTATCTTTTTTGAAAATTCTCATTCATATACAGTAAAATGTACAAAATGGAGCACCTACAGTAAAATGTACAAAATGGAGCACCTACAGTAAAATGTACAAAATGGAGCACCTACAGTAAAATGTACAAAATGGAGCACCTACAGTAAAATGTATAAAATGAAGCACCTCCATAAGTAGACTCTGTTGCCCATAAACTTGGCATAAAAGGATCTTTGTAAGCCTCTAAATGGAACACTATTTTTAATTATTATTTTTTAATTAATATTATTATATACCCAATATGTAACACTAATCCTGATTGGTCAATACCTAGTCACGTGTTCCGAAATAGATTTACTATTTCCCTCGGAAAGTTATATTCCCTCAAATGTGACGTCAGCGGGAATATACATTTGAACTATTGCCCGCTGACGTCACAATTGCAAGTTCTATTACCCTTGGAAACGTCTGCGCATCATCACTGCGCAGACGAAAAACAGAAAAATGGAGGATGAGCACAAACACAAATCAACTCCGTTCACCATGACAGACGTGCGTGAACGATACAATATAAGCAACGTGTATAAAGTTCCCTAAGCTCAATACGTCTGTGTAATTTCAAGTGTTATGATAATCTATTCCGCGTGTTAAACGCGATTGAATTTGTCAAATGAGAGTCTCAGAGGCAAAAATTTCTGTTGAGCATCTGATGAAGTCACAGCTTATAATGCTAACAATGGACCCGGGGAGGGGGCTTTCTAAGCCTTTTTGGCCTTCGCAGAGGAAACGGGACAAGAGTCAGTATAGGGTATATAATAAAACAAATAGTGACTGCCTAATTTCGAGCAATAGTGTAAATGATTTCCCCTTGGGAATATCCTCTACAATGTACTATTCCCTCAGCCTGCGGCTTCGGGAATAGTACATTGTAGAGGATATTCCCTCGGGGAAATAATTTACACTATTGCCCTCAATGGCAGTCACTATTTGTATATTGTTATCCCATCGAACGAAGTTCGGAGGGATATAGGGAACGCCTCCGTCCGTACGTACGTCCGTCCGGGCAATAACTCAAATACCGTTGGCCCGATTTTGTTCATATTTTGTACACATATACCCTATGGGGGTAGAAGTTCTGCTCGAAAGCCAATTTTCAAAATGGCCTCTCATTTCAAAATGGCTGCCATTTTAGTGCCGAATTTACAGTAATTTAGGTGCAATATGTAAAACTGTAATAGCAATATGTTTTAGATGTAAAAAAATTATATAGGACATTAATAAAGCTAGAAATGTAGATATTAAAGAAGCACATGGCAGCCATCTTGAAAAATGGCGGCCTTTACTCGTTATTTTACGATTTTTGCTGTAACTCGAAAAGTAGTAGAGCGATTTTGTTCATATTTGGTATGTGAATACTATCAACATTGCACACTGTCTAAAGACACTTTTGGTTTAAAATGGCCACCATTTTAACGTATTTTACTATAACTCGAAAAGTAGTGGAGCGATTTTGTTCATATTTGGTATGTGAATACTAAAAGCATGACACACTATCCTATGACACTTTTAGTAGAAGGTGGCCATTTTGAAAAAAAATTTGAAAATGGCCGCCATTTTAATGTATTTTATAATAATTCGAAAAGTAGTGAAGCGATTTTGTTCATATTTGGTATGTGAATACTATAAGAATGGCAAATGGTCTAATGACACTTTTGGTAGAAGGCGGCCATTTTGCTATATACTTTGTTTGTAAAAATGCCATCCATGGCTGTTCGATGGGATTCGCTACGCTTTGGCGTTGCCGTTGTTCTGGTTGCTAACTGAGACCACAGATATTTTGTTTTTGAGACTCAAGTTACACGTAAGAGATCATCCATATTTTGTAAAGGCTAGATAGCCATAATCAATATATCACAAGAATTAAATCGTTACCATCCATCTTTCAAGAGGGCTTAATTATGACCATCCATATTTTTTGTAAGGGCTAAATTTTGGTGCTGTAATATTTCATTAGGGTTACCTGAAGATATGTAAACTCTTGTGTGTAGTATGTCATTAACTTATGACCCCTACCACATACATCACCTCCCCTTGGAGGCAAACTGTGATGTTTTAATCAGCTTTTTATGGAAATTTATTTGTTAATGTGTGATGCAGACAGAGGCGGCATGTGAAGAGTTATTTTGTTGTTTTTTTGGAAGTGTCAAAAGTTTTGGTGTTTTTTTTCAGTAGATTAACTGTATTAAGTTATATATTATGTGAATACATATACAGGAAATCTTGCTGTGTATTTATAAATCACTTTATGTATAAATTGATAATAGAAATATAATACAATATATATGTAATACAATACAAAACAATACAATACAATGTAATACAATACAATTTAATACAAAACAATACAATACAATACCATACAATGTAATACAATACAATACAATGTAATACAATACAATATAATACAATACAGTTCAATACAATACAATACATTACAATACAATACAATACAATACAATACAATACAATACAATGTAATAAAATACAATACTGATCCCATGGAATTGGCTTTTCCATCATACAACCCACAAGACAGTTTCTTGTAGAATCTGTCATATCATTTTGCGGGAAACTTGGCGGAAGGGTTAAAGTTAAAACAATACTGAATGTTCAGAATGGATGATTACTCATTATGCCAACACCATCTTAAAACAATCAGCGTAACACATAAATCACAGATCATTTTTAATCATGCATAATAAATAATACCCACTGACGAATTACTCTGCGTTAATCTACGACTTCATTAATAAGGGAACCACGCTTGAGTATAAATCAATTCTACTTGAACATTGAATATACCCACTGATAAAATATATCAATGGTTTTGTACAAAAATGCAAAATAAAGCCAAAAGAACCAACACAAAATAAAGCAAATAGTCATTTAGTAGAGTCCCTTTATTGTATAGAATATTTTATTATATAGAATTTATCAATTAAGTCATTTTATTGACATTTTTCGAGAAAAGTGGTGTGAAGTATGTATGGTTGGAACGATACTTCAGCCTTTGATAGTGTTTCTATATTTACTTTCTATTATATATCTTACGAAGGTATCATATGAGAGGTATTGTGATTTGTATCGACCATATACCATTAAATTATTAAATAAAACTCGTTTATGGGAACCCTTTTCAGTCCTTTTGATGTCCTGTAGGTGGTATTGGTATTACAGTTATCAAATAAATGTTTTCAATCTTTGTTAACATTAAACACCAATTAAAAGACCTAATGTTATTTCTCAAATTACTAATTCAAAGGTTTATCTATTGATAACGAATATATGATGAATATTAAACTTTTTATTTTGCCATTTTCACAAATTTTATATCTAGAGTTCTTGAATCTCTCTATTATACAAGCAAAACGCCAAAATATTTTCTCTGTTTTTGACATGAAATTTTGTCTGTTTCAGATATCGCAAGCGGGAAGTACGACGTCAGCAGTACCTCGAAGAGGCTGAACAATGTGATGCCGGGTATATACCTCCCGGCGAGACGCTCAAGGACCTCATCGACCACACACAAAGTTCCGGCAGTGGTTCAGGGCTCCCTCTTTTGGTAAAATATTGCACTGACATTAATTTTCAATATCTCAATTTATGGTTGTCATTTTTGGTAGAAAATAAAAAGAAACTGATTTTAAGTTCAATCTGTGTCAGTTTTTGTGTTTTATTCACGTCTTGAGCGTGAATGCATCTGTCTTGATTGACAGGTGATTGACAGGTAATTTTTCCATCAAAATTTCCAGGAAAATTGCTTACCTGTTTAACTTGAAACGCAGACTAATGCCATTAAGTTTTAGGCATTTTGGGAAAATTATTTTTTCAAACTGTGACATTTATTATTGTTTGTCTTTTTAAATTAACATTTTCATGTACTATGTTTATTTAATCCAATGATTTAATGATATAGAAAACAGTAAAAGAAATCCCTCATTTTTTGTTTTAGGTGCAAAGGACCATAGCCAAACAGATTCACCTGGTGAAAAGTGTCGGGAAAGGTCGCTATGGGGAAGTATGGAAAGGAAAATGGCGGGGAGAAAGTGTGGCCGTCAAGATTTTCTTCACAACAGAGGAGGCTTCCTGGTTCAGAGAAACTGAGCTCTACCAAACTGTTCTCCTGCGTCACGAAAATATACTTGGTAGGTTAACTTTACATATTATATTTAGCACGGATTTTTCCTTTATGTCTTCAAATAAAACTTTGAGGATTTTGGGCTCAGTATTCCTACATTACGTAAATATATTTTATAGGACTGGTTAGATTTAGAGATTTGAAACGGATTAATGTTTATTGTGAAAATTATATTCTGAGATATTTATATCTGTGGATGTGATTATTGGTCAGTGTTGCGAAATCAAAAATAGTTATGCAAATTCTAATTAGCTAGGGAGGATGTGAACAAACTTAAACGCATAAAGTGCACTATAATATATTACAAAAACCAAGAAATATTTGAAACAAAAACAGGGGCCTAGAGTAATATTTTAACGTTCCAAGTAATGAATAATGACTCTGATACATTCTTTCTTTTTAAGTCCTAATTCCTAATTAGCGACTCTTCTTTCATCTCGTTACCATGAAGAGGGAAACTTGGTATTAATCTTAAAGGCAGGAAGTAAACTGTTTCAAGCACTAATTATCAGTCATATATCATAACCTGTCCCAATTGTGTAGATGCTCTCTTAGAGTGATTTAGAACCACTGGGGTATGTTCATTTCACGCAAATTTTCAGTAAAATATGACATTGATTGATTTTTGTTATTTTTGTACAATTTAGAGATAGGTTCTTGTCAGTTTACTTTATTCATCGCTATTTCCTTTCAGTGCTACACTATTTTATATTTTGAAATATCACCAAATTTTCCATCTTGGATTGCGTTTTAATGCTTCTTTGTGAAGATTTACAATAGTTATACAACAAAATTTCAAAAAATTGAGTCTATTCCTCCTTCTTTGCTATTATCTTTATATGTTATTTCAATAATTTTCACTTTTATTGAGGGATGCCTTTTTTACATGAGGATACCCGTCTAAAGTCATGACATGTTAGATTTTTAGGCAATGCTGTACAACTTAGAGTTTTGACTCTACATCTGTATACTTGAAGCTCATTTCACTATTTTCCAGTGTACATGTTTTGCATTTTACAACATGATGATGATAAGAATGGCAAGATTTTATTGTTCACCTATAGATTCAAATATGGAGGGGAGTAAATCCTTTTAGGTGATTCATTTGTGAAAGACTTTCCATTACCATTCATCTTCATTAGTCAACTTGGCTTTAAGGCTTTTAGACACATTTGGGATGTCAATTCAAGCGCACTTCCTCCCTTTGCACTTTTGCTTTTTATTCTCGTCTCTTGTCACTCTTACGATAATACATTGGAATTCTTCGATTTGTTTAGCTTTTCTAAATTTTTGGTGCAGATGCCACGGGGAAAAATCTGTGGAGATATCAACTGTCCATCTTTTGAACAAGTAGAAATAACTCAAATGACATTGGTCCAATTAAGCTAATATGATGTAAGACTTCTCCTATTATTTCACTTCCTTTGATGTTAGCTGTAGTTACACGTACAAAGCGTTAAAAGGTTTCATTTGGGGGAAAACTAAACCTCATGTATTTTTAATAAATGTAAGCTTCAACCTTGATTAGGAAGTCTATAAAGTCCATTATAAATCTATTTACTTTCAATTGTACATTATTCTGTTAATAAGCTTTTAACTGGAAAATTATAGAAAAACAGCTGTCATGTTTGTCTTGTAAATTGTTATGTAAATAATACAATCTCATAAATAATATGCCTGTCATTTATCATATTTCAGTGATTAAAGTAAATATGTATACAGATTTTCAATCAGATGGCTCTCTTACAAAAATATTGTCGTTTCTATTGGAATTTACATCTGCAAATGTTTTGGAAGGATTAAAACACTTAAGATGAAATGGTTGACGTTATAATGTTCATGAACTTTTCTGAACCATCTAGATGACAGTATTTTATGTCAATGTTTTATTGATTTTATGCCACTGTATGAAATTTGAATGAATGACTTTATTATTGTTATTATTTATTTATCATCCTAAGAATACTATATCGATTATGGGTTTTCTGGCTGGGAATAAGTAGAATCAGCCAAATTGAAGAAGATATATAAAAATATTCAATAAATATAATTTGTTTGTGGGAGTACAATGAACTACTGAACATACACCATTGCTCATAAATACGGAATATTTTCCAATTTTCCCTTGATTTTCAATGCCCTGTCAAATTTTAATGGATGTTGATTTTTTTAATATCTTTTCATAGACTGGTCTGGAAAGACAATATACTGATTTTTGTGAAATGACCAATATTCCATATATTTGACCAATAGTGTAATTTCTATACAAATTAGAGATTTCAGATGATTGCCTATACCTTATTCCTTGCTCTTGCCTCACCATTTCCGGGTACAGTAAAACCTATATACATGTAACACCGTCTATAATAGCCAAAATGATTCTTGGAGAGAGAGGTGTTCCATCAGACAAGTTTTACTGTATTTGAGATTCTGAATCATGTCTGTGAATAACAATTAAAGTTTTCCCATTGCTACCATCACTAGTGAAGATTGATATTGGCTAAATAATTAATGACAATCCATCAAATCTTACATCTCAAACATCCGTCTGCTTTTTCGTATTTCACGTCATTTCTCTCTAAAATTTGATTGAACTGCCAAATTTTTTTACATTTCTATATAATTAAGAGTCTACACATCATGCCCATATAATTTATTCCTCGTTAAATCCATTCTTTTCCATTCTATTTCGCATTTTAAAACATGACCGTCATGATATTACTAAGAAGGGAATGATTGATTTGAAATCGAAGAAGCTACTTTGATGTTATGTTGTATTGTATTGAATATTTGTTTACATATGTTTTTGTATGTTGTTAGAGATAAGATGTCAGCACATCAATGTTGATGTCATGTTAATAGTGTTATTGCTCATCATGTCATTGTTCATCATGTCAATGTTCATCACATCAATGTTCATTCAAACATGAATGCTATATTTATACTCCATATTTGACATATTAAATCAAGTCCAAAACCCTCAAGCAATTCAATTTCATCTATTATTTGGTTTTGATCTAATTGTTACCGTTATTGTCAAGTCAATGTTATTAGTTTTACCAAACCTAACATAATTAAGTTGATATTTCTGCCTGTTACATTTCTCAGAAACCGGATTACTTCTTCTTAGGTCATCTGTAGTACAGTATTTTCATAATTCATCCATATTATCCGATTTGTGCCGAAAACTGTCAATAAAAATTCTTTATTATTGTTCGTAATAAACTATTCATTTCCCAGTTTTACCAAGCAATTTCCGAGCTGGTGATTGCCACTTTAGAATTGTTTAATAAGGTGTCTGAATCCACATACATTATTGTCGTCTGCTTTCACTCTTTCATGCTTATTTTGTGACGTTTCTCTCTTAAATTTGAATGAAGTTTTTTATTTTAATACATTTTTATATAATTTAGAGTGTTTTCTTCATGTTTATTTTGTTTATTCATCAAAAACTTATGTTTATTCCAATGTATTTTGCATTTTTAAATCACAGCTATTTCATTGTTGACTGTTGCAATTTTTGTCAGCTTTTCAATTGTGAAATCAATTGGGTGTCACAATTTATCCATCAGCCTCTGCACCCAGACCCCCAGAGTTAGAGAAAGCTACTTTTAATTGATTTTTAGCCGATAGAAAAATGTATCAACTGGATTGGTCTGTTCTGGAATTCGATTTAGACCAGAAGATCTAAATAGTGACCGCTCTTATGATACACTCTGTACTGAACTTGTTTAATTGAATTCACAGCATGTGGTTTTCAGAAACACTGTTCATTTCATTGAGAAAAATGCTCAGATGTTCATGTTTAAAATTCACACGAGTGAAAAAATAGTGAAATTCCCAAATAAATGTAAAAATAAGACACTTTTTCAAAATTTTGAGAGAAATTGTCTGGAAAAAGCACAAACAGACAACATTTTGGTTAAGTGAGGAAAAAAGCTATACTTTCACACACAGTTGATAATTCAAACCAAACACAAATCAGACCTTTACAAAAAAAAGTGTTTTATTTGCTTACTCCATGACATATCTCTTGGATTATCAAATTGTTTATTTTCTGGTAATTGTTACCCTCTTGCTTCTAAATACCATTCCTTGTTGATTCCGTCTTTTTCATTATTTTTGCATTTTGAAACATGTGACCACTATACCCCATCTGATTAATCCGCTGGTATTGATCTGGCGTATTACATCCCCAGGGACCTATCTGTCTTAATACAATACGTCTCTCCAGCTAGATTTGTTAATTAGGGCTGCTCATTCGACGCCTCTACCAATTTCTAGCTTCACAAGAGAACGCATTAAGCAATAAATTCTACGCCCTTTAGTACTATTGAGACTCATCTATGGCCTTTTTCCAATTTGATACTTTTTATGACCTCCCTCGCGAAAATTCATCTCCCGGAGACACTATGTAAAATCTTGAGCAGCCCTTTCATTGAAGGTTGTTGGCCAATTTGATCACCAGTTAGCAAAATCTGTATGTTGTTGTTTTTGACAAATTCACCTATTTTTGTGTGTACATTTCATTACATGTTTCCTTCTTTGTGTTCTGGGACTTTTGTTTGATACCATAAAAGGTTCTGTTGAGGATTTGACAAAAATACTTTTATAAATAAACTGGTATCTAAAATGTCTTTAGAATAATAGGTTGTTGTTGTTGTTTTTTTTATTATCATAGTAATTTTTTTTTTTACAAAGATTTTTCAAAAAGTTGCCGAAGCAAACATTATTGGCAACTAAAATAACTAGAATAATAGGTTTTCATATTCAATTATCAAAAAGCAGCTTTTATCATTTTTGGCTATTGAAGATTAGGTTACGAGTTAGTAAACAATTGAAGAAATCTAGAAAAAAAACTCTAAAAGAAATTTTGATATGAAACATTGCAACATTTGACATTTCGTTTAATGATAAATAATATCCTCAATCCATGCACCCCTTCTCTGAATTACAGTTGCCACGCACACACTGAAGTTTGTGCTAAAGTGATCACATATATCGAGTGGTATTCTCCGAATATCCTAACAAATATTTATCTTCTGAGTGTCTGTTGTTTGTGGATTGTTGTTATAGACTCTCTCTTTCAGATAGCCCTTTTGATTCTATTTAACACCTTTTCAAGGTCAATACACTGAACTAATCTAGAAATAACTGTTTGCACCCCAGTGACATCACCAGTGTCTATGGGAAATTGCATAATATCTTTATTATAATCACAGATGTATGTATCCAGTTCTAAATGCCTCACTAAGCTATGTAAAGTTCACACTTTATTACTTAATGATAACCTGTCTGATTCATAGTAATCAGTCCTACTGTATCACCACCATATTTTTATTAGCAGATTTAATAGCAGTCTGGCATAAATATTACGCACATTATCCCCAAAGATAATGGGGACCCACGTCTAAAATGTCTTTATGGCCATGACTATTCTATTCTTTTTCTTTGCAAAGGTTGAATGAAAAATCTGTTTTATGGAATTTTTCCTTGTTTTTTTTAATGTTGGTTTTGTAACAACTTCTTGTGAAAATAAACGTTCATATTTGAATGACTATCCTGCCATCTTTTAATGTTATTTATTCTTTTTGCAATTTCAGGTTTATAGAATGTGTTTATTGTTATATGTATTTACTATAATTCATTGTTTACTATAGTTGAATGTATTTTCTATACACATGTCCCCTTGAATTTTAGTAATTTATTGTACTGTATGCATTGAACATGAATTTTCATGCTTAAGTTTCATTGCTGCATTCAACGAAGAATTAGTCCAAGTATTGGAGTCAGTTTTCATGACCACTACAACAAGTGGTCATATCTTGTTATAGTTTTCAACTTTTTATGGACAGTGCTCAGCAGTTGGGGTTTGGCAGTTTCTGTTTGGTGTTTGGCAGTTAGCATTCGGCATCTGTGGCAAATGGTGACATTTTGCATGTTAATGCCTTGATCCTAAATGCATACTTCCATGAATATATGATAATTCCCAGTATGATTTCTCACCTAAACATTTGTCTTATCATATATTGCAGGTTTCATAGCTGCAGATATTAAAGGAACTGGGGGTTGGACTCAGTTATTTCTCATCACAGACTACCACGAATATGGTTCACTATATGATTACTTAAATGAGAGAATACTAGACACAAATGAGGTGTTACGTCTAGCACACACAGCGGCCTGTGGTCTAGCACATCTACATACAGAAATATTTGGTACACAAGGTATGTGCATTTAGATTTTGACTTAATATGTTCTGGGGTTTTTTCAGTGTGTATATTTTCTTTTTTTTGGTAATTTTGGTGATTTTTGTAAAGCACAGGAGGAAATTGAGATTGTTACTCACATCAATTCAAAACACTATTTATTCCATACTTCAATGACTTTGAGGTACATTATATTGACCATGGGATAATCCCAGTATCCTGAACCTCATTTTGGATAATCTCTATCACTTACTTTAACGTGTTTGAGATACATTATATTGGCCATGGGATAATCCCAATATCCTAAACCTCATTTTGGATAATCTCTATCACTTACTTTAACGTGTTTCAGATACATTATATTGGCCATGGGATAATCCCAATATCCTAAACCTCATATTGGATTATCTTTATTTATCACTTACTTGAATGTGTTTGAGGTACTTTATATTGCAATGGCCAAGGGATAATCCCCATATCCTGGACCTTGTATAAGATGATATCTTTTTACTTTCAGGTAAACCAGCAATAGCTCATAGAGATATCAAAAGTAAAAATATTTTAGTTAAAAAGAATGGCACTTGTTGTATAGCTGACCTGGGGCTTGCAGTAAGGTTTTTAAGGTAAGCCTAAAGTATTGCAGTAATACCCTATAACCCCCCCCCCTCCCTTCTGCATAAAGACCTTTTACCACCACACACCGCCCTGTAAAAAGACTCAATACCCCATCCCTCCTGTAAAAAGACTCAATACCCCAAACCTCCTGTAAAAAGACTCAATACCCCAACCCTCCTGTAAAAAGCCTCAATGCCCCAACCCTCCTGTAAAAAGCCTCAATATCTTAACCCTCCTGTGAAAAGACTCAATACCCCAACCTTCCAATAAAAAGATTTAATACCCCAACCCTCATGTAAAAAGACTCAATACCCAAACCATCCTGTAAAAAGACTCAATACCCTCCCTCATGCAACAAGACTTGAAAGCCACCACCCTAAACAATAGTTTTTGATTTTCTATTTTTTCCTTTTTGAAATTATGCTCTAATGGAGACTATTCAATTGTGAAATTTGATATGCCTCTCCAAGCATGCCACATTGAAAAGAAATGAAAGTATGAATATTGAAAGGCAAATAATATTACACAAATTGTTTATTTCAGTGATAGCAGTGAGGTTGATATAGCCCCGAACACTAGGCAGGGTACAAAACGCTACATGGCACCAGAGGTGTTAGATGAGACGCTGAATTATTCACATTTTGACGCTTACAGGCAGTCGGATATGTATGCATTCGGTCTGGTGCTCTGGGAGATAGCTAGACGGTGTCAGCTTGGAGGTAACGTATAAAACAAGGATTTGTCATAGTGAGCAGTTCCTTTTGTCAGATTTTGACTCCAATTGCTCTTTCATTCTTAGTCCATAGCTACATGTTTTTAATTTGTGTTGATGCTTGTTTATACTTGAATATTTGATTTCCTCAAATACAATGGATCACAAAATGTCTTTGATGAATTTTTTAAATCACCATACACAGATATTAACCCGTGATCCAATAGTGGAATACATCAAGAGGTTGCTAAACGTTTTTTAGGGAGTTTACAAATGTGCAAAATGTAATATTCTCAAAAATGATCAATCCCTTGTGTTTTCAGGCATTTGTGAAGAGTATCAGGTGCCATACTATGACGCAGTACAGAACGACCCAAGCTTTGATGATATGAAGAAAGTCGTTTGTACAGACAGGAGGCGGCCTGCAATTCCCAACCGCTGGACAGCAGATGAGGTATAATTAGATACAAGGATTAATGACACACTGGGGTCATTTCAACTTCTTTCAATGTTCAGCATCTGTAACAAATAGTTCCACTATGAAATCATTTTAAATAACTTACCATTGTAATTTTAATGCTTTGACGTTAAATATTTTTTCGTTAAATATCCTTGTGTTAAAATATATGATAAAAAGAGGCATATTTTCTCAATATTTGTTTGAATACAAAATATAATGTGTGAGTATGAAGAATAAAATTTGGATATTTTTTTCAGTATCAGCGCAGTATGACAAAGCTTATGACTGAATGCTGGCACCATACCCCCGCAGCTAGACTAACTGCCCTCAGGGTCAAGAAAACACTTTTTAAAATGATTGAAAATTATGAACTGACTACAACCATCAAGGCGTGACATACGACCCCCGTTTAAGTGTTAAGAAGTATGAATTATTCCATTCGGGATTATATTGATACAAAGTATGCTATATTAGAGAATTTATCGCATCAGTCCTGGAAGATCGGAGAAATAATTTGAGGTGCCTGCACATATTTTAAGTATCAAATCAGATTTGTGTGGATTGACCTGTCATAAACAACGAAATGCGTCTCACTACAAAGTTAAGAATGCAGAGTTATAAATTTGCTGCAAAAAAATTTGGAATAATAATTATCTGGCATAAATAAGAAATGCAGCTCTAATATGGCAGAATCAGAAGTATAGGAAATTTTCATTGTTTCAACATTGAGGGAATGGAGAGAGAGATCAAAGACAGAGATAACGGGTCCTGCCCCTGATCATATATTGCTATGGCGATCACATTACCCTCATCTGCTGATGGAGCAGTGTAGTAATACTTAAAAGGGATTATATTCTTGGACTATTTTTATGTCACATGATGTGTCTGCCAAGGCTGAATTTTCCATGTACAATATGATGTAAAATTAAACCATATTAATGCCTATTTTCATCTGAATACCAAAATCATAGATAACAACAATGAGATTTTTACTGCAATCTATATTGATTACAGTCTTTATAATTTTAAATGACAATTGACTGTTAAAAAAATTGTCAATTTTGACTGTATTGAAAATTCTAATCTGTTGAAAGCTTGAAATTTTAACTGTGTTTTGGATGACTTTAATGTTAACAGTGTATTTGAAAATTCTACTAAAATACAGTTAATTGACAATTTTTGATTACAGTCTAATGATACATTAAGTGATGAACCATGTAAAGCAATAGAAAGGTCATCTCAATGCAATTTTTCGAGCTTGTCTGTTCAACTGCATGGTCTTATCAGGTTTTGTCTGATTCTTCTGTTTTGTTAGGACTCAGGTTTGATCAGGGTGTTATGAGGATATCAGACCTTATCAAACCTTGGACAAATAGCAATTTTGTTGTTTTCCTGAATATGCTGAAAATAAAAAGACAACTGGCCCAGGTCTAAATGAACTGGACAGTCTAATAGTTTATAATGATAACTTACTGTTGAAAATTGTCATTTTTGACAGTCTAGTGAAAATTGTCATTTTTGACAGTCTATTGAAAATTGTCAATTTTGACAGTCTATTGAAAATTGTCAATTTTGACGTCTATTGAAAATTGTCAATTTTGATGTCTATTGAAAATTGTCAATTTTAACAGTCTATTGAAAGTTTTTAATGGTGACTATTGAAAATTGTCAATTATGACTGTGTCTAGGTATACAGGTCAACACTTATGTAGCACCCTTGCGTAGCACCCTTGCTTTGACTTTGACAGTTGACATAACATATGCAGTATTATAGAGAGCATTGATTGAACAGATAAACCTGAAATACTCCTTTGCATACTCAATTGTGTGGAGATGACCAACAATTTGAATATACACACTCGACGACATTTAAGTAAATAAATTTATAAATTGAAACATTTACTCAATTAACAAGGAAGATTCGCTCCCAGCATTCCCATGTTATCATTCTTCTGACTGGAATATACTGATTTGGTAGTGTAATTACCATAATGTTCATCTCACAACTAAATGCATGGTCTGGAGATGAACATTATAAAAATAAAATAACAAAACTGGTTTATGCAAATCAAAATAGATCATGAAAGGATGCTGGGAGATGATCCTCCTTTTGTAATTAAATAAGCGTCATTCACATCGATCATCTGAACGAGAGCCATATTAAGAAATAAGTACTTATTTTCATAAACAACGATTTAGTAATTTTTAAAGTAAAACAATATGTTAGAGGCCCGGCCCTTAAGAATATTTAAGAGTGCACTTGTACATAAGATATATACAGATAAGTCATACTGTACCTTCAAGTGGATTTAATAAACTTGTAAACAATGATTTCTACATTTGGAGGTACAGTGTATTTAAGGGTTGCACAAAACAGTGAGTTGATATATTTTTTGCTTTTAGAATGAAGTGCAACTTGCTAGCTCAGATGTAGTATTACAGTATGGTTTTAAATGCTCAGTTTGTTGGTTATTTTTATGTTTATTTCCAAAAGATGGCGTGGTGTTCAGGAATGGAGATTCAGTGCATTAAAGCTCCTTGCAGTTTCTAGATTCTCATTGATTTGTCCTGATGCTCTAAGAGGAGGGAAAACCCCATGATTCAATTGATGACATACGATTTCCTCCTTCGCGCACCTCCTTTCCCGGAAGTACGTATATTATACTTCCCTCCATCTTGGTTTTCAAAGTTTTCAAAGGACGATTCTCGGTTTGGAGAACAGCCTCCTGGGCTAAAAAATTTTTCATGAAAAATATAGAAATATTACCCAAATTAAACTATGAATATTCAAAAGAGGACATTTAAATCTACAGGATGTAAAAATAACAAATTGGTCTGAAGCAGGGATAATGCTCAAATAGACCGATTCAATAAAATACAAGTCTCGATTTGGGGAAAGAAGTTCATCAGTGTACTGTGCTAATATTTTTTTGCGAAAAATCTAGAAATATTACCCAAATTAAATTATGACTATTCAAAAGGAGACATTCAAATCTATATTATGTAAAAAAAATCAAATTTGTCCGAAGCAGGGATAATGCTCATTTAGATTGATGAACTTCGTTCTCCAAACCGAGAATCGTCCTTTACCTAGTTTTAAACCAATCAATGATCGACTCGCTAAACCAATCAGCGACAATGTCATCTCAATACAGATTTACATTATATGTATGTCATCTTTGAACCCTGGGGTTTCTCCCCCTCTTTGATGCTCTTCAAGTTTTTTGATAGACATTGGAGTTTCTTGATAATCATTAATGTTTCTAGTACCATTCTATTTCTACGCCATGTTGTGTTTTGAAGTGATGTAAGTTAGAACATTACATGATGTTTTAAAAAGCTATATATAATTGGAGAATCTGGTAACTTTCACTTTTGATATGGATGATGATAAAAATGGTGTAAATTTGTTTCAAAAAAAATTTAAATATTTGTATTTTAAAAGCAGGGATATTTCACAATGAAATAATTCATTATTTATATTATTAAGTACATTTAGTTCAGCACTGCTGTTCTTTTTCCATCGCATACGATAGTAAGGCTTTATAATTGCTCAAGATTTTCAGTTAAGTCCCTCCATGTGTTTTTACATTTCATTTCAAGTCTTTGTAACTAATGTCTTGGTGCCATCGGAAACTTCAGAGTGCTGGTAGAGTCCAACCATTGGCTAGATTCCCACATATCCCCTATTTAGCCTTTACCTATCCTTCTAAATTATTTCCATTTCACTTTTCCTATCATTTGTTTCCTTATTAGGGTGACATTAAAATGCAACGCTCTTATGTTAGAACCTCTGAATTTTAGGAGATCTTTGTGTCACCCTGTATTGTTGTAATGTAACCGGAATCAATCAAAAAACTTTTTTGGAAGATATTTATTTACTCTTAGGCAAATCTCTAAGATTAATAAATGTTTACTTCCAATCAACCATTTAGGGGTGATAGAAATTGACGCACTCCTTTTCTCCAGACACCCCCACCCCCCTCCAGTTATCCTCTCAATACACTGTCAAAGGGCTTGTTTTTGCATTTATGTTTTTTAACTACAAGGTGTGCAAAATATAAAGTGTTCATTTAATTTTTATACCTGTTTTAATTTTGCTACTTTATTTGAATATGCGTGTTGTTGCTAATGTATTTTGCGTCAGATAAATGTTATTTTTTGTACATTTTTGTAATTTTTTAAATTTAATTTGTAGATCCTACAATTACTTAAAAAATTATGGTTAAAATGGAAAGTTAGAAATTGAATGATGTGAAGATGTTATGTTTAAATTGAAATGATGTATGTTAGATCCATGTGTTCAGTTTGTGATTTTTATTACTATTTATGCATTAGTTTAATCACTCCATGTGAAATTTAAAAATTCCCGAAGTTTTTGGAACTTGTTTTTGACGTTCATCTAACCAAGCAACTAACAAAAAACCAAAACCAAAACTGAGATATTTTTGTTTTGTAATATATGTAGAGATTTTAGTACTACTAGCTAGACATTACTATACCAATTGTAAAAAAAATGTTCTAAGTAAAAAATCACCAAACACATGTATATGTAAATATTCAACCATTTAACCCTACATAAGTGTAGACTCAGGTTTACCCAATGTAAACTCATGCAGGGCGAATGAAAGATGGTGTAGTATGAAGGGAGAAACAAACTTGCCATGTACTATAATATGTCAGCATTTTTACACATAGAATTTATTAAGCATTTTCATAATAAAATATTGAAAATTAAAAATTGTTTTACTTGTTTTTACCTTTCTGCTGGTGTTTTTATTAATATTTAATTTGTTTTGTTGACCTTGATTACCATCAATTGATATGACCTTGACATATGAGGTTTGATGTGACCTTGACAAGACAGGTCATGTGTGACTCAAAATAGTATAACTATGTAAAGTGAATAATGCAAACATTTGTAATTTTTTGAAATTAAGACTTTTATTGATATTTTTATTCAATTCATAATGTGTTTACATAACTAAATCCATTGAGTTTAGTTGACTTTGAGTTGAGTTCACCTAGAAGTTTAAAAAGATTGATTGATAGATGTCATGACTTGAACTTTTGCTACGTGTACTTTTATCCAATGCCTCACATGCACAATAGATGACAGGGTCATATTTCAAGAAAGCAGAGATTAAGAATTATTTCAATGTAGGACTCTGATCAATATTTTAAATTGTTGAACCATAATACGTCCTTTACAATTTTTTAAATACAAATAAGCTGAAAAATGAATGCAGTAAACGTGTAACAATTCGAGAATGATTCAGGCCGAAAATATTCTGGAATGTGACAATTTGGCAATTTCTAAATATAACTGATTCTGTGTATAGCAATTATCCTTAATTAGTAATTTATGTTTTTTCAATTGTTTTCAATGTGACATTTCATTAGAATGTAACCACATTGGTGTTAAAATTCAGATATCATTTCAATTTGTATGTTTATAAACATATTTTTAGCTATAATGTAAATTGTTTTGTTGATGTTCAATTGCCTAACACATACTTCAATGTGTATACACCATAGAATTCATTCACAACAATACTTGTCAGATATCAATAAAAATATTTACTTGATCAAAGGGCTTAAGAGTACAGTTTGGCCCAATGGCTTATTCATAATTCATTTATTGACTTAAGGCATTATCATTTATGCTTCCATTCTAAGCCTATTTGCTGACAGGGTACTTATAGACTTGCTCTGAAAGCATCATATCACTAGGCAACCCCAGAATGAGGCTCAGTCAACCTGACCAAATACACGTACACTGTCAATGTAATATTTAGTTAGAGACCAAGTGCACTCTATAGGAAACTAAAAAGTTTCTCATTTTCTGTTTTTAGACAGTTTTATAAAAGGAGATAAAAAACAACTGTCAATTCGATAAGAGGTGAGGTGATTTATTATTTTGAAACTTTGTAGTTTATATTTAAGTTATAAGGTTTGTTTGTTTAGTATCCTTTTATTTTCCAAGTTTTTCACAACCAGTTGCCAAGTAAACTTTAAGTGCTTTCACCAAATATTGGACCTAAAATGTTGGACTTGAGGAATGAAATGTAAGTAAATGAATTAATTTAATTTTCCAATTTTAAAACTTTGGAGCAAAATTAATAGTAAGAATTCTATATATGCAAGTCACAACTTGATTTTTTACCATGTGGTCTGATGGCAGACTGTACATTAAATCTGATTTTAATACTTTCTCTAGAAAGCCAGATACTGTGTAATTTAGATTTAGAATGTAAATTACAAAAATATCAACTCAACAAATTAACTATTAAATGACCATTCACAGTTACGTTTTTGCCTTCACTGGTCAAAAGCATCAAGTGAAAATGAAAGTTCCATTAGGTACAACTTATATTCATGCTTTTTATTGCCCATTAAAGTTTCTGTGTTTTGAGATATTTGAATAGAAATCCACAATTAATTGGAATAATTTAACTTCATATCGATTATAACCTATTTGCTGCAGCTCATTGCTCTGATTCAATTTTCCATTTTGTATTTTCTCTTGTATAAAGTATACAACGATTTACATGAAACATAAGGGCCCTAAAGTATGATGAATAGAGTTCCATACTTAAAATTCAATGCCTTTTCATTTAATTTTTCTGTAAAATTTGAATGAATTGCCATATTTCCTTGCATTTCAATACAATTCAGAATGGTTCCACGATGACTATACCTCATTATTTGCTTTATCCTCTGTTTTATACCACATTTTGCTTTTTGAAATATTGCATCCGTGGTATTTTAGTTATTGGTACAATATAGCATCAATGAGGCTATAATGGATACAATCTGATATTGATATTGTTTCCTTCACATTAACCTTGCAATAGTTTTCAATCTCAGAATTGTTTCAAAAAAATAATTTATTCAATTTTGAATTTGAATTTTCCATCTAATCATAGATTATACGTACTGATACTTTTATTTGTATTTTTCTCTTAGAAAAAACAAAAATGAGTGTCTCACTTTAATTTAATGCGTTATATAAAATATTCTGTAAGGGTTGCATGAACTTGGAAACCAATGAAAGTTCTATTAAGTAGGGATCCTTTTGAACATGAGCACTTGAACTCTTCGAATGGCAGACAAAATATCAATACCCTTTTCTTAAAATATCAATTGAGATCACCTTTAACATTCGAGTTCTGGTAGTATGACCAAATATATATAAAATCAAAAACTGGCTCATTTAAAAAAGATACTAGAAAAGAAACAACCAAAGTAGGCAATTGATAACTTCTTGCTTGTTTGAATATTTCTCAGAGGGGATGTGATTTATATTGGTAAGTCATCGACACTCCGGGGATTTGTAGTTAATGCAATATTTCTACTATTTACTTTACCACTGCAATTCCATTGTTCTTATTCGCGTCACTCTTCCCAATGCATATAGTCTGATTATGCTCCTTTAAAAGATACCTTCATCTGGTTTGTGTACGAGACTCTACCACTCGAGGCAATTTGTAATCTATTGGACATCTCGTAGGTGTATATCACGAAGGGAGATACTCACATGGTAATATTTATATCACAAAGGGAGACATACTCACATGGTAATATTTATATCACAAAGGGAGACATACTCACATGGTAATATTTATATCACAAAGGGAGACATACTCACATGGTAATATTTATATCACAAAGGGAGACATACTCACATGGTAATATTTATATCACAAAGGGAGACATACTCACATGGTAATATTTGTATATTTGGATATGTATTTATATATAGAAATCGACCCTTTCCAATATTTTGAAAGATAACTTCATCTGGCTTGGTTACAAGACTCTAACACTCAATTTGTTTTTCCATTCAACGACTCGCGGTATATCATGAGGTGAGACATACCAGCATGACAAGTTATTCTAGAAATGTAAGCTTATATAAATCCTATATATCCTATATTGACCTTATCCTTTCCCATAGTTGATTTTGCTCTTTTAAAAGCGAGCTTCATTGTCTAATTTACTAGGCTCTGATTCTTCAAGTCCTACTTAGTTATTTTATGTATATGGTGACAAAAAACTGGAACCCACTCAAGTCTTAATAACTTCGTCAATTATGCATATTGAGCTTAGTTATTTGGTACATGTATGGTCAACTGAATGTATGACAAGATGTCAAAGTTTCTAGCATTCTAGCTCAATTAGTCTCCAAATGAAGCACGTTTAGATAATGTGCTCCAAATGTGCACCACGACGTTGGATGCAGAGCTGGATTCTTCTTGCAAAATTGTCAATGACCCGACTGCATTCATCTCTGTCTATCTCTCTAATTAGTCTTCCAATGTTGAGTTTGAGGTCATCAATTGTCAGTGGACTATCTGTATACACAGTATCCTTGAGATAACCACACAGATAAAAATCTAGGGGGTTCAAATCAGGGGAGTGGGGGGGCAGATGTGGCGGGTATGGTGACTGATTAATTGATCACCAAAGTGAGCCTGAAGCCATCGAATGGACTCATTTAAGGCGTGGGGTGTGGCACCATCTTGTTGGAACCATTGCTGGTCCCTTCTCAAGTCACGTCGTCTACCTAACGCTCTCCAAAACTTTCGAACGTTAGGGATGTAACGTTCTGTGTTGACTGTTGAGTTGTCTTGAGTTCTGACAGACCTCTGTCTCCCCCGAATAGGTTGGTTTACCATCACTTTTCTCCTTTGTTGGTTTTACAGTTCCTTCTGAATCAAACTTCTGTACAAGCTCTTCTTGCCCTGTGATCTCTCCTATAGGCAGTTTGTGTATCTTTATAGGATTTTGTCTCGATATACTTTCTCACAATATAAGTCTTTTATTCTGTCGTCCATGGCATGATTAATATCTAAGCTACAGTACGCATTATGGTGTCATTTTGTCATGCATTCAGTCTAGTTTCTACTCTGAAGAAATGAAGAATAAAAAGGTATAATACTTCCCGAGAAATTTGATGATTTATGGGTTCCAGTTGTTTTTATATATGACCAAAGCGTTAATGTGCACCCATTATGTTTAAAAAAAACAACCGATCAAACCCCAATATCTCAAACAGTGATCTAATGTACCTAATACCCCCCCCATCATTCGAGAACAATTCGATCAATCCAAAAACCCAAGACCTTTTATTCTAACTGGAGTCATTAAAATATTCCTCAGAGAAAAATAATTCTTATTGAGAAAATTCCAGACAGACAAACACTTCATATATTTGGTATAACCTTTGTTCGACCCTTTCTCAAAAACTGCACTAAATCAGATACATATAAAACAGTTTTACATGTCTCTGACTATTATAAATCAGTCAATCTAAGAAAACTAGTAATTAAAGAAACGAATGTTAATTGCAAATCTAGGAATTATTCCACTTAAACATACGATTAATTCCTCGTTGCTGTCAAACTTGATAAACCATCCATAGTTTAATAATTCCTTTATCAAATAACCCTGTTTAACACAACATTTTATCAAAATTGATTTCAAAAACAAACACAACAACAATTGTGATCGTGAAGCAGAGTTGGTTTGTGATTTATCTTATTATATGACAAATATTTGGTTTGAGGGAGCTGATTTCTAGACAATGTTAGTCTATATATTTTCCAACGTAAAGAGTCAAAGAATTAACTTATTTTCTTACAACCAATTTGTTCATACCCTGAGCGCATAGTCTACGAAACTCTCTTTTAAAAAGGGAAGTCTAAAAGAAAATTTGTTTACAGTTTGGAATATAATGGGCATTGCATTCAATACCCAAATGCATTCGTTGTTAATACAACAGTAGATGATAGGGTATTATGAGCCCTGGACCTCAGTGTTATTTTTAGACTAGATATATCTAATTTTGGGTATATTTGATATATAGTACCCCACACACAATTTTGTCGCCTACTTTGATGCGTTGTAGAAAAATATCCAATAAGAGTTTTCTCATGAAATTTGGCATTCATTAAATTGAAACAATTTGTGACACTCAAATTTTTTTGTTTGGGGTAATATGACTTCACCACAATTTGACTTCGGTTTCTAAATTGCTACGCATTTACAGATTTGACCTAAATTAAGCTAAATTTTGAAACAATTTGTAACAAATTGATTACAAAAAAAATTGAATATTCTGGTCAATCCTATCCTATTAAACACCATTACAATCCACTGGTAAAAGAAAAACTGAACCAAGCAGGAGTAACTGTTATAATGTTACAATGTTATGATGTTACCCCTAGAAGTTCACATGTTTAATCCATGTGAATCATTTCCAACAAAAGGCAAGCCGTTGGTGGGCACATGTGAGGTATTGGGCGAATATGGCCTCCCGATCGTAGGCCAACGAAAAATTGAGTGCAAGCTCACTGTTAATAATGCCTTAATTGTCTTAAACAAAATACAACCATTTTAGATTTTATGAGATGCGAGCTACTGGAAAGGATTTTTTAATCGAGTGAGACAGTAGGAAATGCTGTAGAGGTAGGATGGGATAGAAATCCAAGCAGGGGTGTGTTCCGGTGCCCTGATAAACCTTTTTAGACTTAAAGCCAACAAATCATATGATACATGCACCTTGAAAGTACATGTATTAAAAGGGGTCTCCACTCTTAAACAATAATAAAACCACACTTACAATATTCCTGTTTAGGAGTTAAACATCTCCAACACATATTGTAACAATATCTTAAGAGAACAGACAAACCTTAGGTAATGCAATAAGTTTGTAATCAAAATGTAATCAAAATGATTTAAAATCTCTTTAAAACTGCAAAACTGGAAATTTTTGTCGAATTTTGTTAAAACATGAATATTTTAAAATTGCTTGTTTTTCGTCAATATTACTTAAATTTCCAAATAAAAAAATTTGAGTGTCACAAAATGTTTCAAGTTTACGTATGCCAAATTTTATAAGCAAACTCTTTTTGGATATTTTTCTACAATAAATCAAAGTAGGCGACAAAATTGTGTGTGGGGTACTATAGAAAATCAATATTGATACATACTAATTATAGTATACAAATTATACAAATTGCTTATTAGCGCTACTTATTTCGTCCAGGAGTATCGATTTGGTCTTGTCCTGTCTTAACAGCATCTTCAACTTCCAAGTTTTTATAACACAAAAGTTGAAGCAACTGAACTGACCTCGTGTCATGACTATTTTTAAACAAGCAAAATGCGTTTCAGAATACATAATTTGTGATGCAGACCGAGACTGAAACGTTACAGTAATCAACGCTTTACATTGTCTGTGATACAATAATATGTTTGAAGAAATTGTAAGCTTGGTGAAATTTTCATTATTTGAAGTCAAGTATGGAAATATTACATCACTTAGTTAACGAACGGTCGTTTCCATAGGGATGATCCCCACATTGATTTGTTATACCCTCAAAGTATCGTCTGCTTTTAACTCATTTCAAGCAATTTCTCTACAAAATTTGAATAAAGCATGGACTACTTTTGCATTTTAATCCAATTTAAAGTATGCTGCTCATGCCTATCTTCTTTAATGTACGCTAATTACATCCTTTTTAGCTTGATTTTTAATTTGAAAATATGATTCAATGAATTTTTATTCTTACGATATTTGCTCATGAGCGAACAATCACACTAAGTCAAACATTCCATCTCCACGGAATGATTGATTTGATTCCCTACATAAAGTGTTCCGATTGTTCTAAATGTCTGTCAATATTTTTTTTCATTTTTCACCATTAAACAGTTCCCTCGTGCAAAAATGACATGCGAGCATGATCCGAATTATTTGATTTTAGATTATCATTATTTGTAGATTAAGTAAAATTATTTATCTGGTAACTAACTCCAACTGTCGCTTTAAATAACTTGAGAAATAATTGCGCTTTATACTGAAAAGCATTGTTACGAAATTATTAATCTAAACGCTATACTACATTTAAGTGAATCTGTAGTGTTACATTGAACTGACACAAATCAAGTACAATCAAGAAAAATCTTCATATCACTTAACCGATACATTTATATTCCAGTGAAATGGCGAATATAGATGTGTTCAAACCGTCCAGCGGTCCACTTCTAGTGCCCGGGAACCTATCGGATGGGCTACCAATGCCCACAGATTCATTCAAAAAAGAAAGACCTGCCACACAAGGATCAATTCAGAGATTTGGACAGCTTAGCCATAACTCATTCTTCACACGTCATAATCCACATCCTGGGCGTGTGCGTCATCTGAAAGGTAAGCATGTCTAAATGTAATGACTTGTGGGTTTTGGATGGCGATTGGTTGCCGAATGGGAAGGGTAGGGGAGGGAGGGGTTATACAATGTTTCTTTGTTTGTACGACAGATCATATCTTTGGTATTACACCTCACAAATGACTATGCTCATCTGTGAATTTTTATTCTTTTATTTTTCTCTGGTACCTATGCTTACACATGTTCATTGGGAAAGGGAATTGTTGAAGTATTGATTATATGACACAAAAATGCAACCACTTTTTGTGTCACCCTGTATATCTACAAAATATTGTACATGTATATATCAATACAGTGTCTGAAAGCCTTCCCGTAATACTTTATCTATAAACTAGTACAAAACCGAAAATCTATTCATTGTGTAGAAGGAGCCATTTACATTTTAGATTCTGTTATTTGCAGACATCATTACTATTTGAGAAGCACTCGAAAGTCACATTTTCTTTGGGAAATACTGTACAATATAAAATTACCCCAATATTTACCTAGATTTTGAGAATTAATTACTCGCAAAGTGAAGATCTTTCATAGAATTCGGTACAGGATTTGGGCGATTGTCAAAAAGGCTCCGATTTTGATTGTCTGTCGCTATGGGAAACAAGTCACAGGCGACACATTTTGACTCGGAATATTAAATGCATTCCGAAGTGAATATTCGTTTGTGCGCAGCTTTTACTGATCTATTATGTCAACCGATGGCCTCATGTCCAGCTATCAATTAGAAACTGGTATTCACAACAATGGTGCACCTTAAACCAAAGTCAAATAGGCTATTGGATTATTTTCTAGACACAGGGTCAACTCACAATTGAACAATTCAGAAGATTTAGAAGGGCAACAATATTTATATGAGTTTGGCATCAAATAGTAGGTTAAACCACCAGCCGTCAGCCGGCAGGTGAACTCGCGAATTTTACCTGAGCCTACATGTATTTTCTGACGCCAATATGTGTGTTCTATTAGCCTTTTACATGGGGCCAATGTGATAGATGGTGCTCTAGGCGACTACTTTTTAACATTGAAGGCTATCATTACATCGAATCTAACTAAACTATTTATTCACTGGCATGTCAGATTTTTTTAACCCATTCTTTATTTTCAATTTCCACATCAGACTCTAAATATTTGTACACATTGAACCCCATTGATTGTAAGCAGACTCCAACAGTCATCGAAAGCTAACACCTTTACCCATTGTTAAAAACTATAAAAGATGGTAAATATATCCAGTATAAGTAGCTTGAATTGTGACTTAGCATGATTTATTTGGCAATTATTGTTGTTAGATACGTCGCTATTGCTAAATGTTACTTGAATTTAACATTACTGACACAGTGACCTATAAAATTTAGGATTGGTTTATTACGGTTTATTTCAATTCAAAATTTATAATTGCCTTTTTAATTTGACTCCAAATACACTGTAATCAACGTACAATTTATCTACTGCCATTTGAATTCGATTTCCCAGTGTTCGACCATCAACAAATCAAGTTTAAGACCACAGATGAAAGAAATGACAAATATGTATTGTCATCATCCCTGAAAATGTGACATTAATATTGATAAATAGCTAGGTTACATTAATTATTCAAGTATATTGGAATGTTCTTGTATTGGGAGACAGAACCCATTGTTAAGAATATGACATACTAAATCATGTCAATATTAGAGAGCTTTCTATATAAGTTTTCAGCCAAACTTATACTGCAACTTTAACTTTCAAATGACGTTAACAGCACTGGGGGGGGGGGGGGCATTTCTCAAAGAAACCAGGAAAGTACATTTGATTCGAAAAATTCCTCGTTACCTAATCGAGGGGATTGATTTGTGAATACATGTATCCCAGCAATAGCAGAATTAATTTGTATTTTGAATCATATTTTGAAGCCGGAACTCACGAACTACATATTTAATTGCCAAATATTTTGTTGTGATCTGAAGGATAAAAGAATCCTATCTTCGAGTTCCTCCCCAGTGCTATACCTGACTTGTACAAGTACACGTTTATGTATACGTATTCCAAATAAATTATATCCAAAGCTCTCTATTTATAAAACATTAGAGATGTATTTTGAGGTTGCTACGCAGAGTATTGCATTAAATAGTGATCATGATCTTTAGGATATCTCCAACAATTGTATCCTCTTCATTGTCATCTATATTAGGAGGGATTGTTAGACACCATCGTGGGATCCAAGTCTTAATAATATTATCCCTTGAAATACATGTAGCGTTTAGGTAACGATGGGCTCTGGTAAATAATGGTTAGAAACTGTTTCGTTTTACGTTAGATCATATTTGTGGGATGCTTTGATTTGTGTAGATAAAACATTTTCCCCATAAGCCACTTGTTTTACATTTGTATTTTGATTTCTTCTTCAGGGCTACTCGATATCCCAATATGTACAGTTAACGACGACGGTCACTTCCCAAATGGGGGCTATTCCTACCAGTTTCCCCCTAACAACTACGACCAGGCCAAAATCAATTCCAACCGCTTCAACATCCCCGTCAACGCAATCAATGTCAACTCACAGATGCACCCGATCAACACCATAACGGGCCTGCAGTACTTTACTGGTCTACAGAGTTACCCATACAGAGAGAAAGCCGTCCCACAAATGGGCATGGGTAAATATGATTTGTTATTTGACTATTATGTTGTCGGATACTATCAACTGACACAGTCTTAGTAGTAGCATACCAAACTGTTGTGTTGTGTTGTGTTGTACGTTCTTCAGAAAATAGCATCCAATCCTATCCAGTAAATGACACTTTAATTCTTGTAGTTATCCTTCCAACGAAGATGAACAATCGGTGATTCCAAATAATGAGGCCGTCATGGTATACCATAATAGCTTTTAAATAAGATTTGATAACGTTACAACAAGGTTAGAGTACAGTCTGTATATGAACTCACCTTCATTTTGAGATTATCATTCAACTCAATATCCTTGTCTTTTGCAGTACCAGTCACTGAAACATGGCGAGAGGAGCTTAGGAAACTAACAGAAGCTGCAGGGCTTCCCCAGTTTTCAGACCAGTCAAGACCCACAGAACAACCTCGACAGACTGTATACTCTACCAACACCGGGCGACTTATTCCGCCACCATCAAGGGCTATGAGTAGAGGGCCTGGTTCAAGAATGAGCCAGAGGGAAAAAATGTTCACACAAATGGAACACATAGCTGCAGCTCCTGATACTGAAAACACGGTAGGTTTATCTACATTGTTCTAAACTGGTCTGATCTTTATAGACTAGACTCATCTGTTCTACATTGGAATTAAGTGGTATGATCTGGTCTAGTCTGGTCTACATGGGAATAAACTGGTCTCATCTGGTCGTATCTTATAGAGACTCGTCTGCTCTTGTCTACACTGGAAAGGTCTGGTCTGATCTGGTCTGGGCTACCATGATCTTGTCCCAACTGGAATGACAATGAGATTGTGTCCCAATTCATGGAAAACTTTGAATACAAGTAGATTGAACTGGTTGGGTTTATGCAAGACAGGACCAGTTTCCTCATGTCTCCGTTGGCATTATCTGGACTAGTGTGGTCCGATCTGGTTCTGCCTTGGTGTATATCCATCTTGTTTCAGATCATCCATCCTAGCCCTAAATTGCTCACCAATAGTCAGAATGTAATAACCTCCTGGTCGCATCATTGTCGGAACCTGTTAATGGCAATATTTGAGGAAATACCTAGTACACGAAAATCTCAATAAACCCCAACGAATAGATTTCACGATTACAACAAATACGTCTAAGAAATATTACACAAAATTCATTAAGCGTTCCAAACAAAATGAAGACACGTCACCCATCATCCCATAACCTTATATTACTTGGAGGGAAGAAATCAATTTCCAGACATTCCTTGACTCATTCAATTGTTACACACTCTTATAATTACTTGTTATTGATTGCTCAACGTGTCACAGAGCCAAGTTTAATCATTAAACATTTGAACAAAGTAAAGGATACAGTCTATGCAGGAAATCAAATAGCAATCCAGAAGTGAGCAAACCTTAACCCCGTCAGCAAACATGACGTGGTCCTATATAAGTGGAAATATAAACAATATAACAATTTATAGATTTAGCAAACAAAGTTTAAACACATATTGAACTTCAGTTCAGTTGAACTTCATTTGTTTTAGTGAACTTGACTTTTATTTCCATATGTCTACACTTTAAGAATACATAGGCGTGAACTTTAATCTTGGTTTGTGTGTTTCAATGACCATATTTATAGTATCCTAGGATTTATAATGGTGTTCTCGTCGTAAAAAGTGTTTTTGCATAAGTAGTATTAATTTAAAGTGATCTTTGAATTAAGCTGTTGTTTAATCTCAAAATCTCCACTGCGGATCTTTCATATATTCAAATCTTTCCAACAAACATGTTAAACCTACACATATACCAACCTTGGAATAAAATCGCCCACTTTTTATTAATTAAGAACGTGACATTTATAAGAGTTTATTTATATTTCAGGTGTTGCAAATGTTGTGCCAGATTTTGCAGACTGAAGATGTTAACTCAGTTCAGTCATGGCTTGTCTCAGCTGGGGATAGAGGTAGGTCACCTTTCAGAGGGTTGTATCCATAATTGAACAATTGCATATTGTATTCAAATTTACATATTGTACCCAACATTTCATATTGTACCCATGCTTGCATAATGAATCCAGATGTTAATACATTCCACATGGAGAGAATCAAGAACATTGCCGATAGACTTCAATTCAATTCAATTCACTTTATTTCAAATGTTTCAAATACAGTGTTTTACATTGACATGAAAAGACACCCCGAGGGGTGTATAGTTCCATGTTTAACATACAATATAGCATTTATTAAATTAACAGTCAGGTTATATGGAAACAAAAAAATGACAAAGCATAAGATGCATCACAATAAAATACAAGTAATGAGAAGAAAGCATTTTTCAAAGAAGATCTAATAATGACTTAGCAAATCAAACTTTAACTTTCGTTCAAATGATTTGATATGTTTAGACTTTTTGAGATCAAGTGAAAGAGTATTGTAAAGTAATGGGCCACTTGTTTCAATTGATTTTCTTCCAATTTCTGTTCTGAATTTTTTTACAGTTAAATTCTTATTAATTCTCGTGTCATGATTATGAATTGCGGTTCCTGGAACAAATAAATGTTTGAACTTTTGAAAAGGAAATTCTGGTGATTCTGAAACAGTTTTCTGAACAAAGCTAGCGGTTTGTAGTTTATTGATGTCAAATATATTCAATATTTTCAGTTTTGAAAAGAGAGGTTTATAAAACTATGGAATTGTTCATCTTTTTGGTCAGTCTCAATGTATATTTCCATCTAGTAAACACATGTGGCCAGGTCACATGAAGAATTGAGCACCCCATGTTTATAATCTGATAAAAAATGTATAACGAAAACTCAAAACTCCCAATAAAAAATGTAAAAATTATTATGTTTTTAGAAAAGACGTTGGTGCTTGATTTGATCAAGGCGGCCGTGGCCACCCAAGATGAATACTACAACACGGGCTACCAGCCAGATCCCTACGATGCCAACTCTAACACGCCTAGGCTACCTGCACTGGCTGAGAATGCTACACAGACTGCTGGACAAGGCCATAATGCTACGATAAAAGAAATCGAAAGGTGAGAACTTAACCTAATTTGTGCATCTTTGGATGTTAAATCTTTGTTATAAAATATGTGTAAGTTCAATGTGTGATCAATCATATCTCGACTTGAACTCAACCTTCCATAAATATCCAGAAGTTCACAATTAGATAATGTTTGTTTTTACTAAAGGATGGGTTTCAATGAAATGGGCACCATGGACAAGCAAGACGAGGGACGTACCAGCAGATACTCGTGGGCACAGGCCGGGGAAAACCTTCTCAACAGAGTGAGGACACCAAGAGAGCAAATATCGCAATGCCTTAAAGTTCATGATGATGGTAAGATTGAGCTATTTTTGTATCATTGGAGTTCTTTGTTTTATTGGGATTTGATTTTTCACCTTTCCTCTACCTTTTTAGTACAAAATTCAAAAAACAGAACAGCTAGTGATTTTTGGTTTGAAAAAAGGAAATCGATACTCTGTTCTTGCTTTTGATCTGGAAAATCCGAACTGCAGCGAAGCTACATGCAATATTGTTATTTAAAAGTTGAAAATATTATTTTATTTTCAGATATTATAAAGCCCCCAGTATTTGCCGATGTCTTCAGACAAAGGGAAGATCGTCCAGCAACCACACAAAGTAGGCCAGCAACAATGCAAAATGGCCGCCCGGCAACACAAAATGGCCGACCAGGGACAATGCAAAATGGACGTCCAGGAACAATGCAAAATGGACGTCCAGGAACAATGCAAATGGGACGTCCTGGCACATGTCAAAGACCAGATACATCTAGTCCACGGAAATCACCACGTGTATCCCCAGTATTACGTCTATCGTCACGAAAAGATCCCAGTAGCGTGATAAGGGAAGATACAGAGTGGTTGGTAGATCAACTCGTTGAGAAACACTGAATGTAGCATAAAATAGTCCCAATTGTATAATAATTTAAATCACATGTATTCTGGACACATGGACCAGCTACCTGCTGATCAGCAACTTTATCTGTGAAATGCTGTCCACACAGTCAAAACAAATGTTACACAAACACTTTGTATCTGTTGTAAGTGCCTTATAATAATATTTTCACAATATTCTTATTTTGTAATATGTTCAGAGAATATTGCATGGTATAAAGATTAAAGCACAGCAAAATTTGCACAGTATTAATTTAATGCAACTCGAAGGCACTGCCAAAATGTTGACAGCCAACCATGACGCACCGCATACGCCAAAGGAGCACACCAAACATGACAATTTAGTTTAAATAATTACAAGCCAGTATTATATACTTGTGCCTATCATGTAATTGTATTTAATTAGTTATATAGTATCTATTCATTGAAGGGTATTATAAATGCCCCAAACCTTTTCAAATCTATTTATCATTGAGGTTTCAAACTCATCACACCTTTCTGCCTTCAAGTAGAACCTAGAAAGAAGCTAATAGAATGCCATGATTTCTCATGATGAAGGTACCCGAATGCGATGATCTCCTATAGTAATGAGAACTTCAAAAGGAGCTGGCATCAGTATGTCTTAAACTTTAAGTTGATTTACATTTTTGAATGTTACTGCGATTATAATCTTCAAAATAATAAATTATAATGAAATGATGTATATTAGTTAAATTGCTATTTCCTTGCACTGTCTGCAGGATCTCAAATTATGATCGATACAATTATATATCAGACATTATTTCACATTATCTCACATTATTTGTAAATAAAATCATTCATCATCTATTTTCATAAATAAAGAAATAAAATAGACTTTTGTGTTTTGTTATTTTTGTTTAACACCCACGACATAAGGTGAGCAATATTATCTAAAGTAATTTTAGCTTTTATTATTTTTATCACTCAAACTGTTGTTATTTCATAGATCATTATATAGTTCATTAACTACTAAAATTTGATAATGAACAAATTACCATTTATTACCAATATATAGATGGATAATATGTTTTATACACATAAAATAAAGTAATTAAAGCAACACGGTTATGTTTTTTCTATGAGATAATACCAGCAATTAATACCTGTAATAAAGCATAAAGTAGATTTATATGTGAAACTATAATTATCCCTAATTACAATTATTCCTGCTATTTACATTTATTTACGTGCCTAATATCTTGTATACAGGGCGTCCACAAAAAACGTATACCCAACTTCAAAGCAAGATTACAAGAGCCCAGAGCAATTTTTTGAAATACGAAGGTACCAGTAAAAGGCCTTGTTTGACCTTAATTATATGATACCTAGATCAGTATGTAAATGTCATGGATGACTGAGCAAACGTAACTATAATGAAAGGTGGCTAGATAAGTACTGTGCCAAGTCAGCATTCAAGTGGGATTGACACAGTGAATTTTTTTGTGTTCAAAACATGTCAATGTTCAAGTTCAAACTTGTTCCATGTTCTCCCTACTTTTGCATAATTTTCCATATCGTCTTTTTTATTGGTGCCACCCTCTCGTGAAATTGGATCCCAAAAGCCCCATGAACTGCAATGCAACTTCTGGTATGTTGATAGTTGATACCCTTTGACCAAAGTGGTCCCCTGCTCAAGTTTCAGTTGAAGCATGTCTGAAGATAATTCCCCTAAAATGAAAACTAAGCCAAGAAATACACACAAATTGCCACACAGGAAAATAACTTGGAACAGCGCTAATTTAACCACCTCTCACAATGGTCATGCTTGCTCAGTCATCCATGACAGATACGTAATGAACCATTTGATGAAGAACAAAGTAGGCTTTTTGCAGCTACATTGTATTTTCAAAAATTGATCCTAGTAATCTGGCTTTAAAGTTGAGTATACTTTTTGTGGACACGCTGTACTTTAACCTGAATACGATGTTGAAACATTGAATGATAGACTCACTATTAATTATTATCACTGGTCTCCAGCAGGATGATATTAACTGGATTTACTAGCATCTAAGATGGTGGACAAAATTTGTTCGATATCGATTACAGCCAGCCCAAATAAAATCTGAATTCCAAATATTATACAAATATTTAATTCTATTGAGGTGAATATCCGTGCATCTTTCACAAGTGATATTCTACGAAGCCCGAAGTGCTAGTGGAATATAATCTTGAGAAAGTGTCACAGGCATTCACTGAAATCAGGTTTTCATAGAATTAAATATTTGTTTTTTGTTTTATTATTCACTGTTATATTCCTTACTCATATTAATGGAAAAACAAACTTTTGATGTCTAATTAATCATCACAATGAAATCCGGCCTATATAAGATTGGAATTACACGGGACGAAGTCGTGACTGATGAATATCATTTGTCACGTGACTTCATTTGAATATCGCTTGTTATTTTAGTCACGTGAAAGACATGGACCAATCAGAGAGTGAGGAATATGAGAGTGAAATAATAATTTTCCATGTCTACTCATAAGTTTCGGTTGTAAATAACTATAAAGAAATGCTCAAACATGTAAAAAAAAATTGAAAAATTTAAAAAAGTAGTTTGCTACTATTGTTTTCGGGGCTATCCAAAAGTTCATATCTTGTAGTCAGGTAATTTGGCTTCAGTTCTTCAATTTATTTGGATTTTCTGTATAAGTTCGACTTCTCATCTTAGGCTTGTTGAACGAGAGCTGTTTTTACAGTTATAGTTCAACGGCGTTGCAATTTATTTAAAGAACGTTTTGTAGGATTCTGTTGTAATCCCATCACTTCTTGATGTTTTGTTGTCGTTCATCTCAAAGTTTTTGTGACATTCATCTTCGCTTTGTATCCCTATAACATGAAGACATTAAAAATATTTGCATATTATCTTTTTACCAAAACACTATATATAAAAGATTTAACGAAGCGAAGCATTTTAGTGCTTAATCAAAAATAATTATTGTCTAAATGTTATAAGTGTTCCATTATTCATGAATGTTATATTTATCTAATAGCAATGGATTCGAAATAAGCATTATCCACTCATGTATATATATATAAGTGCACGCCTGCTTAATTCTGTGTAATCCATCACTTTGACATCAGCATGCATATGGTAAGTCTACACATCTCGATTAAGAATTTTATTCTATTACTGCTAGCGTTCCATGTTTTATAAAGTTAATACTAGATGCAATTTAACACTGGTGCATATCTGAACACGATATCTAAATATTATTTTCTCATTGTTGTTGAAAAACAATTATTCAATTATAGTCCCCTTTACACCTAAATTATAAAGCTATTCGAAGAATGATGACGTGCTATGTCACAATGTTTTCACTTGGTACTTTTTAAGGTGCCATGATACTTAACAGGAAATGACGAAACAGGAAGTGACAAAAAAATTATGCATTCTGAGACATTTTTTGAACAAAGATAACAGAGTTCTGTTTTGACCTCCAGTCAATTTAACTATTTCCACATATCATTTACATGACCAGGATCACAATGTGCATGGTCAGAATGACTCTAAACATGATGAAATAACCTTTTCAGCCCTTTAAAATGTGACTGAAAAATAGCTAAAAGAAGGAGCTAGGGAAGATCTCTGAACAGAATCTTTTGAATTTTTCAGAAAATGTATACATATACGAGGGGTGATCCAAAAGTCTTGGACGCCCCGCTCTAACTTTGCTATTTTCTAATATAATTACATGAAACTTTCAGATAATAAAGATAAACATCTTAACAACTTTGTGTATAAGTTTCAATAGAAAATTATATATTTTACTTATTTTTCTAAATATTTTTTGATACCGGGTCCTTGCTACCCGGAACGGTATTTAATTATAAGAAATCTCGTCACAACTGTTATAATATGGCAAATACTTTAGGTGCAGGTGCACAACCTAACACCAGTCATGATATGAGAGATTTTCCGATTTTCAATCTGAGTGTCATCTGCCATCATCCTCACATATTAAGACCTACTTTTCAACATATTTTCCACGATTTGAACACATTTTTCATACCGCTTTACCAATGAATGAAAGACATTTATGAAACCGCCATTGTTTATGTGATACAATTGCTGCTGGAGTGTCACTCTTAACCTCATCCAATGAGTAAAAAACATTTTCTTTCAACACTCCTTTCAACTTGGAGAAAAGAAGGAAAATCACACGGAGCCATATCTAGACTGTTACGTGCCTTTGGTAGTTGCTCAAGGTCAATAATAGTGAAAATATATTGTAGTATTCTTTGTTTCACTTTGATTTCTTTCATGTTCTGCATTTCAGCAGCCATCTTGGAGCAAAAATGATACCAGAATGTGGGTTGATTGTCTGATGTCATTTTCTTAGAACTTGACATATATGGCCATTGTCATATGTGACATTATGATTAAAACACAATTAATTGGTTGCCGAGTAACAAAGGAAGTAAACTAACATGGTTTAACATTCAAAATTTAAGAAAAGATAGTGGTCAAGACTTGCAAAACAAGTCAAATAGCGGCAACATTTAAGGCTGAAAGTTGCCATGTGCGAATACCGTTCCGGGTGGCAGGGTCGCTAAATTGATAACTATCTAGAAAACTACATAAAATATATCATTTCACCATGAAATTAATACACAAAGTAGTTAGGTTGTTGGTCTTTATTATTGGAAAGTTCAAAGTAATTTTATCAAAAACCAACAAAATTAGAGCAGGGCGTCCAAGACTTTTGGATCACCCCTCGTATAATATTAATATAATATATAATGTACTATTGTGCAAAATCAAACCCATGTAGGTATACCCTTATCAACTAGTGGAAGCGTTTCCGAATATGTCGAGAAGGCGGTTACGTCTGGTAAAAGGAAATATTTCTCTCTACTTGGTCTAGGGAGTACTTGTGGTGGACTCAATCCTCTAACGGCATCACGCCTTTATTGGACGCTGTCTATCCCTACAATGCTATACGCACAGTGTATACGGTAGTTCAATCATTTCTTATTCGAATAATGATGTTGAATAATTCCAAACAGCCCATAGGCAGATTGGAAAACGCATTCAATGTCTTCCTAAATTTGCTGATAATGTATTTTCAACTGATCCACTGGGCTGGATGGACATCGAGTATAAAATCGCCTTAGATAAATTAATGTTCTTCCTTATGTTGATAACACTACCGGTAAAAATATTTATAAGCAGGTCTTTCTTTATCGAGCTACCGAATTCCAATATAATGGTCACGATGGTGCTGCGTCACCACTTAATACAATATGGAATGTTTTAAGCAGATTTAATCTTTTAGATGCTGCAACTAATATGATAAACACAGGTGTCTACCCATCAAAGGGAATATGGCGAAAATTAGTTTTAGGTAGGCTACGTCAAAGCCAAAATGCAACGTTTATGATTAAATGTGCTATAAAAAGTGCAACACATTTGTATGTGTAAAATGCTTTGCCCAGCCACTTAAATGGTGGGCACTCAGTTTCAAATACCCTAGTGATTTAAAATATTGCAAATTAATGGTCAATTTGCTTATGAATCAAACACTTAATGGAAATAAAAAATGGGGTGACAGAAAATGTAATATATGTGATAATGGCGAAATAGAAACATTGGATCACTTTTTACGTTTCTGCAATTCCATAGATGCAGAAAGAGTTGCACTTCTCAATTTATTTAGAATTGGTAATGATGACATTATATTTCAAATTTCAAATCAGACAATGATGAAGCAATGCTTTTAAAAGCCAAAGCTGTATTCCTAATGTATGCAAAGCGTAATATGCTTATGCAAATGTAATTTTATGTTAATGCAAAACAAAAATGTAAATGTACTCACAATATACACTTGTGGTAATAAAGGATACAACACAATACAATATAGCTCCTGTTGCCAGTAAGTTGTAGAACATGATGCCTTGGGCACCTGCTCAAATGACAGTTGTACTAGGAAAATATGAAAACACAGTCAGAGGTGACTGCCACAGCAATAAAACCAAATAACTTTTTAACCATGGTGTTTTGGCACTTCAGATTTAAGACAAATTATCCTCATTCAATGTATGGTGAATCTGTGGAGTTTCATCAAAATCACTTTAGGGACTTTACAATCATGGTCAAAATGCCTTCTTAAGTCTCTCTGAAATCAGGGCGTTTGACTGCGATTTGAAAGCATTTCAACCATGACTGTAAAGTCCCTGAAATGATTTTGATATCACTTTGCAGATTTACCATACAGTGAATGAAGATGATTTGTGCCAAATTTGAAGAGCCAAAACACTATGGTTAGGAAGTGACTGCGTTTTTCGTATTTTCCTAGTACAACTGTCTTTTGAGCAGGTGTCCAAGGCATCATGTTTTATAACTAACCATTTACAGGAGCTATACATACACAGTCTCTTCTTTATTTCCTGAAAATATGAACATAATTGAACCAGTATTTTTCAAGATATATTGATTTCTTAGGGTTGCTTTTTATGAACACCGTGTACATTAACATTTTTCTTCAAAATATATTGTAATGACTTCAGTATGAATGAAATGTCCCTTGGTGTTCTTGTCCTGGATTGTTGTAATATGTGGCTCTTGATTGGAGGGGGACGGGGGTGTTAGACATTATTTCTTCTCACGTTAGATCATGTAAAGGGTATATTTTTCTTATGACGTTTGCTTTTCCTGCTAGGTTTCTTTACAGTTTTTGATCCTCTCCCTTTGGCACTTGTGCTTAGATATTTGCCTTGTTTCTGATTCACTATGAAGTTATTTTTAAATGATGCACAAAAATAGTTTTCCTAGCACATCTATATGCTTCAGAACAATCTAAACAAGAGGAAATGCATTTTGCTATTTCAGCAACACGCTTAATATTTTTTAAACATTTTAAATAACAAAAATCACACAATCGCAAATTAAATCTTCTAAATTACGATCACTTACGAGGAAAATAATTCATCAATAGACTATTCAAATGATAACTGGTTTTTATTCCCATTCTTTAACTGCAATTTTGGGATTACACAATGGTTTTGAACCACGACGAGCCATATTTTATATAAGCGATCCATTATACTTCATATTCTTAGAAGGCAATCCCTTATCTAGAATAAGATAAATGATATACATCTGCAATAGTCCAGACACTGAAAAAATAACAAAACCATAGCATTTCTATTCAATTGTGAAACACTGTGTTTTATTTATGGATTATGGCGACGACTTTGCAGATGAAGGTTGACGTGCTTATGGACTTTGAAATTGGAATTTGTCCGTCCCACATCATTTGAGACTGAATGCTCTCTGCTGAATCTTGTATGATTACTAATTAGTATCTACAACTATTTTGGATCTTTTGAGTATTGGCTATCAATTTGAATTGTATTCTTACTTTTCAGAAGTGGAACATGTTTTGGAGTTTGACGGTCCTTATCTTCATAGTGCTTCCTCTTGCCAAAGGACAAAAAGGTAGGATATATGCTCTCCTCCAATTAATCCGATTTCACTTTGATTTTCTACCCGATCTTAAATTTCAATATGGCTTCTTTTCAAATATTGTAAATGGTTTCCAAAAATTCACAGCCGACTCGTTTTTCTTTAAGTGTGGTTTCTTGATACTTTCCCAGTAACCAATTGGCTACATATATACCGTAAAGAGATATCACGCGTAGCTAAATCACCAAAATAAAACAAGATTGTTTTTCTATTATAGGGTGACACATAGAATGCCACTCACATGTTGCATAGTAACATTGTTTTCAGGAAAACTATGTGGAGATGTGGTGTTTGTACTACAAACATCGTGCAACTTGAAAGGCAGAATAATAGATGGCATGCAATCAATCATGAGTGGTATTGCCATGAAATTGACAGATCATCAAAACACAACCATGTCTCTTATAACATACAGTGATGTGAGTAAATTATTTTAAGAAATGGTGAAGGAAAACACATTTCAAAATGATTCATTATCTGTTTTTTCTTTATAGTTGATCTATGTTCATGTGTATCATCACATAGTATCTAGATCTAGGTCATCTTGATACAATTATGGTATTTATTCGCAAAATCTCACAATACGTATTTAACAAAATGTAACTAACCGCCCCTATCACACCAAACTAGTTCTTACCCGTTCTTGCCAGTCCTACGAAAATGTCGTAAAACGGGCTCGATTTGGCTGCGGTCGGGATATATGTCTAAAATAATTAGCTACTTCGTTCATAAACAGTTTTCAATACGTCCATCACGTTCGCAGTTCGTTCAGGTCGCACCACGTCGGTGTGCAACGTAGTATAAACCGTCCCTCAGTCTAGAAGGTCATCATGACCTGATTACAGAACGGTATGGTCGCCATCGAATTTTGAATCGATTCAAAATTCTAAATCACATACCCCGTCCGGGAAAGTCCATGAAGTTCGTAAACAGAACATAGAACGTTGTAGCTACGTTCATTCAGTTCGCCCACAGTTTAAAACCGATTCGGCAACGTTTTGATGATAACCAGAAAATGTTGAGCATGCTCTAAGTGCTGGAGGACCTACTCCTTCTAGTAGTTTCATGAAGTTTGTAAACAGATCCCAAACGGTTCTTAGTGGGTTCTTAGTACGTCAAATCCGTTCGTGTACAGTTTAAGCCCGTTTTCGAGAACGTAGTGAGAACTAGTTTGGTGTGATAGTAGGGTAATGGATAACCATTATGCCATGTAGTTCAAACTTAATTGTATTTTACTTTAAAGCATGGTGGAAAGGGAATTCAATGTGCTAAAGAATTATTTATCAAACACCAATGATGATCATTTTACATTTTCTACAGTACTAGAAACAAGGCTACTATCAATATTTTACCCCCAATCACCAATCTGTGGCTCAAGGTAGAAAAATAACGGAGACAAAGAAACTTTGAAAAATTGATATCGAAAAGATCGGGACCCCTCCTGCATACATTAGGATTAAAATAATTTCTTTGTTGATCGTTATTCCAAATGCTTTTATTTGTAGAATGCTGCAGAGGTAATTGCTCCGAGAACTCCTGCAAAATTTCAGAAGACATTGTCAAATGATGGTATAAAAAGGGGTGATAATTGTCCAAATAATACGAAGGCAATAACAGCAAAAGCGCTTCGTCTCGTCGACATTCAAACTAGCGACAGGCAAAATAATTTATATATAATGTGTAATTTTCTCTTTTAAGCTTGCAATGATACTTGCATATTTCCGTTGATGTCATATGTTTATTTAAGATATTCAAAAACGTTAAAATATTGAATACCTTGAATGGCATTACGATTCTCATCACTTTGAGGGAAAGACGCTCTGGAAAAGAATGCATTGTTAATTCTCATCAGATTGATGCGAAACAAAAAATCTCCTTATTTTCAAGGATTGTTATCTCATAATAACTTAAATTTCTACTCCTTGCAACATTAACCTTATTATACTATAATACATAAAACCAATACAAATTCATCTATGTTTTCAAGTATGCATCTACCCAATCGCTTTTTGTAAAACCTGCTCTGGTTGGCTAATATGCTAAGGGGTCATCAAACTATTGTGGCACCAAATTCAAATGTTATGAAAAATTCAAATGAGCTTTAAACATGTTAAAACCTTACAATAAATTGAAATACTAGTATTTACATTAACAGATGTGTGAAATAATTAGATCTGGGCATAAAATATGAAAACCCAGGGTTGTTACAAAATTAATTGATAAATAAGCGAGTGATGAACTCATCCATGCATGAATATGGTTCAGAGAAAATGCATTTTAAAATGTTAGTTCTCATAGAAACCATTAATACAGAAATATTCCAAACACACTATATTCTTCTTTTCAATTTAGTTAGACAATCAACATTCGTTTATTTTTTGAAGCTTGGCATATTTGGTAAAGACTGACATAGAAGAAATTCAATTTTCGCAAAAAATGTTTGCCACCTGAGTGACATGACGATATATGATAAAAAAAAACTATACTATTCTTCTAGGGCTAAAGTAGTCGTTATTCTCAATGATGGTATATCCTTTGATTTGAAATCAAATATGGACGATACTTTGGAGCAAACAAAAGCAGAAATCAAAAGATTAAATGACAATGGTGTAATGTTCGCAACATACCCATTATATGACTTCATTAGGGCAGATAACGATGACAAAGATCTCCAATTAGAATATGAGTTTTACAACCAAATACTCCAGATGGATCCAACGACTGATAATAGTGATCGATTTATCAATGCATTATTCAATATGGAAGGGTTCCTTTGCCCAGCGCCTGATGCGCCGCTAACAACCACGCCGAAGCGTAAGTACCATGACACATTTATAAGACGTTCGGTCCAGAGAAAATGATACTTTAGGTAGTAGGTAGTAAAAGGCGACCAAATGTCCTCCATTTCTGTGGGTTATTGTACGTTGTTTTATCGATCGGTTGATCGTCAGTAGTAATGCATTAGGTCAAATGCTGACACGGGAACATACATCAATTTTTGTTTTTTAAACCCTTTGTTGTATTGGCCAATCCCGCTCACGAAAATGTTATCCATCTTCCGGGATATTTGCCAAACAAAGCTTCTTATTTCGTTCAAATTGGTCATTATGGCGTGCTGTCCTTGTGTGAGAATCGATATTTTACAAATTGAAATAGAACTTAAGTCATATTTTGAAGACTAAAGTCGATTTTTTATACAAAAAACAGATAAGGATTATGAACTAATATTTTATGGAGAGAGTTCTATAGTTCCCACTTTATATTTAACTGTAAAATGGCTCTCTTGTCCTGCACAACTGCTAAGCTATGAACTATTTTTGAAACTTCTGTAATTTTTTATTCCCAATTGATTGTTTTATAATTCAGTTTTTTATTCATGCAGCCTGCGTTCCGAGATTGGATCTGATGTATTTAATTGATCGATCCAAATCCATCGCTCCAAAGAATATCGAAAAAGTGAAACAATTCTTGATAGCTCTTAGCAAAAAGATAATTGGAGATTCCCCAGAAACATGGATCGGTGCCATTTCTTACAGCCACGCAAATTTCATCAAAACTGAACTGGATATAGCAAGGCATAATTCATGGGAGGACATAGAAAAAGGTAACAACATCATGCTTAAAACATCATGAAATACTAATTTGGCGATGGTCTTGGGTTTTCCTCGGTATGTCATGTTGTAAGCTAATCGTTAATCGTTTTGCTGTTGTAGCATTGAGAAACATGCCAACCACTACTCGTAAAGGGACCTACACTGATGAAGCTTTGGCGAAAGCTCGGAGGGAATTGGAGAAACTTGACGACAATGACAATACGAGAAAGCAAATTCCAAACTTGATTATACTAATAACTGATGGGGTGACTAACAAATATGAATATTTAAGCACGGATCCAAAGGACCAAACTAAATATACAACGTTCACAACAAATCAAGGTACTCGAATACTTATGTAAACATGTTCATTTTTATTCAAATTATACTTTCTATTTCAAAACTACCCAGGTCTCTTTTATTCAGGGAACTACTAGCATTTTGTATAGCTGCAGCGCCAACCGCAATACCAAAGGTTCATGTGCCCCACGGCTTTATCGAAAAGTGGTGCACCTATTCAAACAGAGGGCCTGGAAATATATTAAATTAAACCAGGATATAAAGGACAATTTAGAAGACAATCATAAGTAGCGATATAATATTTAACTCATTAATTACTACGTTTTAGCCATCATTGTTTGTTTACTCAGCCGATATATATACAGTAGAGGTTATTTAATAGGAAGGGTGGAATATGAATTTTATTTCGAGGGAAAATATGATATTAACAAATATTGATTTTTGATATTTCAAAATAGAAATAATTAATATTATTATATCGCTATCTAGCTTACAACTGTTTGATTGGTCAAAACTAGGTCACATGTCATGGAATATCTGGCGATATTCACTAATTAGATAAGAAAACCATGGGATATAGATATAGAAATGGCAGACAAAGGATTTAAACGAACTTCTGACGAAGAAAAGTTAAAATTAATGAAATATGTAAACAAAAAAGCTAAACATTTGACTGACGTTTTTGTTGATTGTATGGAGGAAACTGGGAACGATATAAACTTGCAAAATGTGCAAAACGTGAAATTAATAGAAAATTATAACACTTTTTGTGACTGGCTAAGAAGTCAAGACTAGACCCCGATCACTTTTAACCCACTCTCGATGTCAAATGCTATGGAATCAGTATAATAAAACAAATATTTCACTCTACTTTCGGTGAATACCTGTGCATATTTAACAAGTGGTATTCCACGAAGCCCGGAGAGCTAGTGCGGAATATCATCTTGTAAAAGTGTCGCAGTGGAGTGAAATATTTTTTCAATACTTATGTTTTTCATAATATGCCACAATAACACAGTATTAAGTCTCATGAAAGAATAGGTATCGATATGGTGAACTGAAAAAACAATGTTTTTCTCTTAAACCAATTATGGAAACATTCTGTAAAAACAAAGTTTTTTTTAGTGCAATTGTTTTTTGTTCCTTTCTACCAATTCCTTAGAATGAAATAAAATGTCTTTCCAAACCTTGTTGGAACAAAATAGCATATACAATATTTTCTTAGACCACTCAATATTATAGTTATACAAAGGAAATTTTGTTTGATTTTACAATAAGTATGCAAAAACTTAAAACAAAAAAAACTACAAAATAGATAAATATTAAGTTCAACATTTTATTTCATTAACAAGATTTTTTTTAAATCAACCAAACTTTCCTTTGTACAGTCATAATATTGAGAGACATAAACACGTTGTGTTTTATTACTGTTTTCTTAAAATCGTATATACTCGAAAAATCATATTTTCCCGGGAAAAATATATATCCTCTGTAAAGAAAAAAAGGTGCATTATCTTTTACCAATAATATCTTCTTTATGTTTCGTTATTATCAGACCAAACATTCAGAGGTATAATGTATGTATGTTGTGGCCAAATGGAGAAAATTTCCAAAAATATCATACATATGGTAAAATGTTAGAAAGGATTGAATAGAACGACTCCCAAAATTGTAAGTGTGACTTTTTACCATAAATTGACGTCATAAATTTGAGAAATCCTAAACCCGGCAATGTGCTCAAGAAGGGGATCTTCTGAGACATGAAGTTAAATTGCATTGTTAGTTACGTTTAGAGGAATACAACATCTTAAAAACGTTTTCAATCGAGTACAACTTTGTAAAAGATATCAGTTATATTACGAAAGTCCGATTAATTACAACCATTTTGTGATAAAATTTGAGGTTATATCCTTCAGATATAGAGGTCTCTTCTCAGTTCAAAATTAGGGGTAGGGGTAACATAGTTAATATTACAGTAAACTGGAAATTGTAAGATAATTATAACCCTTAATCTTTCTGAATGATCCATAAATATGTTATATATCCTATATTTAGCTTATGCATACCAAACTTTATGTCAGATGCGACATATAAATGTGTTTATTGAGCAAAATGGTTACATCCTTATTCCTCTCCTTAATTTCACTGCTATTTGACGCGCAAAATTGTCTAAAAATCATGTATTAAGCGGGTTTTGACACTTCTATAATTTCTGTCAGTGTTTCATACTCAAAAATTGGTAGAAAGGAACAAAAAAACAATTGCGCTAAAAAAACTGTTAACAAAATAGTTTTATAAATATATAAATACTTTTCGCATTAAATTGTTGTCAATCAGTCAACATTACAAGGGCCGATCAAAAAGTTTATTACCGTTGGCTCTAGTTGGCTCTAGTTGGATGCTTAAACTTGTACATAAGACAGGGTAGTAAGTTTGCTTGAGACTGTCTGAGTTTCGTTTAAATTGGTTCATTGGTAGTGCCACAGAGTCAATACATATTTTCAATGATTGAATTAGGTGGAGCAGCGTTTTTTTTATAAAAAAAATTGTGCTTAGCTGCAGTTTTGGAAATTTCTAACACTAAGTAGTGTCATCTGTCAATAGACTGTAGTTTAATCATGTTTTATTAGTTTTTCTGCTAATATTCATTCTCATTCAAAATATTCAACCCCAGTTGCAATGCACTTCCTATATGTGTCCACTCTATCCAAAAACACATGTTTAAGGCCTTCGTATGAGAGTTTGTAAACGATGTCGGTAAATTTCCAGGACCACAATTCAGCAGATATGTTAAATATAACGCTGCTCCACCTAACTTTGTCATTGAAAATATAAATTGACTCTGTGTCACTACCAATAAACCAATTTATATGAAACTCGTAGAGTTTCAAGCAAACTAACTATTCTGTCCCATGTCAAAGTTTGAGCTTCCAACTCCTCTTACTATAAAATTGAGGGCCAACGGTAAGAAACTTTTTGATCGGCCCTTGTACATAAAGGACTGTGTTTTACAGAATTTTTTCAATAATTGGTTTAAGAGAAAAACATTGTTAAATTCAGTTCACCATATCGATACCTATCCTTAGAGTTTAGTAATATCATACAAAATTTTGAAAAATGTAATGACTGATACAGGACCACGCACCTTGTTCCTTTACAGAAGGTGAACTCGAAAAATCGTATTGTCCGGGGGAAAAATCATATTGAGATCACATTCACTCAACAATCGATTCTATGATAAAAAAAAAGAATCTTTTTTTATAAAAAAAATTTACATGTCATATTTAACTTTGAAATAGACTTTTTGTCGTTTATTGTTACTTAAAATCATGTTTTTGTTATATAACTTGTTTATCTGTAAAAGGGCCATAGAAAAATTAAATCATGGAATAAAAAGGTCATTTCATGGTTAATTTTCAATATGAATCTTATTCCAGGGCAATTTGATATTGACTGAGGAAAATATGATATTGACCAAACGAACGAAGCAATATCTATATATACGATATATGTTCTTTTACAATTGATTTTCATACTTAGCTAATTATTTTTGTACACAGCTAAACTACTTGCACCACGTGAAAGAATTAAGTTGGGACCTACCTCAGGTACAGATTTGATGATAGTAGGATTACCTAATATACCGGGCAAGGAAATGCTGCAAAGCACAAATGAGAAAAAGAGGGAGCTAGGCCAAGCAAAACTAGATGCCGGCCGGTGTAAAAGAATGGCAGGACTCCGTAAGTTAAACTTAGTTTAAAGAATTATGCTTTACTTGGCTAACGAGGATTTACAAGGCTTGTTCTTAAAGCGAATCTGAACTTGTGATTTCACGCTCATATCCGCGTATAAGCAAGTTTTCCGTTAAGCAGTCGATGAGTTTGGACCTTTGATGGAGCAATGCCCCATAGACATAATTATTTTAACAATAACCCCCTTTGGCCCACAGTATTGAAGTTTACGTTTACACTCTGTCATGTCTGTCAAATACCTGTAACTTCTGTAACATCTCTAATGTCTAAAACCCTATCCCCCAGCCGCGTTTCAGAAACCTTTATCACTATCAAAGACAACAAGGTCAAGGAGCATATGCCTAGTATCCCTGTATAGTCCATGGTATGACTTCCGAATATGAAGGATCCGTAGCACACAATAGCGCAGCAACATTTGAAGCAATATTTATGAAGGTGTATATGTCTTGATTCTTTTAAAATACCATTTGCTGAAAAAACTTCCGGCTTTCGAGTCGAAAAATGTATTTCATCACAAGGGGTCAAAAAACGTAAATATTTTGATTCGAACTTTTATACATTTTATAAGACACAGACTGTTATTCTAAGCATACGAACCCAAAAATTGAAAATCATAATGTCAAAATTACTATGATTTTACTGTAGATGTCGGTGTTTAATTAGTGTAATTACACAAGTGTGTTTTTCAGATTCTGTTTGATTTTTCAAATATGAGCTAAGCCGATTCAACAAAATTGTATGGACTATTTAGGTATTTTTTTTTGATTGGGAACGTATTAGTTTTCTTACCAGTTAAAACATTTTATTACCAGAATTTTTCCATATAATCGTAAAGGGCCTAACAACAAATTATTGTCGATGTTTTATAAAACATAATACAATAACAAATAGGTAAGATTCATATCTAATTCGATGTTACAGAGGTATTTGCATGTTCATATATTCCAAGGGCATGTCTAATAATCAATTAGAGTCATATACAGTCGAACGCCTTAAAATTCTTCCTCGACGTTAGTTGTGGCTATCATCAAGTTTTCTTATGGTTGTTTCTTCTTTGACCTTACCGAAGGATATAATCAAATTTTAGGAAGATAATGAAAACGATTTTTCTCAATTATTCATGAATTTGACCAAGTCTTGATGGTTGTTTCATAAGCAACTGAGCTATATCTAACTACGAGAAATATAATTTTAGCTGTAGTCGCAATTAGTCAAGGAAGAGCAATAGACCCACCTTTATTGATAATGTTCACCGCTGAATAAAAGTTCATATCTTAAAACGTATTGAGACCCATTTTGTGAAAACCTAGCATAATTTAAGCATTTGTCATTCTAATATAAAAGTGATTCATTTGTAGCATTTATCTTATTAATACCCGAGAAACAATACAAAATGTCGATACACTGATGACATAATCTTTTGGTATTGGTAAGAAAAATAACCTCAAACTTTTAGCTTAGAAACCTAAATCATATACTTAAAATCATATTTTATTATTTGCTATTGCATTGTGTACTCCAAATTGTGAAAGTTTTTTGACCTCTGTTAATGGCAGGCATAATTCAGCCTTAAAGCCGGAAGTATATTAAACAGTTATAATAAAAATTATTAGGGGACATATGTAGGTATGCTAATGTTAGGTCAAATATCGCTGCGCTATAGTGTGCTACCAGCTCCTTTATTAGACGTCCTAGAGATTTCATACCATGGACTAGTAAGATAAAGCATCCAGTCTAAATCTATTGATGTTTTGTGAAGAACGTTAAATTGTTGAATCGTAAAATAATTATTCAAACATGACCGTGCTCTATTCGAATTTCTCAACCAATCAGAATGCAGCATAGCCAATATAGAACGTTCTCTAATTCTCCATAGATGCACGACCATGCTCTATTCAATCTGCAATTTGCATTGTTTTGAGTGACGTCACATCTCAGCTGCACATCTGGGGCTCTGTCCGGGGATAGCTGTTCTGAAATTTTTCCGGCCGACTTCAGAATCTTGACAGCATGCGTATTCTTCCTTCATGCCCGTTCCACAGACACGGCTTTTACTAATTTTTATGTTTGAATCGGAATAAATAATGATAGGCCATTCAATATGGTGAAATTCAGCACGAGTTGGACAGAATGTTAGTACAAATGCACTCCGGTGAGTGCATTTGTACTAACATTCTGTCCAACTCGTGCTGAATTTCACCATATTGAATGGCCTATCATTATTTATTCCTTAAATGAATAACGCCTTCGTTTTTTGGCATAATAAATCCAACTTGCTTTTCATTATTACAAATATCTAAATTAAATTAAATATTTCTATAAATAAAATTAAGCAATATATCAATGATATTCATTGTGAATTTTAATGTGTGTTTCAGATCAAAGCAAGGTATGGTGATGGGACAGATAAGTTGGATACCAATTTATTCACTTTAGACACAATGGAGGGGATGACGGAGAGATTTGATGAAATCTTGGCATCAGTGTGCAGCAGCAGCAATACAGTCTAATAGCTTGTATATTATGTGATAATAAAATAGACAGCATGCCTCAAATCTGTTTTAATACGAACATACATACATGAATTAGGCTTGTAAAATAAATCTTCCATTGTAAAAGACCACTTGTTCTCGATTGGCTAAATATGATTTGAAAAAAAAATTGAAGGACTTATCTCGTATCCCATAGAATTCTAATTGTTAAGCAATATTTCATGATTTAAAGTGTCAAACGCTTTTGAAAGATCAAGAAAAAGTCCAATTGAATACTCGTCATTTTCTAAGGCTGTTCTAATATTTTCAACAAAAGTTAAGATTGCCATATGTAGAGAAGTCTTTTCTAAATCCAAATTGTTGTAAGTAAAGGATTTGATTATTTTCGATAAATTGATAAAGACGTTTATGAACTAGTCTTTCAAGAAGTTTAGAAAAAACTGACAAAATAGATACAGGTCTATAATTCGTAAAGGCATTTATATTACCCTTCTTGAATAAAGGTATAACTTTTGCAAGCTTAAGAAGATTTGGCAAGTCAGACGGTACAAAAATGCACCAATATGCGAACGGCGATTATGGCGTAGTGGGTATATTTAGTATATCTGCCCGCTCAGAGTACAAATCTGCTTTCTGTACCTGAAACACGTCCAAGTATGGGATAAACATAGATTATCCTATATGAGGCTCAGGATATTGAGATTATCCCGAGGCAAATATAATATACCTGCCCGAGGGCCGTAGGTCAATATCCTGAACCGACTATTGGATAATATGTTTATCCCATACCAATCTTGGTCATCTGGTTCACATTGTTCAATCGTGGTAATATTTTAGAATACTCATGTCCAGTTTTGTTTTCTTGGCCGTGGGCGGATTTTCCTGTTGTCTCAAATATTCCCTCGTGAGATATGCACATCTACCTTCGGTCCCTGCGGTCCCTCAGGTAGATATGCATATCTCCCTCTGGATAAACCCCATATCCAAAACCTCCCAGTACATAACCCTTATTTATCCCATACTTGGACGTGTTACATGTACATAAAGCCGGTTTGTAAAAACTTATATTTTCATCAGCGGGCAGATATAGCTTTACGTCCTGCTCCGAGCGGGCAGATATAGTATATCTGCCCGCTACGTCATAATCGTCCTTCAATTTATAATCGTTTGGAACCATCGTGACGTCAAAATATAGCGTCTGACCTCATGATACGGGTACCAAATTAGTGACAAGCTTTAAGATGGTACCAAACATGTGACCATTCATTTGATTAAAATGCTAACTTGAATAAACCGAAAAGGTTTGTCACTCCCCTACCCCATCCATTTTTCAGGCCTGTGAAAAACACCCAAATCTCAAATAATCCAGGCATCTTCAGGGGTCGTTTTCTTACCCTGTCTTATTCAAAATATCATGTTTCTGGATAGCATTTTTATCAGAAATGTCTCAATTACCTAAAAACAGTAACACTGGTGCTGAATAAGAAAACATGTCCCCATAATGGTATTATTACACCAAAAGTAGTGTGAATGGCCTTTTCACGTGTTGGCATAACGTTTTGATGATATTTAAAGACATAGTTCCTCTTTCACGTATATTATCTCATTGAAATGGGCATACCAGCTTAAAGATCTTTGTTCCGTGGTAAAGAAAAGCTTTCAAACATTGTCTGAAGATAGAGCAGATTTATCTCCGTAATTTTACTTTTAGCATGGCGACCTTGACCTTGAAAAAATATAGCCATTTGGGCGATAATAGGTGATTCAAAAGTGGAAATGAGTTTTTTTCGTACTTTTACTTTGACCAAGCCTAGAAAAAATCCAGAAAAAATCGAAGTAGTAAACTTACGCCCAACTTTTGACATTTTTGTTGTCTAGAAGTGTCCTAGACGATATCAAAGTTTAAGAAAATTTGTATGTCTAGAAATATTTTATCACTTAGTTCCATTATGGTGGGTTTGGGTGCTTTTTTGCTCTCATTTTTACCCCATTTCTACGGTTGCCATGGTAACTATTAGGCTTTGGTAACCATGCCTACTTGATTTTTGAAGGATATCCACCTGATAGTAGTTGGGCCAAGTTTGATGGAAAATGGGCCTGATTTGATTTGCTGGCAGTGAGGTTGATTGTGGCAAGTAGTAAAACGGCAAAACATTAGTGGAGTCATACCATATATGTGACTGCAAATTGATGAATAGATATCGATAAGTAATAAAAAAAAAACTATTAGTAGTTATTAACGAAAGAAATATACAGAAAGGATCCGTTACCACATGTACCTAAAGATGCCCCCAAAGGTTTCATTGAATATAACATTGAAATAGTTACTTTTATCAATTATGAACACATCCAAAACAAAATTAGGTCATAGGGATTAAAACTAAGGTCATTCAGTAGATTTAAGTTTGACTATGCAAATCATTCTAAATATCATGTTACGGGTATGTTTGTCTTCACTCATGACTATTTAAAAAAAATCTACAGTCTACTTCTACAAAAAATTTAAGTGTAGCTACAAAAATCAAGATTTTATTCAAGGTTTTGTGAAAATATGTGAAAATTACTCATTTTAAGAGTCAGAATGACATGTGTTAAGAATGATTTGTTGAAAATATACTTCTTAAAGATTCATATTATACAGAAATAATCCTGGAATTCCAATTTACCCTTTCCAAAAAAATTCTGAGTCCTTATAGGTACACTAATGGGTATGGATCCTTTTATCAAGAACATTTGAAATTATGTATCAAACAAGTGACCTAGAGTAAATTGCATCTTCTCGGTTGGCAACATCAACTGCGACGGAACCAATAATATTGCTTTATCTTGAAAGTAACAATATTGAGAAAAGATTTAGAAAGTAAAAATAGTTACAACTATATTTTCAAAATGTATAAAATCAAATTAGATGGTTGGTGATTTTTTTTTTTGGGGGGGGGGGCTAAAGTGACTGGGCCTGCAATGGGGGGGGGGGGTATGGTATGTTCAAAAAAAGAAAAAGACAATTTTTTCAAAGATATATATAAACATGTTTTCGAATATAATCTAGTCATAATAACTATTTTAAATTCCAAAGAGAACAATTATTTTCAAACTGACTAAAAATGTCAATTCAAAAAGCCAGAGGAGAGGTTGAGTCAAAAGCAATATAAATAGTTTTAATATTACCAAAGGTCTCATGTAAAGTTCAAACCAATTCGACTTATATTACCCAATGTTATCAAAAGTGGTATGTGAAACTGTAGTAGAGAAAATAATGTGTTTGATAGTGCTGTGTCTTGTATTTGATGATATAAAATCTAAACTTCTGTTTCTCAATGGCGGGAAATTTAAATATTTTATTTTAAGTCACATTTAAAAAATGTACCATATAGTTTTTCATGAACAGTAATACTTGCACGATTAGACTATATTTTCACACTTTGCACAGGGCCTTTAAAAATATTTTGAATACCTTGAATATATGGAGTTACATTTAATTTAAACAAATTCGATTGCAAACGGGATCTTCAGCACATGCATTTTCTTCATTAGGACGCTTTGTACTAAGTTGAATCATAAAAGAATTCATTACGGTTTAACACAATGAAGAGATGACAATCAAGAATGTTAAAATTAGTTTAAAGGGTGCTTAATTTAACAAACTAATTCTTATTGCTGTATTGATGGTAAAATATAGTCATCGTACTTACGTAATATGTATGTATTCGATATAGGATCCTTATTTCTTGAAGAACTTATAGTCTTGTTTTGTTTATTTTTCTTTTTATATTTTTATTGTTGGATGTATCTTTGGCCAAATTAGGGCATCAGTGCAAATAAATCCTATTATATGTATGCATATCATTCCCCCGCGTAACTATGCCATTTTTTAGGTCAACCTGCCGACCCGCTTAGAACTATTTAGAACTACATGTTCATATTTAAGTATATAACGTATAAAAATTACATTATCTTGTTAATCAGACGATGCTATCACATTTGAGTTGGATGAACCATTGTCCTTATCTTAATGTTTCAAATAGTTCCAATAGTGTTTCTATTCATTCCATTAACAAAGTTAGATTGGATCTTTTATGATTTTACGGGTGCTTTCATTTGAATAACAATAGTACTTGCTCAGAGAGGTAGAAGTGGGATAAACCACGCAATTTGCCCAAATATTCCAATACACCATTTAAGAGGTTTATTAAGAAGTTTATTTCTCATATCATCATATGCTTTAATATTCATACGGATGACTATATATCAAATTTCAGGTACATATATGTAATTAGGTATACATTACAAATATTAGCATATAATATTTTTGATTAAACACTATAATTGCTTTGACGTAGCAAAATACTTAAGTGGTTAATCAAAAAGAACGACTGTCTGCAAATGCATTAGCGTTTTATTATTCAAAAATTATGCCACCATTTAACATTAATTTCGCAGACTTTAAAATGTGCATTATCGACTCGTATATAAGTACACTCTTGATTACTTCTTTTCAATCCATGACTGGACATTCAAGTGGTAAGTCAAAATTTTATTTTTAGATTATTATTCTATTATTTAAGAAGAGACGCAAATTAATAAACACGAGGAGCTCGGGCGTCTCGAATTCATGATAACATGGTTACGACAAAGCGCCTAGCTAAGCAATGGAATATGTAACGCTGATTCAAATTCCTTGTGTTGTACCTTTACCGCGCGTTACAGACATTTACGAGGGTTGATCATAAAGTTCTCATTATATTTCTCTAATTTCCTTATATTTCAATATATTCTAAAGAAATTCTCACACAACGTACAGCATAGAATTTCTTATTAAGTCAGCAAAAAAAGATTTAGATTAACAGAAATATTAATTAAGAAATGGTTGCCATAGTGACGGGAAATCAATGCACTCGGGGCAATTGTTTTGGAGGGCAGAAATACTTTTGGTTGAAGGAACATTTTATTTAGTATATAAGATAAATGCCATAAGACGTAAAAATCTAAATACGTTTATTACCTTTAAGAAGCAGAACATGTTTTGGAGTTGGATAGTCTTTACCTTCATGGTACTCCTCCTTGCAAAAGGACAAAAAGGTAGGATATATGCTCTACTTCGAATTAACTCGATTTCATTTTATGTTGACAACGCGATCTTAAATTTCAATATGTCTTATTTTCAATTTATAGACTACTGGTATTGTAAATTGTTTTCAAAGCGCCACTAAATCACTACATGTGGTACTGGCGAATTTTCTTGAAAAATGTACACAATTACCAAGATGTTGCTAATATATCCAAGACAAATACTTGTTTTTAAAAACTATAGTCCCTTCAGCAACTTCCTAATTGGACTAAGTGTTAAATCCTCTTTATGTTTGAATTTTTACTTAAATAATCAGCGATGAAATTGCCTATGATAAAGGTTGAAATGTAACTTGACTTCATTTACAATGCCTCTAGGTTTTCCCATTTTTTCTCAATAACAATATCCCAGATGCGAGTAGAAATAATCTTGATTTACGTCATTAATAATTCACAATTCAGTCAAATTGATGTCATATTTGGAATCTACATGTAAAATTACATTAAAGTGTGCGCCAAAGTTTAAAACTGCGCAGGCGCACCGCTCTCGCTAAACTATATAAAGAGATTACCAGGTACACGATTCAGAGGTAAGCCAGGAAGGCGAACGATCTTCGTCTCGTGATAATTTCCCATATAATCGTAACCAGGGAAGTTTCACCATTGAAATTGAAAATTACTATTAGATATACATGTACTTTGTAAATGTTATTTATGAAGCTATTTAGTGTTTGCATCAATCAAATGACTCATTTTGAACATATAAAAAGTATTTGTGTTTTGTTTCCCAGGGGATTGTTAATAAAAAATAAACTCTTCTAATCCCCTAATGTAAACACGGCGGTATACGTAGCCCGATTTATCGGGGACTTTAAGAAATGTGGTTTTGAAAAGTGTTTATCAACTTTGAAAATTTAACTTTCTTTGAAAATGTGACTTCTAGGTCGGGGAGATTCCCCATAGAGCCCATATTGTAAAACCACAAAAAGTGAAATATCTTTTCTTGTGTTGGGCAGATAATATTTTCTTTTACTGGACATATTTTAATTTGTATAACTATCAGATACATAAAGGTAATATGAAAAGTGAACCATTAAAACTGATGCATATTCAAGTTTAAGGGAATTTTGTAATCCCCTGCCATGTTAATCCCCCCGAATCAGCCACCTGGTGGCGAAACTGGTAACTGCCAACTCGCATCTGAGTAATTGTTCAGATATTGATGACAAAGGACAGGTATCGATATGGAGAACTGAATTCAACAATGTTTTTCTCTTAAACCAAGTATTGAAAATATTTTGTAAAAAACTGATTGACAACAATTTCATGCAAAAATTATTTATATATATTTTATATAACTGTTTTTGTTAACATTTTTTGTTTTTAGTGCAATTGTTTTTTTTGTTCCTTTCTACCAATTCTTGAGAATGAAATAAAATGTCCATCCGAATCTTGTTGGAACAAAATGGCATACACAACACTTTCTGAGACCTCTCAATATTATGGTTATACAAAGGAAATGTTGGTTGATTTAACAAAAAGCATTCCAAAGCTTAAAACAAAACCCACCAAAATAGATAAAAAATTAAGTTACGAGGGTTGTCCCAGAAGTAATGCACTATATGCTCTAACTTAATCAATAATGAATATTTTTCCATGAAATTTTCAGTAAATGTTCCTTAGAGACATTTTGATTATTCTACAAATTTTCATGTTGACTGATAAAACTATATTGATGTTACAATAAAACCAAGTCGGTGAGTTTGGGTAGGGTGGGGCAGGTCATACAGTCACGTCAAAAGGAATAAAAAATTGAAAATATGAAATAATTAATCAACAAATACCATTTTGTGTAGCAATAAGAAGTATGCTCAAAAATACATTTTAAGATACTAAATTACTATGAGCACATCCTAGATATAATGGATGTATATTGCACAGTGTCCAATTTCACATTTTCTCAAAATATCGGCCTTTGCATGTTATGTACTTTAGATGCTTGTCAGGTCAAACACTCGTAGCAATTTCTTCCACTGTGACTTGTGGAGTTTTTGCCTCCCATGTTTGGAGTTGTCATCCAGGGTCCAGTCATTACTTTTAAATCTCTTCTGCCACCTCATAATTGTAGTTCTATTTGGTGTATACTCCTTTTATACTTTCTTCACAGTAGCATAAGTTTGTGTGGCTGTGAGTCCAAGTGAAGTATGAAATTAGGCCACCAAACGCAAGGCCTTCTTTTATCAGGTGAGAATTGCAGATATTTTTGCAATTTCTTGACTGTGACTGAATTTGAATTTGTGACTATTGAACTGTGGTATTATGACATCACAGTGCTAAATTTCATTGTTTGTACTTGGTTAACATCACGCTGAATAAATTTAACAATTTCTCAAACATCTTGATCATTTAAAAGAAAGAAATATTAATAAAATAACACTTTGGATCTTTTCATAATTAGAAAAATTGGTACTTGCCCCGCCCACCCCTACCCCCATGTTACTATAGCAACCATATTAAGACTTAATATTAATGTTTGATGCTGAAACTTCTGAATATAACAGATAAAACTTCAATTGTATTATACATAAAATTTCAGCTGAATTGAAGATTATTAAGGAAAGTTAGAGCATATAGTGCATTACTTCTGGGACAACCCTCGTATACCTTTTATTTCATTAACAAAATACTTTTTTAAAATCAACCAAATTTTCTTTTGTACAATTACAATATTGAGAGACCTAAACACGTTGTGTTTATGTCGTTTTGTTCTAATGAGGTTCGGATATATGTTTCATTTCGAACGTATGATGCCAAGAACGAAAGAAGTGTTTGATGTGTTTTCTAAAACAATATAGAGAAAAGTATAAATATTTCAAATTATATTGTTACCATCCAAAAGATGACCATTAAATTGATACGTTTGACTTTGGAGATCTATAACTTTGTTGAACGGTAAATTGGTATATGGGGTACAAATAGGAGGCCGACTAATGGAACAGCCAAAATAACTAATAATGGATTTTTTATATTTTCACAAAGCTGGACAATTTTCTCAAATTTCATATTGATTAAGAAAATGTATTGCTTCCAATTTTGGTATGTGTATCTTTCAATGTATTGGTGTTCATATTCTGCAGTTATATCATTTGACTTCATCATTTGGGTCGTGATATGACATTTAAATCAGTAATAAAATTTTTCAAATTCAAAAGTCCTCAAGCTTAGCCAATCAAAATCAAGTATTTAGCAATGTTGTTAATTAAAATTACTTATCCTGACTTTTTCTACCATGTTAAAGTGTGGATGTAACCAGATATCTTAATGAGAGATGCTAGCAACTTTAAAACCGGCCTAAGATCATTTCTGTTAATCAAAGGATGCAAATCCAATTTCTGCAAAAACTGGGATTAAATGTTTATTCTGTCATATGACTTGTGACGAACCTATTAGTTCCAATTGGCTTACATGGGAATGTAGATTTTCAAAACTTCATCATATTTGTCATATCCGACATGGGGACTATATTGGAGGTATTCGAAATGAAGTCAATCCATTTTCCTAAAAGAAGTCTTTTCTTTACTCATTATTGAAATAAAAATTCAAACATAAATGGCGTGAAATCACCTTTAATACAGATAATGAGACAGCTGCCCCTCCTTGTCTGAATTCGAATTCATAAACATCTCTATTTTGTGTAAATCTTATCCAATTAACAAATGAGTCATGTCATCTTTCAAGCAATGATACATATATATTCTGTGAAAACGCCATTATGAAATCTCAAGTAACATAATAATAGAGTATTCGGTAACAAACTTTCGAATCCGGCCTCGTATTTCCGAATCTGGCCTCGTAAGATTTTGTAATTTTAAAATGATGAAGAGTAATTCCTTGGTTTCAGGGGAACTATGTGGAGATGTGGTGTTTGTGCTGCAAACATCGTGCAACCTCGATGCATTGATAATAGACAATGCTCAGGCATTCATGACTAGTATTGCCATGGAATTGTCGGATCATCAAAAATCAACCATGTCTCTTATAACGTACAGTGATGTGAGTAATTTTTAGAATTGGTGAAGGGAACACATTTCAAATGGTTGTTTCTCATTATCCCTTTTTCTTGATTCATGTTCATGTGTACCGTCACATAATATTAACCCTAATGTCTGCAACTTTTTTAATAACACTTAGTCGCAAGGTGGGTCATTTGAACCCTCTCTGCAATATTTTATTACTTGTCTGATTTCAATATAATATTGGTATTGTTGTAAATCTTATTCACTGATCTCACTGATTTTTTTAACGTAGAAGAACAAAGGTCGAATTGAGGCCAATGAGACATAGACGATGTAAATATTTGACACTTTGTTATATATTGTTAATTTCACAATAAATGTGCCAAAAATCTCTTTTTTAAAGAAAAATCTATCTTTCAAATAACCTAGGGTCATATTAAAAGCTTTTTTAAAACTAAAGTTATACACTTTCAGAGATCGTTTCTTCATCAAATCCTTAAATTCTTAATAAAATCCTCCATTTTTGTCAAAAACTCTCAATATTTCAACGAGACAGGCCGACGTTTTGTTTAAAAAGCCCCTTTTCTTCTGACCTTTCAAGAAGCTTTGCCACTGAACCGTAATTTTTATTTAAGATTAAAATGGTTTCGTTGTGAATTGTTATTTTAAATGGTTTAATTTATAGAATGCTGCAGAGGTAATTACTCCGAGAAGTCCTGCAAAATTTCAGAAGACATTGTCAAATGATGGTATAAAAAGGGAAGGTGATTGTCCAAATGATATGAAGGCAATGACAGCAAATGCACTTCAACTCGTCAGTCAAACTAGTGATAAGTAAGATAATTCATTATGATTTTATGTTATTTTCACCTTTTAAAGCTTACAATTGCAATGAGGTCAGCGTGTTTCCTTTTTGTCAATCTTTATTGAAGATGTTAACAATCGTGTTTAGTAATCGTCAAAACATGAGTATTTATTTTAATTATTTGTGGAAGACGCAAGTAATGCAATTGTTAAAATTGCATCAGATTGATAAATCTTAGCACGGTGCAAAAATACTTAAAAAGCATGTCTTGTTTTGCCTCTTCTGCATTAGTTGTACCGGATCATATGTTTGTAGCTTAATATGGGAAAAAACATATATTTGAAGACGAAGTTTATGCATGACATTTATGCTTAGTATCAATAAAAAACAAATTTGGACATATCTTTAAGTAATTGGTCGCCTAGTGTGACCAGTGCAGCGCTTTTCACACAAATTGGCCAACTCTTCAAAAAGTCAACAACCCATTTCACCAACCAAGCTGATTATAGAGAATGGTTGTCATAACTCAAAATACAATACAGATCTTTCTAAGAATATATTTTCCTTCTAGGACAGTCGTTGATAAGCTAGTCGTTGTTCTCAATGACGGCATCTCCTTTGATCGGAAATCAAACATGGACGCAACTTTGGAACAGACAAAACAAGAAATCAACAAATTAAAGGCCAATGGTGCGAAATTCGCTACATTCAACTTCTATGAAGATATCAAAGAAAACAATGATGACAAAAATCTTCAATTAGAATATGAACTTTACGATCCAATATTAGAGATGAACTTCGGCGCAGACTATAGGGATCAGTTTGTCAAAAAATTATTCGGTATGGATGGATTTCTTTGCGCAATGTCTGATGAGCCGCCAGCCAACCTACCACGTTAGTATCATGACATAATTATTTCAATGATATTCTTTGTGGTTTTGCATCCAGAAAAAATGAGAAATTCTGGGAAATGTCATTTCTACATAATTTGAAAATATTTCTAACATAATTGTGTATTCTATATATATTACTATATTCTATATGTATTGCATATGGGACTTTTTGAAAAGTATTGACCATTATGTTACTTTTTATTGGTAGTTGTAAACCTGAACAATTTCATCATCCTATTTTATATTTTATCTTCTCTTTATTTTATCTAACATTAAATATGTAAATATATAATTAAAGAACAGAATGGGATTAGGCTATGTAAAAATATTGTTTCACAAGAAAGATAAATGATTAAGATCCCTCGTGTTCTTACCAGTGATCGAAGTTGCCAATATTAAATTCACATATATTTGACACGTCCACGTCTTTTGACGTTATTCAGTGGTTAAACTTTACCTACTCGAATGTTTCGTAGTTCAGTATTTCTATTCTTGCAGCCTGCGTTGTTCCGTCATTGGATCTTATGTATGTGATTGATCGATCCGTGTCCATCTCGCCAGAGAATATCGAGAAAGTGAAACAATTCTTGATAGATCTGAGTAAAAGGATAAAAGAAGAATCTCCAGACACATCGATTGGGGCCATTTCTTACAACAGACATTCTTTTACTGAATTGAATTTTACAAAAGATTTAGCTACTATAGAAAAAGGTAACATATGACATAACATCATAAAATACTACTTTGGTGATGATCTTGGGTCTCCTTTTGTATGCTCATTTATAAACTAATTGTTGCATTGTTACATACAGATTGTGCAACTCACTTGAAGCATGTTTATTATTCCCATAAAGTATAACTTATGAAGCGTTTGATTTCATCATCATTTATTGCGCAAGGGCTTTCTAAATACAATTTTGTACCTGATGACTATTAATAGCTAGTTCTTTTCAACTCATTTATAAGACCTCATTTTGATTATGGTACTGCTATTTTTAACACTGCATCAAAATATCTTCTAAATAGACTTGATCAAATTTATTATCAGGCTGCTCTTTTGTGCTCTGGTTGTCTTCATGGCAGTAATACTGATAAAGTTTTGAATCTCCTTCAATGGCCTTCTCTAGACACAAGAAGAAAAATGCAAATTAACAACTTTATGTTTAAAGTTGTAAATGGTCCAAATCCACTCTTTTTAGATGAAATTTTTGATAAATTCAAAAATCAGGGAACACGCAATCTGCGTGATAGATCTGACTTTAATTTACCAAACAGGTGCTCAAAGAGGTTCTTGAATTCATCAGTTCCATCAGCAATATCAAACTGGTCACGACTACCAAAACGATTACGTAATCTGAAAACTCCCCAATCCTTTAAAAAACACCAAAATATTTTGTTTAAAAACCAAGAAAGTTTTATTAGCACCTCCAAACTCAATCTAAAAAGATCTCATGAAATTTTGATTAACCAATTTAGAGCTGATCTTCTTTTCAAAGCCCAACTTTATGCTCACAACTTTACTTATGTTGAGAATCCAAACTGTAAATGTGGAGCCCCCCAGACAGAAAAACACTTCTTCTTCCAGTGTCCCCTTATTAAAGAAAATATAATAATATTAAAAACTGATATTATTAATATAACTGGACTATCAGATAATCATTTAACTCAGAATGATCTCCTTTACTTAATGAAACATGCCTCTGACAATATTTCCCTTGATCTAAATTCACATCTCCAAACCTCAATCGCTGGATTCCTTGAAATGAACCTGTAACGTTTTCCCCTCCCTACATACTATATATACTATACTTTATTTTATATTATCCACACTTAATATTTCCACCCCATGGCCAACCACAAGTGCAGAGTGAACCCCTTGACCTAATCATAATTTTGTATTTTTGCTATTAATGTACCCTTCTATAATGCCTTCGGGCGACTGAAGGGATTTATATTATGGTATTTTTATGAAGCAATGAATATTTCTTAATAAAAAAAATATATATAAAATAGCTAGTGTTGTAGTTGCTATTATTAGCAATTTGTAATGTCACCTGATCAAAAGTACGGCTGTAATAAGCTATTATTGGACAATTTGTAATGTCACATGACTGATAATTTGTAACAATAGACAGAAATTTGTCTACATTTGCAATTTATGCTTACATATGCAGGTATTGTGAAATAGCCATGAATAATGTAAATTCCATGTTATAAAAATAGACTAGCCTATACGATCGCTGGAAAATGACCAAATAGTTCCCATTTTATTAATGTTTCTAGAAATAGATCATGACATACAATTTTTACCAAGATACTAATATTAAAAAGAATAAACTTACAAAAATGGCATTTTTGTTACCTTACGATAAAAGGCCGAGTTGCGAAAATTCTCTAATATGTATAATATTGCTGTAGCACTGAGAGACATTTCAAACACTACTCGTAAAGGGACCTACACCGATGAAGCATTGGAAAAGGCTCGGTTGGTATTAGAGGGACTCGTAGACAACGGCAATCAGCAACATCATACAAAGTTGATTATACTAATTACTGATGGAGTGACTAACCACTATCCATTTTTAAGCAAAACAGATACAAGTGCAGCGGCGCAAACCAGAGATACAAAGTTTACAATCAATAAAGGTACTGGAACGGTCATAAAAACATGTAAATTTTCATTCATTATAAATTATATTTACAACTATCCACGACTCGGTTATACCGTGGACTACAAGCACCGTATATTTCTCTATATTTTGACTCATTAATTATTTACTGTGTTTTAATTAGCCATCATTGTTTGTTTACCCAACCGATATATAATTCTACAGTTGATATTCAACATATTTGAGGAAATGCAAAATGTCACTCGACTTTTTGGTCATATCTGCATTTCACAATTCAAGATCAACTTCTGAAGTATTTTGAAACCACCTTCTATTTTGCCTCACTGAATTTTAATATTCCCCAAAACATTTCTCCCGAATCAGGAAATTAAGGCGATTAGCAAATACATTTTTTAGGGAATTTCAGTCACAAAAAATAGCGAGTGACAACTTACAAATCCCCTCGAGTGTAACTTGTATTTGCGAGTGCAACTTTCGACTGTGATCAACGACTTGATTAACCTGCTATTTAATGGTCAATTTATATAGGAATAGTACCTATCACCATTTCATTCATATTTAAACGGGTTGGTCATGCATTCACGAATTCAAGCTTAGTTAATTATGCCACTCGACCTTTTTGGTAACTCTGAACTCATGTCTGCATTTCACAATTCAAAATCAACTTCTGCAGTATTTTGAAACTACCTTCTATTTTGCCTCACTGACCTTTTATTATTTCAATTTTTTGTTTATGGTGTTCGGCGGGTGGCGATCTGTGTTTGTAACAAATGACAAGTGGTATAATTTTACATGAACGGAACCAATAATGCTTCGGCGTAGGCTCTGTACTTATTCAATATTGTTATGAAATAAAGAAAACATAAACTTAAAAAGAACATTTATGTATTTATTGCCTTGCTATCTTTTACAGCTAAGCTACTTGCACCGGATATAGATTTGATGATATTAGGATTACCTAACATTAGGAGTTTGAAAAAGAATGACACGATGGCCGAAGCAAAGTTTAATGCCAGTAGAGGTGAATGGAACGGCGCGGTAAGTCCAGAACTAATTGCAATAAGGAATTTTTGCTATCCTATTTAAATATTAATGTTTTGACAAAATTCGTTTTGAATTCGTTTACAGAATTTCTAATTCATCTTGATTTGTTTTCTTCCATTATACATCATATCATTTCCTGCATTTTTGGTATACGCCAAACAGTGTAAAATATGACATCATTATCATAGTCATATATAGGCTCATGTTTTCAAATCATTCCCTGCACGAAAAACTGAAATCGCAGATTAATTTTCATGTCTCTTTGTCTTACATTTCCCTAATTTGAACAAAATCCGGATGTTAAACGACGTTATATTTCGGAAGTTTGTTTTTGTTCGTTGCTTCGGAATATTATGCGCATGCGATCATGCGTGACGTCAGACATCATCCCAGCAGGGGGGGGGATTTCCCAAAGATGACCTATCATATTGGCACGTTCGAAAACAAATTTTATAAACAGGCCTCAATTTGCCGTTGAAATGGATCTCCAAATGTTCACTGTAGTTTTATGAGTATTCCCTACAAGTATGGATCGAGTAACTTCAAGAGTATTACCGTCGGTTTGAAATAATGATGTTGAACTGATGTTAACGCCATTCCCACGATTTCAAATTTAATTTTGCGCATGCGCAGCACTGAGAGAACACGTGCTCATGATTGTTCACGTGATCACATCCTGCAATTTGATTGGAGATGATGCGGGAGATGATGTAATGGGGAATCCCCGAATACGATAGAATATGAAAGAATTATGGGAGCTACTCACTTCTTCTGTCATCCCAAATAATCTAGACCTCACTGATTGGTTCTAATTTGAACAGTTTATGACGGCATGGACACGTTTCATTACCGATACAACAAAACATACAATTAATAGTAAATAGTATTCAAAAAACAATTGTGGTGATCAAAATCATTTTATGTTCCCCAGAAAACATAAAAAATATTTATTTACTTAAAACTGCACTCACATTCACCAGTCTTTAATTGTGTCATTGGTTTGATACCGTCTAAGTGACACAGTCTAAGTGAAATTTCATTACATGTTTTGTTAACTCAAAAGTTCAGTGGTATAGCTTAATTTGCAATGGTTTTTGCTGTTTCCCCGCCGGGGCTGCTCCTTGGACTTGATGGTTGATGGAATTCTTAATACCGTGGGCGTCACCTCAGCCTTTCTTGCGATTTTTGTCACAGAATAAATTTACTTGTTGGAAATCACACAAAAACCATATTGATCTAAGTTGCAATCTGAGTTGCAACCCCCCCCCCCCCTACAACAGTTCAGAAACTATTGTCACTCTGACATGCCACAAGAATAATGGGGCAGATATAGATTAGATTAAAGATTAAAGATGTTTAGATTTAGATTAAATTAAACATTATATCAAAAACATCTATTGTCAATGTAAATGTGTGTTTCAGATCGAAGCAAGGTATGGGGACGAGAATAGGCTTGTGACCAATTTATTCACTTTGGAAAAAATGGAAGGGATGGCCGATAGATTTGAAGGAATCCTGGATTCAATGTGCCGCAGCAGCAATACAGTCTAATAGCTTGTATTTTATGTGAAAATAAAATAGACAGCATAGCTCAAATATTTGGCTTGATATCTTCTTTGACATACCTATTTTCTTAAAATGTATGGATAAACTATCAATTTCAGCATTAAGAAGTGTAAATTCAGTTCAAAGCTTCTATTAAGGGAGTCACATGAAATATCAAAACTTCAATTTATTTTGACACTGGACAGTGATCGTTGGACGGCCCCTGCACTAATTGTTGCACCTTTAATAGTGTGAATCCCAAATGGGATATATTGATTTCCTTCTTGACTATGGGATAGAATTCCGAGAAACCCGATAAGGTGCCGGGCAGTAAGAAGTATGGTGGAATGTGATTTTGTTTATCAAATCGTAACACGGTATCCCCATGAGTCAATTTAGTCGAAGAGCAACGTGTGTAACAGCAAATGCATTATAAATATGACGAAAATCGTATTATCGAATTATATAAACGAATATGTTGAAGTCAATTATAGCTTTACGTTTTCGTGCCTTAACTTAGAAATTCATTGAAAATTGTAAAATAGAATTCCAGCATTATTTTTGTAAATGTACGACTATCCCCCCTTTTAGATGATGTATGGAACCAATAACAAATGTTTTATCTTGAAAGTAGTATATTTAGAAAAGATTCAGAAGGTGAAAAAAGTTACACCAATATTTTCAAAATGTATATAAAATCAAATTAGATGATTGATTAAGTGTACCATTTACATGATGTATCACATTGCAAGGGGATAACAATATGATTTGTATTTTACAGTGGTGTATTCAATGATACGTTAAAACGTTTGTTACTAAGACGGCTGAAAATTCACAAAATCTTAAAATACTAACAATGTACTTTTAAAGACAACCTTTTTCGAAAAATATATAAACATTTTTTCGAATACAACTCTACTAAATATATTTTGAATTTCAAAGAGAACAATTATTTTCAAACTAACTAAACGTACAAAGTTCAAACCAATTAGGCTTATATTACAAGCTTACCCAATGTCATCAATAGTGGTATGTGAAACTGGGGTAGAGAAAATAATGTTTCAGCGTTATGTATTGCACTTGATGATGTAAACTCTAAACTTCTGTTCCGAATGGCGGGAAATTTAGATATTTGGAAATTATAAGTCACATTTTTCAAAAAAAACATCCAAATAGTTAGTCTCAAAAGTAATAATTGAATGATTAGACTATGTTTTCAAACTATACACACGGCCTTTAAAAATATTTTGAATACCTTGAACATATGGGGTTAATTAAAACAAATTATATTGTGACCGGGATCTTCATTAGCACATGCATTTTCTTCAATAGCTTTGTACTAAGTTGGATCATTAAAGATTTCATAACTGTTTAATACAATGAAGAGATGACAATAAAGAATGTCTAAAGTTAGAATTAGTTTAAAGGGTGCTTAACTTAACAAACATATTATGATTGCGGTATCGATGGTAAAATATAGTCATCGCACTGACGAGAGTTAAAATATGTATGCATAGACTGAAACCTCGCACATCTATGCCATTTTGTAGGTCAAACTGACGACCCACTTAGAACTATTTAGAACTACATGTACATATATAAAGTATAAAATTGCATTCTCTTGTTAATCACATGATACTATCATATTTGAGTTGGATGAACAATTGCCCTTATCGTGATATTTCAAATAGTTTCAATAGTGTTTCTATTCATTCCATTAACAACGTTAGATTGGATCTTTTATGATTTTACGAGTGCTTTAATTTGAATAACAATAATACTTGCTCAGAGAGGTAGAGGTGGAATAAACCACGCAATTTGCCCAAGTATTACAATACACCGTTTAAGAAGTTTATTTCTCATATTATCATATGCTTTAATATTTATACAGATTACTACATTTCAAATTTTAGGTACATAATGTAATTATTTGAGCAATAACCACGTAGGTATACATTACAAATATTAGCATATTATCTTTTTGATTAAACACACACACAATTGCTTTGACGTAGCAAAACACTTTAGTTATTAATGAAAAATAAGTATCGTCTGCAAATGCATTAGTATTTTATTATTCAAAAATTATGCCACCATTTAACCTAAATGACAGACCTTAAAATGATCATTATGCACAATATATAAGTGCACACTTGATTACGTCTTTGCAATCCATGACCTGGACATTCAAATGGTAAGTCTTCAATTTTTGTTTAAGAATTTTTTGAACTTATCTATTAAATTCAGATATCTAAACACAATATCTGAATATTATTTTCTTGGTTTTGTTGAACAACAATTACACCCCATGCTGACAGATCGCCTAAAACTACATTCGTATGATGAGAAACTCGACATTCAACAGGAAACCATTTATTAAGCAGTAAAAAATAATTTGCTGCATAGGTGACAAATTGTTTCCCGTTGAATGTCGAGTCTCGCATCATACGAATGTAATTTTAAGCGATATATCTGCATGGAGTGAATTATCAAGTTAGTCCCCTTTACATCTAAATTATAAAGCTATTCGAATAAAGATAAGTTTATTTTAGCATTGTTAGGTTACTGGTCGAATATGAAGTTATCGTTAAATAGTGCAAATGTCTTTTCTTCGGGATAATCTAAAAAATCTAAGACACCAAGAAATACATTTTGCGATTTTTTTTAATTAACAAAAGATAAACAATCGCAATTTGTTCTACTCAATAACGATCACTTTAGAGGAAAATAATTCATTAATATTCAAATTATAAGTGTTTTACGCCCTTTTTAAACTACATCGATCTTTTGCATTACACAAACTTGGTTTTGAACCATGAGGAGCGCTTGATAGTCTAGTTCAGCGGACTATTGTACGTCATATTCATTGAAACTTATCCCTTTATCCTTGATGAGATATATGCTTTTCTTGGCTTGGCTATTTTTGGCACCATTTCAAGTATATGTGCGTCTTTGTTTTAAGACAGAGTAAGATCTAAAGGGGGTGGCAAAGAAAGATCTGGGATAAAGTGAAGTTATTAAGGATTCAAATTGCAAAAATGGGGGGAAAGAGTTTAAATTCTCCCAAATAATGAAAACCATTAAGATAGAAAACTATAACACATCATTGTAAAAATATTTAATTTTTCTTGAATAAAGTATGTGCTTTGGAGATTTAAAAAAAATATACATAAAAATAGAGCGAATGATATGAGATATGAGCTAAAAATATTCTAAAACTGAAACAACTTTTTCTTGCTCAAAAGATCTGATTCTATCTTCAATTATTATTTTTTTGAATAACAAAAAACCGAACGATCGCTTTATGAATTTTTCAATTCGGAACACTCTGGAGAAAAACAATACAAAAATATTTCAACTATGCCTGTTTTCATTCTCCATTTTCAACTTCAAGTTTTGCACTTTACAAATTTTTTTTGAATGCACCTACTCCATGCAAAATAAGCCTTGACTTTTATGATAGATAATTTTAGTAACGTGATATACAGTGGTGTCTATATCATAGAGAGGTTTCGCACAACGTTTTCAACCAAACGTATCAAAAATGTGTAATGTATTCACCAGATTTATACGCAGCAGTTCTAACTTGGTGCGGCTGCGGAAACATTAGCTATCACCTGTGCGAAACCTCTCTACTAGGTCTATTCTTTGTGAGTCATGAGAGATGATAGTGGTCAGGGATGACATGTTTACGTGAATGATTTGTGCAAAATTACTTTATTACAGTGGTAAAATTCAACTTAAGAACTATCTATTTTATATCTAATCTTTTTTGTCAAGCCTCTTAACAAAAGATTGGGAATTTAGAGGGCAGATATACATTTGGTTGATGGAACTCCACTTTTATCTAGTATATAATGTAAATGTCATAAGGCTGTCACTGCAAAAATCTTAATAAGTTCATTACCTTTTAGAAGCAGAAGATGTTTTGGACTTGGACAGTCTTTATTTTCATGGCACCCCTCCTTGCCAAAGGACAAAAAGGTAGGATATATGCTCCACTTCCAATTAACTCGATTTCATTTTATGTTGTCAACCCGATCTTAAATGTCAACATGTCTTATTTTCAATTGATGGACTAATGGTATTGCAACTTGATTTTAAAACGTCACCAAATCACTGAATGTGGTATTGAAGAATTGTCTTGAAAACGTACACATTTACATTAAAGATGTTGCTAATTCAACCAAGAAAAATATAATTCAATTTTGCGTAAAATTTGTTTGCTCATATGACCCTAGCGTGTATCAGTGAATGACGTGAAATCATCCTTTATACAGACAATGAGACAGCTGCTCCTCCCTATCTGAATTTGAGTTCAGAAACATCTGTATTTCATGAAAGTCTTATTCAACTAATAAATGAGTCGTGTCATCTTACAAGCAATGGTACATGTATAATCTATGAAAATTTCAAGATTAAATCTACTCTCAAGTAACAAAAAATAAGAGCATTTTGCTAAAAAAAAACTTTCGGATCTGGCCTCGTATTTTGTATATTAGATGCCTTTAAGATTTTGTAATTTATAATCGTAACAAGTAACCTGGGTTTCAGGGAAACTATGTGGAGATGTGGTGTTTGCACTACAAACATCGTGCAACCTGGATAAATGGATAATAGACAATGCTCAGACATTCATGACTAGTATTGCCATGAAATTGTCAGATCATCAAAAATCAACCATGTCTCTTATAACATACAGCGATGTGAGTAATTTTTAGAATAAGTAAAGGGAACACATTTCAAATGGTATTTTCTAATTATCTCTTTTTTATTGATTCATGTTCATGTGTACCGTCACATAGTATTATGAAGAACACGTTCTTTTTTGTTGTTCTCAATCAGAACTAAAACTAGCTCGATCTCAATATCTCAGTAAAATAAAAAGTATAAACAATAGTTTTTCTCATTTTAATACAAGTAGTCTATTTTTATACTCCCTGTTAGCGCACGATGATGCAATTAATGAAATAATTGGTGATTATTTTACGAGAGTTCACAATATTACCAAAGAGTTGTTAAACAAAACTGATGTGAAATCATTTTATGCTGTTTAGTAAAGTACTTAGTGATTGTTAAAATTAGATTGTAAGAATTGTTTTGCCATGCATGTACATGAATGTTTTATTTGTTATTTGCTTTATTGGACTTATCTCGATGTACATTACATGTTCAAGAGACCAATAAACTTATTAATAATTAACCCTAATGTCTACAACCTTTTTACTTAGTCGCAAGAGGGGTCATTTGAAGTCCCTTTGCGATATGTGATTACTTGTCTGATTTCAATTTAATATTGGCATTGTTGTAAATCTTGTCCACTGAACTCTTCATAAAATGTTTTTATATGTAGGTCAATAAAGGTCAAATCGAGGCCCACGAGACATACAAAATTTTAGACATTTTGTGATGAATTCTTAATTTTTCACAATAAATTTTGTTATGCCAAAAAATGTTTCGCTGACTTAAAGAATAATCTAACATCTTTCAAATAAACTAAAATCATGGTAAACGCTTTTTAGAACCTGGAGTTATACACTTTCAAAATCTTATTAAAATCAATGTAATGTGGAAGTGAATAGTCAACAAGTTCAACTTTTTTTGTCTTTAGCATTCATATATCAAAATGTAACAAATGCCAATCAGTGATTTAGTAGGCAGATGTATGAATGTATGACTTGGTATTGTTCCAATATAATTGCTGTCCTTGATGTTGCCTAACATCCAACTAGCAACGTGACAAACATCGAAATAGTAAAATTGAAAATTGGGGGGTAGGGGAGAATAATGAAATTAAATCTAAAATTTTGAAAATTTATCATTATTATTCTTATATAACAATTTGCTCAGACATTCAGGAATATGCGAAAAAAATCAAATATTTTATTGCCAACTATCACCAAATTGCAAAAAAGTACTTTTGAAAAGATCGAGGGGTGGGGTCGGTATCCCCCCCCCCCCCCTGCAGACATTAGGGTTAAATTGGGTATCTGGTCGACTCGAATCCAAATTTACTCGGACCTATAATGTGCAATTTCCTTTGCCAATGTCCGTTAAATCTGGCAAAATGGTGGAAAGGCATAAATAAGCTTCTTGCTCAAGCAAAAGGAGTTTACGCAGTGACTTCGATCTGTAAACCCTTGAGTAATATTCCGGGATGCGCCTTTTATACTAAACAGTGAGTAACACCAAAAACGAGCATTCGATTTGCTAAACGATATGCGCTACCCTTAAAGTCATCAGATTCATTCGTGCATAACCTCATCACATTGTATCTCCTAATTAATTTAGGGCAATAAAGCTATACATACATAAGGTTTATCATGTATCCTATTCTATCATCATCCTTGAACTAAGGTCACATTTCATATTTATAAGTATAACTCATATATTCGAAGAATAATTAACGTTCGGATATCTGATTGAGTTTTAAAATAGCCGCTCACATGTCAAGCCTCAACTCAAATCGGGAGAAATCGATTTTCCGTCAAAAACCCCGATTCCTCATAAAATCCTCCATTTTTATTTAAAACTTCCAATAATTTAACAAAACAGACCGACTTTTTGATTTAAAAAGTCATACCTTTCTTCCGATCTTCTGATCAAAAAGCTACGCCACTGAACTGTAACTTTTATTTAAGATTAAAATGGTTTCGTTGTGAATCGTTATTTCAAATATTTTAATTTATAGAATGCTGCAGAGGTAATTGCTCCGAGAAGTCCTGCAAAATTTCAGAAGACATTGTCAAATGATGGTATAAAAAGGGGTGATGATTGTCCTAATAATATGAAGGCAATAACAGCAAAAGCGCTTCAACTTGTCAGACCAACTAGTGATAAGTAAAATAATTTATTGTGATTTTGTGTTATTTTCATCTTTTAAGCTTACAATGAGGTTAGCGTGTTCCCTTTTTGTCAATTTTTATTGAGGATGCTAACAATCATGTTTAGTAATCGTCAAAGCATGAGTATTTATATAACTATTCGTGGAGGATGCAAATAATGCAATTGTTAAAATTGCATCAGATTGCTAAATCTTAGTAGGTGTAAAAATACCTAAACCGCATGTCTTGTTTTGCTTCTTCTGCATTAGTTGTATGGGTCTTATGTTTGTAGCTAGCTTAATTTGGGAAAAACATCAATTTGAAAACGAAATTGACATTATGCTTAGTATCAATAAAAAACAAATTGGGATATAATATATTCAAGTAACTGGTCGCCTATGGTGTGACCAGTCCAGCGCTTTTCACACAAATTGGCCAACTCTTCAAAAAGTCAACAACCCATTTCACCAACCAAGCTGATTATAACTCAATATACAATACAGATCTTTCTAAGAATATATTTTCCTTCTAGGACAGTCGCTGATAAGCTAGTCGTTGTTCTCAATGACGGCATCTCCTTTGATCGGAAATCAAACATGGATGCAACGTTGGACCAGACAAAACAAGGAATAAACAAATTAAAGGCCAATGGTGCAAAATTCGCAACATTCAACTTGTATAATGATATTAAAGAAATTGACGATGACAAAAATCTTGAATTAGAATATGAGCTTTACGATCCAATATTTGAGATGGACTTCGGCGCGGATTATAGGGATCAGTTTGTCAACAAATTATTTGGTATGGATGGGTTTCTTTGCACAGAGTCTGATGTGCCGCAAACAACCACCCCACCACGTTAGTATCATGATATAATTATCACAGTGATAATCTTGATGTGTTTTTGCATTTCAGGAAAATGAGAAAATCTGAGAAATGTATTTTCTACATAATTCAAACATATCTGTTACATATTTGTGTATTTTAATGTTTGGCCATATTCATCTTGCTATTTTATCTCAACATTAAATAATATGAATATACAGGGTGTCAAATAAGTCCCGTCCCCCCTGCTACAGCTAAAACCTTAACAGACAGTACCTAGTGTGATATACCATTGGAAAGATCATCCAAAGTTATGTTAACTCACCAACTCTCAAGTATTTTGGATGAAATTTACCTATATTTTTATGATGTCTTTTATAGTTAACGTGCCCTCCTTTAAGTAGCCTTTTTGCGTCAAAATGACAAGGATATGACCTCAGAAATACGTCAAAAAGTAAATCTTTTTCGCATTCCACTTGCTACAAAAAAGTTTTCACCACTTTCCTTGCACCTCTATTTTCTACACATCTAACCCTATCCAGAAATTGGTTAAATTCATCGCCATAAACATTTTTAGTCATCTTTTGGTCCCTTGACCTTTCTTACACCCGATTCTTAAAATCCTAACAAATACGCCAAATTGCCATGTTTCTAGGCATATGGTCACCTCAACTGATACACTGTAAAAAATTGTGAGATTGAGTGACATGTGTCAGATATATGCCAATCAACGTAACTTTGGAAGACCTTTCCGATGATATATCACACTTGGTACCAAATATCTTGGTTTTGGCTGTAGAGGGACGGGATTTATTTGACACCCTGTATATACAATAACTGAACAGATCCAGATTGGGCTATATACAAATATCGTTTCACAGACCTTTTTTAAAATTTTTTACTATTTTTAATATGATGATGATGCTCGTGGGGCTGTGTTTTGAAAATTGGGTTGATTCTAATAAAGATAAATGATACGGATCCCACGTGATCTTACCAGTGATCGAAGTTGTCAATATTAAATTCACATATATTTGGTTAAACTTTCTGTATATCCTAATCGAATGTTTTGTCATTCAGTATTTCTAGATCTATTCTTGCAGCCTGCGTTGTTCCGACATTGGATCTTATGTATGTGATCGATCGATCCGAGTCCATCTCCGAAGAGAATATCGAAAAAGTGAAAAAATTCTTGATACATCAGAGCAAAAGTATAATAGAAGATTCCCCAGACACATCAATCGGGGCCATTTCTTACAACAGGCATTCTTATACTGAATTGAACTTGACACAAGATTCGACAATCATAGAAAAGGGTAACACAGGAATAACATCATAAAATACTAATTTGTGACGATCTTGGGTCTCCTTTGGTATGCACATTTATAAGATAATCGTAGGATTGTAATATAGAGATTTCGCAACTCACTTAAACCACGTCTTTGTAATGAGGACCTCACAAAGGACCGGATGTCATGTCGTTTCGTTTGGTACACATACTAAGGCCCGGATATTAAATAAGCCCATGCTTAAGCGTGATATATTTACATATAGACGACGATTTGTAAGAATATCACACTTATGGACGCTTCATAAGTTATACGTTATATGAGAATAATTACATGCTTTAGGGATTAGCTTTCTCAGAACTAGGCACCTTATTCAGCACCGTTTACGGTTAATTTATTTTAACATTATTTTTTTGTTTTTTAAATTTTGCTTTTGATTTACTTAAATGTATATGACATGTAAATAAGGACTAATCTAAAGAGAAAAAATGTTAATGTACTTGAAGTGGCGATTGTGTTTTCTGCTTATCAGTGTCATCTAGCTCTATAGCGCGATATACGGTCACATTATTATGCCGATGAGGAAATGCCATTGGTTTCCCAGCAGAATAATCAAAACAGACGCGGACAATTTTCGTTATCAACTGTTGTTTCTGAACGTTCCGGTGTGAAAGAAATTATGGTCCCCTGGGGATTATGGTCCCCTTTCCTTACGGCCCTTACTGGCCCTGACTGTGTATAAATAATAAGGAAAATAACTGTAATTAGGTCACCATATAAATCAATAGAGAGTAGGACCAAAATTTGATAGGACCACCTACGCTTTTACACCGGGACCAAAATTCACTAAACTATCGAAAATTTGTTACGTTATAAGGATAGATTGATTTTACTTGCCAATCACTAATATGCGCTGACGAATTCAACTCTTGGCATCATGTCCAAAGGGTCTTGTCACAGTTAATCAGAAATTATTTAAACATAACATCCCCTTATAATTTCAGTAGTTGATAGAACAATAAACGGTAAAAGGCCGAGTTGCGAAAATTTTTTGATATTGTATACTTTTGCTGTTGCAGCACTGAGAAACATTTCAAACACTACTGGTAAAGGGACCTACACTGATAAAGCACTGAAAAAGGCTCGGTTGGTATTAGAGGGACTCGTAAACAATGACAATCACCAATATCATACAAAGTTGATTATACTAATTACCGATGGAGTGAATAACAAATATCCACTTTTGAGCAAAACTGTTACAAGTGCAGCGGAGCAAACTAAATATTCAAAGTTTACAATTAATCAAGGTACTTTATAAAAACATGTACGATATGTATGTATTATACCTTTTATTTTACAACTATCCACGACTCGGTTATACCGTGAACTACAAGCACTGTGTATTTCTTTATTTTGACTGCTTATTTACTTCATTTTAGCCATCATTGTTTGTTTACTCAATTTGATAAGTCAGTTGACAACTGATATATAATTCTAAAATTGATATTCATACTTTAGCTTGGAGGAAATGAAAAAATGCCATGAGACTATTTGGTGATTTTGAAGTGATGTCTGCATTTCACAATCAACTTCTGTAGTATTTTGAAACCAACTTATATTTTTCCTCATTGATCTTTTATGTTTCCCAAAATATTTCTTTCAAAATCAGGAAACTAGAGTGACAAACAGGGAAATTTTGTAGGGAATATCAGTCACAAAAAATAACGAAACAACTTACACTTCCCTCGGGTGTAGCTTGTATTCGCGAGTGCGACTGTCGGCTGTCGGCTACTGGATTAACCTGATATTTTATGGGGAACTCATTTAAGTATGTATATGTTATGTTATGTTATGTTGTTTTATTTACCATCTACAAGATGAGTACATATACATAAATATGTTACAAAAATAAATATAGGAAAAATACTACAAGTTATATGTATGTTAGATGAGCAAAATAGTACCCGCCACTATTCAATTCAAGCTTAGTAATTATGCCATCACCATAAGCGATGACATATTGTTATAGTCTCTAACATTTTTGTTGATGGTGTTCGGCGGGTGGTGGTCGGTTTCTGTAACAAATAACAGGGAGTGACATTAGAACTGGGACAATAACGCTTCTGTGGAGGCCCTGTACTTGTTTGTTTACATTATTATGAAATAAAGAAAACACAACTTAAAAAACATTTTGTATTGCTATTTTTACAGCTAAACTACTTGCACCAGATATAGATTTGATGATAATAGGATTACCTAACACTAGGAGTTTGAAAAAGAATGACACAATGGCCCAAGCAAAGTTTAATGCAAGTAGAGCTGAATGGAACGGCGCGGTAAGTCCTGAACTAATTATTTTGCAAAAAATGATTTTTTTTGTTATCCTATCAAAATATCAATGTTATGACAAAATTCGTTTTGGATTCGTATGTAGAATTTCAAAAGAAAACAAAAAAGGTATCTAATTTTAATTAATCTTAATTTGAGTGATGTAAAGACTCATTGTTTCCTTCCATTATTTTGAAAAATAAAATTTTTCATTATTAAAATAATTCATTATACATCATATCATTTTCTGCATTTTTGGAATACGCCCAACAGTTTCAAATATGGCATCAAAGTTATATTAAGGCTCATGTTTTCAAATTATCCCCTGCCGTTTGGAGAAGTACTCGAAGGCAACTACATTTACAAACTGAAACACTGTTTTTAGGGAGAGCTCACATCTCAAATTTTTTGTGAAATCACACAAAAACCATATTACTTCAAGTCGCAATCTGAGAGCACATACCAAACATAAGGAGATGCACTGGCGGATCCAAGGGACCCGACCGCCCCCCGCCCCTTGGATAGATTCAGAAAAAAATTGTAGGGCCTTGATAAAAGGACCTTATTTTAATTTTAGGTAAAAATATCAAACAATTGGCCTCAAAGCTTAAGGCCCATTTTTTAGTTTTAGGGTCCCAAAATTAGTTTCTCATAAGCTTCTGGATCCACAACTGAAATATCCAAAACAATAGTCTAACGTGTGAAGAACTAATGTCTAATACCCCCCCCCCCCACACACACACACACACACACACACACACACACACACACTCATCCCCTCTGCAATGTTTCAGGAATTATCAAAGACCACAAGAATAATGGGGCAGATATCTAGCATTTTTGCAAGATAAAACATTCAGTTTCAATCTATTCATGAACATGCTTTGTGTAGTTGAATCGTAAAATAATGAATAGCCCATTCGTTCATTAGCATAAAACGAATCCAAAGTGTTCTTCATCGTTACAAATACCTCAACTTGATTCAATATTTCTTCATTAAAGTATTATATCAATGATATGTGATATATAATGTGGATTTAAATGTGTGTTCCAGATCGTAGCAAGGTATGGGGAAGGGACAAATAAGTTGAAGACCAATTTGTTCCCTTTGGAAAACATGGCGGGGATGAAGGATAGATTTGCTGAAATCCTGGATTCAGTGTGCCACAGCGGCAATACAGTCTAATAGCTTAATTGAATTTTGTGAGATAATAAAATAGAAAGCTTAGCCAAAAACTGTTTTTAAAGATTTTTAAAGCTGTTTTTAAGACGGATATATTTCATGGATTAATACATCTATCAAAATAAACATCATATCACATGTATAGTCGTTTTACAGAACCTATGAACTTTAAGTGCTTGGGGTCAATGGAGGCAGCTTTAGAACTATTTTTATATATTACATATTTTTCTTTTTTATTCTTTCTATCAGATACAATATTCGATTGATTCTTTGTTATTTCATATCTGTATTTTGATTTCTATTGAACAAAGCTATCTGGCTATTTCATTCTAGAAAAACAAGTAGTTTGCACAGGATCTTTTATTATTAAATCATCCTATTTTCAAGGATGTTGTGGTTTTATTTCCTGTTATTAAAATATAATTCTAATTATTATCAATTTGTTTTAATGTAAGACTTTTAATTAACGAACCTTTAATAATGCATTATGATGCAGATAATAGTATAGCAGAACCAAGGTCAAGATAACATGACTTGATTCAGTTTGATTAATGGGTGAATCTCAAGAGATATCGAATTCTTTGTGGAAATTTTGATCCACAAATGCACACTTTCTAAGTCCTGTCTGTTTTAAATACGTAGCTTTTGAAAAAGAAACTGCTTTTTGTAACTTCCTGTGTTTTCTTAGTGTAAATCTTCGGATATTGCAATTTTTGCCATAAATTCTTAATTAATTCTTCTTACTTATTATATATCAATGGTGTTCATTATTAGAAAAGGAGGTAAAGTATTTCCATTTCCATCTATGAATTTGCATATACATATATTTACATATAATCTCACGTGTTATCACTTAGTAGTGCAATTGTTTTTCAATGATTCAAACAAGTAAAATCCGTTATGGTGTATGGCGTGATTTTATGATAAATACCCATGCGTAATATATGTTATTCACGTAATATATAAATGCATCATTTAACTATTTCAAGTTACAATTTCAACAGCGTTGAATTTACTTGAGTTGGACCGAGACATAAAATGGTAAGCATATTTGATCATAAACGTCGTCTGGTACTTTTATCGAAATGCTTTATACTGTCCTTTATTGCTATGATAAATATATTATTTTTTGAAAACTTTATATCTACGTTAAATTGCATACTTTCTAATATGTACATTTTATAGTTGTCACTCTAGAAAAATAAATAAATATATGCACACGTGTCAAATAAGAAGACTAGAAAACATTATAGTGCACAGCAAGAAAACATCTAAGAGTACACCACTCATTAAGAAAACAAAACCCAACTATCCCAAACCCTAATCTAATATGAAAAGCAACCCTGGGAATATAACACTTTCAGAAACAAAACATGCTGTTTGGGTTGTTTACTTTTGCTATATTGGCGCCTGTTATAACCATAGGACAACAACAGGGTAAGTTAAAAATATTTGTTTCTTGTCATCAATGCAAATCATGAATCCATAATTCAAATATTTACACGAGTCCATGCCATACTTACTGTTGTAAAGTTTCAGCAAAAGAGTCAGTTAAATATTCAATTTTGGCATTGCAATGGTGATTTTGTCTTGCTCAGATCATGTTTTGAGATTTACAGCAAAACATCCGATTTACTATTTGAAGGCCCAAGATAAAGTGTAAACTACTTTGGCGCATGTTGTAGTTTTACCAAATTGGATTACATACCCTTACTTGATCTTTCCAATAGGGTAGAGAAAATATTTGTGTTTTTACACCTTATAGTATTGTATTTGATGAAAAAACAATTTTTGCTGCTAAAATGGCGGGAAATTCAAATTTCGAAAATTAAATTACGAATGAGTTTTTAAAGTCAGCTTTTTGGGAAAACTTCAAATACAACTTTTTAAGTCGAGATAAAATTTATTTAGATGGTTAAATAATATTTTAAAAATTTGACCGGGGCCTTTAAGTGAAAGGAAAGGAGAAATATGGAAATGTTTTATCGTATTTTACTTATGTTGCTCCACTAATTAAAAATAATAATAAAGCAATAACATTTTTTTTATTAAATAACAAATCTTGACTTCAGAAAAATTGTGTGGAGATGTTGTGTTTGTACTTCAAACATCATGTAACCTAGACGACATTATTATACGAGTTGTTAAATCATTTATGACTGGTGTAGCTGACAGGATGTCCGTTCATAAAGATGTAACCATGGATCTCATAACATATGACGATGTAAGATGACAAACGTGTTTGTACCTTTGTGAAACTATTACTGTTTTTAAGATGATTTTTTAACGTTTTAAAATATAGTGGAAGTGAGTATTGGTAAATATATTTATTTCAATCGTATCAAAATACAAACATTGTAGAGAGCTACAGAAATAATTACAAAAAGATCTCCCGTGCTGTTCAAAAGATCTCTGGTAAAAGGAATTCAAAGAGGAAATAATTGTCCAAACAATATGAAGGCAAAGACCGCTGATGCTCTTAAACTAGTCGACAGATCTGACAAGAGGTAAAACATTACTTATGTCATTGATCAATTATAATTTTCCTAATAGCTAACTACGCTGGTCAAAATACCAATTAAACTGATCAAAAATATGTAAGATATAATAGATTTGACAAGATGTTTGTAATTGTCAGGACTCTTGATTTTATCTATGGGCCCAATAAACATGGCTTCATGGGAAATTTAGACTTTATAACTAAATGATTGGTATCGATATGGTTAACTTTTTGAACACACGTTTCTCTTACACCAGCCATCAAAAAATTCTATTAAAAAATCTAAAAATTTAACACATCGTCAATTTTATGGCCATTTTTTAATGGTAACAATATAATTTGAAAAATATACGTTTCCCTATATTGTTTTAGAAAACACATCAGATGCGTCTTTTGTTCTTGGCATCATATGTTCGGAATGAAATGAAACATCTTTCCGAACCTCATTTGAGCAAAACGACATAAACTCAACGTGTTTAGGTCTATGTCTATGTCTATGTCAATAATCTGCAAAAGGCTAATAAGCCCATATAAAGCAGATATATAATTTAACAGTGATAGAATTTGAATAGAATATAATTTAAAACCTTAACATTTAAAAATAGATCTATGGTTTACAACTCATTTTACCTGGGGAGACTGTCAGGCTACCGCGTTGACATCACCCCCTTTTACCAGTAGTGCAGGCTTGTTGCTGTGCACTGGGGACCCTTTACATTAAAACATAGATCTATATTAAAAACACACCTATTTAATTGCAGTTATTGACATAGGCATAGTATGATGATTTAAAACTACTTAGACTGTCACAGTCTAAGATGTCACCAGGTAGAGTGTTCCATTTAGCTATTGTCCTAGGGAAATAGCTAAATTTGTATGCATCCGTTCTAGCTGATGGTTGTATGAACTTAGAAGGATGATACAACCTAGTGTTGGTATTGATCTGTTGGCGGAAGTATGGAGGCACGTCGATGGCTGCTAGGTTCTGCTTTCCTTTGTAGAAAAGGAAAACTCTAGCAGCCTCTCGACGCTCCTTCAGTGGCTCCCACTGTAGGTCTTGAAGAGCTTTGGTGACGCAGCCTGGTTCCCTTGAGTGACATTTGGTTACAAACCTGGCTGCTCTTCTCTGTACCTGTTCCAACATATCAATATCTTTTTGTCGGTATGGATCCCATGCCGAGCTGGCATACTCTAAATTAGGCCGGACTAGTGACTTATACGCCTGAGCCTTCACTTTTTCAGGGCATTGATGGAGGTTGCGCCTGAGAAATCCAAGCACCTTATTGGCTTTGGATACAATAGTTTGAATATGTGTAGTCCAGCGTAAGTTATTTGTGATGTCAATTCCTAGGTATGGGATGTGTGTTACCGACTTAAGGTTTTCCCCTAGCATGGTGTAATTGTGCATGATAGGGGATTTACCTTTGTGAATATTTAGCACATAGCATTTTGATGGATGGAATTTCATTTGCCATGTTGATGCCCAGGAGACCAGTTTATCAAGATTCTCCTGTAGTGTTAATGCATCTTGCTTGCTTTCGACTGTCATGAATAAAAGGCTGTCGTCGGCAAAAAGCTTAAGACTGGCTGAGGATGATAGGTTATTGCCCATATCATTGATATAAACAAGGAAACAGAGTGGTCCAAGAACTGTTCCTTGAGGAACTCCTGATTTTACTGGAGTTTTTGAACTTGATTCACCATCGAGCACTACCTGTTGTGATCTTCCGACAAGCCAGGATCTGAACCAGTTCAAGTTATTATTGCGAATTCCATAATAGTCGAGTTTGAGCAAGAGGCGTTCGTGAGCCACCGTGTCAAACGCTTTGGAAAAGTCTAATACCAACATGTCTGTTTGTTTATTGTTGTCGAGGGCCCGAGCTATATTTTCTATTGTATTGACAAGTTGTGTTTCACATGAGTGCTTTGACCTGAATCCATGTTGGAATTTTACTAGAATTTCATAGAGGTCAAAGTGGGCCATAACATGATGGAATATAATATGTTCCATTATTTTACATGGAACTGACGTCAGAGATACAGGCCTGTAATTCACAGCCTCATCTCTTCGTCCCTTTTTGTAGATAGCAGTAACATTGGCATGTTTCCAGTCCAAAGGCACTAAGCCTTCATCGATAGACTGTTGAAAAATTATTTGAAGGAATGGTGATATGCTGTCACTGCATTCCTTCAGGACCCTAGTCGGAATAAGATCGGGTCCAGTGGCTTTTGATGGATTTAGGCCAGTTAGCAATTTGTGAATTCCTTTTGTCGAAATTTTGATATTTGGCATTTCAGGAATTTGACTAGGTACCATTGTCGGTAGAGTGGCATCCTCATCTGTGAATACAGAATTGTATTGGTCATTGAGGATGTTTGCTTTCTGGGAGGCGTCTGTTATTTCGTCGCCATCTTTGTTACGCAGCACGCTGATACCTGATGCATCTTTGCGTTTAGACTTTATGTAGCTCCAGAAGCGTTTGGTAATGCCTTTGTGCTGAACATTCTCATTTATGATTTCGCTTTCATCAATGTCAAGCAGATCGTTGATGTAGCGCTGATGTTCTTTACGAATTTCACTATGGATTAATTTCCGTAGTGATTTGTATTTATGCCAATGATGAGGTTCATTTGAACGTTTGGCAACATTATATCGTCTTTGTTTCTGTCGGATCATTCTCAGTATCCTGGTGGTAATCCAGGGTACTTTGAATTTCCCACTTAGAGTTTTACTTGGAATATGCTCATTGATTGACGATATTAATGTAGATTTGAAGGAGGACCAGTTGTCTTCAACTGATCTACTTTCACAGTTCTCTTTGAATTCGCTGAACTTAGATCGTAGAGTCTCTTTAAGTCCAGTCCATTCTGCCTGTTTGTATATGTGGACCTTACGAGGCTTCTTTTTCTGAATTTTCATTTTTAGGTTTATATCACATAGGACTGCCTCATGATCACTCATGCCCGGAACCACCGAGATTCTTTCTGCGAGGTTTGGGCATGTAGTGAATACTAAGTCAAGGATGTTATTTTGTCTAGTTGGTTCCTTGACTAGTTGGGTTAGGCCATGATCATCAGTTATTGTAATCATCTTCTCATTAAGATCATTAGAATATTGAGAATTAGGCCTTATAGTTCCATTCTCCCAATCGATGTCTGGTAAGTTGAAGTCACCACATAGGAAGATGTTTTTCATATGTGTATTACCATTAGCATAAAGTTTATCGAGGGATGTTTGGAGCGAGTCCAAAGCACCAGTATCGTTGTTTGGTTGACGATAGAAGGATCCAAACAGTATGTCCCCATTTGATAGAGATGCTTTGGACCATATGATTTCGCAATCAGCTGTCGCTTCATATTCGACTGATATGAAGTCACTTTTGACTGCGATTAGGACACCGCCAGCACCTTTCTTTCGGTCTTTCCTGTATGGAGGTGGGCTAAGGTAGTCTTGACCGAATATCCATTTGCTGTCGATGGTGTTGTCCAGGTGAGTCTCACAGCCTATGATGACATCTGGCTTGTGAGTTTCAATTAGTTGTTGAAGGTGTAGTTGCTTCTCATGACTAATTAGACTGCGGAAGTTGATAGACATGAGGCGAACCTGGTTTCGCCTCTTTCGTGCAGTCGGCCTCGGTGGTTCTGATTCGGTAGAATCAGATGATGATGACGAATTGTCAAGATCAGAGAGAGCGCTGAAGGATTTGTTACCGAGGAATGAGAAAGAGTGGAGTCATTGAAGAAGCTGTTGGAAAAATTAGGTAGGGCACATCCAGGACAGATCCAAGTGAAACTGCCCGCTTCAAGAAAAACATTGTACTCAGCAGGGGAAACATTGCCACATTTGATGTGTACCCATGTACCGCATTCATCGCATTCAAGGGCGCGATGATTCTTGGCAACTGCTTTGTGGCACATACCGCAGGGAAATTTAACAGGACCTGGGTTTGGGTGGATGTCACCACTAAGAATAAGACATAGGAAGAGCAGTGGTGTGGAAGATTTCTTGTGAAGGATTCCACGAGAGCCAACAATCTTATGGAAACGTCGCAGTTGCATCAACTGTGTGTATGACTCTGTTGAAGGTAAGTGGTTTCCATGATCACAGAAAAATGACTGGACTGCGAAAACAAAGCAGAGAAGGAGCAATCCATATCCTTGGAAACCCATGACGAAGAGGTAGGTAAAACCCGTTAGCTGAAAATAAGAAAATTCGCGCAAAAATATGAAAAATACCGCGAAAACCGAAGTTTGAAAAATACGAAAATTAAAACTGATTTATCCCCAAAAGGGGGTCCTGCTATAATTTAAATGTCGTTGATTATTAGACCAGGTCTCTCAATATTAAAATTGTACAAAGGAAATTTAGGTTGATTTTAAAAAAGTTGTTAATGTAATAAAAGGTTTATCTTAAGTTTTATCTATTTTTGGAGGTTTTGTTTTTAATTTTTTGAAAACTTTTTCTAAAATCAACCAACATTTCCTTTGTATAACTATAATATTGAGATTTCTGAGAAAATTTTGTATATGCTATGTTCCAACAAGGTTCGGAAAGACATTTTATTCCATTCTCAAGAATTGGTAGAAAAGAACCCAAAAAGTGTTAACAAAAACAGTTATGTGAAATATATAACTAATTTTCGCATTAAAATGTTGTCAATCAGCCAACATTACATAAAGGACCGTGTTTTTTGTTAAAGAATGTTTTCAATAATTGGTTTAAGAGAAAAACATTGTTTAGTACCATATCGATACCTATCCTTAAGTGAAGAGTCATAGTTATGGTACCGGATTGGGATAATGGTACTTGAATAATAGGAGATGGGGCATTAGCCTTAGGCACCGTTTCCTTTCACGCTTTCGCCTAGTTTGGGCTTTTTTCCCTCATGACTCGTGCACTATGGGATTTTTTCTTTTTCTTGCTGTGTTCTGTTACAATTTTTGGTCTATGCATATGGACTTTAGAACAAATGGCAAACGTATAGAGGTAATGTTCGCAAAGATTAAAGCATGGTATTTCATCAAGAAATATTACGAATTTTGCAGAATTCATCTCAGACAAAATCAATTTCTGCATAAATTTTCGTTGAAAACCATATACAATACGACGTTACTGCAAACCGCGCATATGTCCTCCAGTCCGAACGTTTTTTTTCAAGCCTTCTAATAAACAGTTATGCACACGTCGCATAAAAATGCAACACACAAATAAATCGTAAAAGCACAAAACCAGTGATGACTGCATCTTTTTCATTTATATATATCGTAAAGCCTAAGTTTTCCTCTTTGTCTGGTGCTTGTCATGGCAAAGAAGCGGGACAGTGATAACTGCATTGATTTCATTCAACCAATCACGAAGCTACATTTCTCCTATTTTCAAAGATCTGTAATTTATTTATTTACATGGTCTCATGGTTGGCTGAATAGTTAGTCCTTCTGCATAATGGGTTAAATTCAGCTATGGACCAAGTTTTAGACATTCCAAATAACAGCATCCCTTCACATGGCCACCATTTCTTTCCACACGAAGACTGGCTCATCTCTCCGCGTCATGCAGAGTTCATTGGGTCACCTGTGGGTTTTGGGTGAAGTACAACAGTCTGTTGATGATTCAGCTCAGGAGATCTTCCAATAGCACCCTTTGGTTAAAAGGAATGATTGTTCAGCCAACAATGACCCCATGTAAACAAAACACATATCATTGAAAAGAAGAAGAACGTGATACAGTGAATGAATTTGATGCAGTCATCACTGGTTTTGTGGTGGTTTTGTTGCGTTTTATTTGATATGCAATGTTTATATTGGATAGTCTTAATGAAATATTCATTAATTTTTTTCTAAAATATAGTTAGACATCATTTATTTTATTTACAGGGCTAAAATTGTAGTTGTACTGAGTGATGGAGTTTCGTTTGATACTAAAACCAATATGGATGCAACATTAGCAGAGACAAAAGCAGAAATAAAAAGATTACAGAGTCAGGGTGTTACATTTGCAACATACAACCTATATGAATATATTAGAACGGCAAATGATGATAGAAGTCTTCAATTAGAATATAACCTTTACAAACCAATACTTCAGATGGATCACAATAATGATTTTAGGGACCAATTTGTTAAAGCTTTATTTGATTTAGACGGTTTTATTTGTGAAGATAAAGTCACTGATCCACCACCCACCGAAGCACCGATAGGCAAGTATTTGCACGTACATAGTAAATCAAAACATCGTCGAAGTGTAAAGTATATTGTACTTTACACTTGTTAAATTTTGAACGACCAATTTAGAGTAAACTGTGTATTATTTTACCATTCATCAAATTTGGATTGGATGGAAACTGTCTAAACAAAATTGTTTCACACTAATTTTGACGAAAATTCCGAAATATTCATTGCATATAACACTCATGCCGTGACTGGTTTTTATATACACATAACAATCCTTTGAAATAGAACTGTTTAACAGACAAAATCATCTTTTTACAGTGTGTGGTGTTCCTAAATTGGACGTTGTCTACGTCATCGATCGATCAAAATCAATTGCTGAAACAGATATAAACAAGGTTAAAGATTTCTTGGTAGAACTAAGCCGTAAGATTCTGCAAACCTCTCCAGAATCCTGGATAGGAGCGCTTTCTTACAACCACATTGTCCCTATTCCTGAAATGTTTCTTCAGGGCCCTGGCCTAAAGAGAGATGAGAACACTATAATAAAAGGTAATAGTATATGATGACACCGATTTGCAGTTATTGCTTTGTAATTGCTTTGTAGCACTAAGCCCATTAACTTTTTAATAGTTTATTCCCTAAAAACACTGATTTGTAGGACTAATGGATATCAGCTCTGCATTGTCAAGGCCATGAGCTTAAATAGTTATCGCATCAATACAACTCCTTTGCAGGACTAAAAGACATTGGTACTAATACTGATTGGGGAACGTACACTCACAAAGCATTGAAGTATGCTCGAACTAACATAAACTACTTAAACAATAACAAAAACAGAAAAGATGCTATGAATTTGATTATACTGATCACTGATGGAGTAACAAACGTGTTGCCATATTTGACTAAGAATCCTAAGAAGCAAGGGAAATTTTCCAAGCCATCAGTCATTGAAGGTACTCTATGTTACTTAAAATCACATATTTATTACCCCTCTGTACGTGATATGGTGAGTCCTTGGCTCGGGTACTTGTAAAAATAAACCTCTAAACTCTAAATGATACACCTACAAATTGAAAAGTATTGACGCATAAAACACCATATACATAAACTATCGAAGCCTAAATATCCTAAGAAACGAAGGAAAGATAATTATTACAAGTAATTTTTATTATTGTTTGACATTTTTGTATTTATTTAAGCCGGTCATTTGAAACCTACAACTGATCTGATACTGATCGGATTGCCTAACAAACCAGCTGAAAAGTTGTTGCAAGGTAGTCCAAAAGACAGAATATTAGGGCAAGCCAAGATAGATGCTGGAGAAAAAGAGTGGAAAGATATGGTAAATTAAGATGCTACTACCATAAAATTGAAATAGTTTAAATGACTGTACGCATTCTGACTAATAGTTATACAAGTAAATACCTTAGTGATTTATGAATAAATATAAGTACAACGTTTTTGTATGGGTTGTCCCAGAAGTAATGCACTATATGCTCCAACTTTATCAATAATTGATATTTTTTCCATGAAATTTTCAGTAAATGTTCCTTAGAGACATTTTGATTATTCTACAAATTTTCATGTTGACTGATAAAACTATATTGATGTTATAATAAAATCAAGTTGGTGTGTTTGGGTAGGGTGGGCAGGTTATACTGTCACGTCAAAAGGAATAAAAAATTGAAAATATGAAATAATTAATCAACAAATACCATTTTGTGTAGCTATAAGAAGTTGGCTCAAAAATACATTATACGATACTAAATTACTATGAGTACATTCCAGATTTAATTGATGTATATTGCACAGTGTCCCATTTCACATTTTCTCAAAATATTGTCCTTTGCATGTTATGTACTTTTGATGCCTGTCAGGTCAAAGACTCTTGGTAATTTCTTCCACTGTGACTTGTGATGTTTTTGTCTCCCATGTTTGGAGTTGTCATCCAGGGTCCAATCATCTCTTTTAAATCTCTTCTGCCACCTCATAAATGTAGTTCTATCTGGTATATACTCCTTATATACTTTTTTCATGGTAACATAAGTTTTGTGTGGCTTTGAGTCCGAGTGAAGTTTGAAATTAGGCCACCAAACGCGAGGCCTTCTGTTATCAGGTGAGAATTGTTACCATTTTTGCAATTTCTTGACCGTGACTGTATTTGAATTTGTGACCATTGAACTGTGGTATTATGACATATCACAGTGCTAAATGTAATTATTTGTACTTGGTTAACATCATGCTGAATAAATTCAACAATTTCCCAAACATTTTGATCATTTAAAAGAAAGAAATAATAATTAAATAACACTTTGTATCTTTCCATAATTAGAAAAATTGGTACCTGCCCCGCCCACCCCTACCCCCAGCAACCATATTAAGACTTAATACAAACGTCTGATGCTAAAACTTCAGGATATTATAGATAAAACTTCAATTGTTATATACACAAAATTTCAGCTGAATTGAAGTATACTAAAGAAAGTTAGACCATATAGTGCATTACTTCTGGGACAACCCTCGTACATGTATCACACCTACCAATTGTTGAAAAATGTAGTGATATATGTTCGACCATGTTGATATAAAGTTGATATTCATGTGTATTATGGTCTCTATGCTATTTCATATGTTTCCACTTCTCAGTCCCATACTATTTACATAGATAACCATTATATATATATTTATAGATTTTTAAAGATGTTATGGGTACATCTTTGTATATCAAATGTTCTTTAGATAGCAGCGAGGTATCCCGATGACCCAAAGAAGTTGAAAAGCAATTTCTTTAAACTGGAGACTATGGAAGGCCTGATGGAGAGATTTAATGATATATTGGCAACAGTATGCGGTAGCAGTTCAGCCTAATATGATGTAGTATTATGTAAAAATAAAGATTAATTTGATGAAACTGTATTTTGTTCGTAATATGATTTCAAAACTCTTCATACAAGCTCATATCATGGCAGGTATATAAGGCAATCGGGGACGATAACTTCATAGTTTGATATTTAAAACGAACTAAAAGCTCTAAAAAGCAAGCCCAATGTCCTGTTCAAAACATTTAGATATGCAGGATAAAGACATTTGCATCCCCATGTTTTGTCAATGTCGCCCTTGCTAAGGTCCTCTTTTTCTCAGAGCACAAGTTGATCGAGTCTTAACGAGTACATTCATGTCGGAGATTAGCCTATTACTAGAATCCATTTTCAATATTCAGAATAAAGGTTCTTAAACAAGACATTAAAGCAACTAAGGTCTTCTTGAAATCTTTGGTTAATTTCTTTTAGCCCCGCATGTGAATTCTAATTTATGTATAGGAACTACTAAAGTAGAACATTGAGAAGTTTTGGAAAAGAAAGAAGATGCCGATATTCTGGATCTTAGACTCCTGCCATCGGTGGATCCGGATTGGGAAATATTGACATGCATTTTGAAAATGCTTCAACAGTTTACGCTTTCAATGCCTTCTTCATGATCATGCTCATTACTATCAGGCAATACAAAAAAAATGCATGTCATCTTTTCATAGCAATTAAAATGTTATTAGTTATTTTATTAAAGAGTCGATTGATATTCAAAATACTGTTTGACGATCCACTTTTACATTAAGTTAAGGGCTGCATGCACAATTTTATATTCAAAGAGTATTTGCTATGTTTTTTACGTCATTGCAAAATTACCCGTGACGTTTCAAAAATTACTACGATGCGGATTTGTTCCCGATTTTTACTCATCAAACGCAATAATCCGACCACCCATTCCACAAAACATGATTGTTCATACAGGTATGTTCTCCACTTTTGTTGAACAGATACAAACCAATAGTAAAACCATGTCCCTTTCGGCTTATTTTTGTCAAACATTTCAGGCAATTTGCGAAAACGTCATGACTGTATTCTCATGGGCTTTTAATTTGGCGGATAATTGTACCTTATCCCTTTTACCTTTTTGCCACATCATTATTTTGACAGCAAGTGGTGAAATACGTCTTTTGATGTCATGAACAAAAAATTGTTAATACACTATGATATCATACTTTTACCATGACGTATATCTGATGCCATTGCTTAATTCCCTGGTAATGGTATATATTTTTCTATTTAAGGAATGAACAATGATATGCCATTTAATATGGTGAAATTCAGCACGAGTTGGACATAATGTAGTACAAAGTACGAATCGTATATAGTGTAGAACTTCATCATATTGAATGTCCTATCATTATTTGATATGAGAAAATTGTTCAGAGAATTGGCGATTGAGGTCAATGAAATAACCAAACTTACTTTGCTGCTATTTTCGCTATTCCAATTTACACAATACCATACATGTACATGGATTCCTTAGAAAACACATTTGAGCTATGCTTTCAATTTTATTATCACAAAAATACAAGCTATTAGACTGTATTGCCGCTGCTGCACACTGTAGCCAGAATATCATCAAATCTCTGCATCATGCCATCCATTGTATCCAAAGTGAATAAATTAGTCTTCAATTTATTTGGCTCGTCCGGATATCTTGCAACGATCTGAAAAACAAAATGTCATGTCGCATATAAATATACAGAGTGGGCCAAAAAACAAAACCCAAGTTTAAAGATAAGTATCATATGATATATGTTGACTCATGCCATGTATTATACATTTTAAAGATATGTGTGTTCAGATGTTATAAGCACAGAAGTGTTAAACAATCATATCCTCTGTATTTAATGCAAAGGGTGTCCCCAAGAAGTCAAATACAGGGTGTCAAATAAGTCCCGCCCCCTCCTCTTAACAGCCTAAACCAAGATGTATGGTACCAAGTGTGATATATCATCGGAAAGGTTTTCCAAAGTTATGTTGATTGGCATATATCTGACACATGTCAATCAATCTCACAAATTTTTACATTGTATCAATCGAGGTGACCATAGGCCTAAAAACATGGCAATTTGACGTATTTGGCAGGATTTTAAGAATCTGGTATAAGAAAAGTCAAAGGACCTAAAGATGACTACATATGTATATGGCAATGAATTTAACCAATTCCTTGATAAGGATGGATGTGTAGAAAATGGAGGTGCACGGAAATGGTGAAAATGTTTTTGTAACAAGTGGAATGCGAAAAAGATTAACTTTTTGACATATTTCTGAGGTCATATCATTCTCATTTTGAAGCAATAAAATGGAATATCACGCTAGGTACCATCTATCTTTTTAGATCCATCTAAGTTTTAGCTGTAGCAGGGGGACGGGACTTATTTGACACCCTGTATCGATTAACTATGTCAGTGATAAAGGAACATTCTTAAAATGTAGCCACAGATTTTTTAATAACAACAAATATCAGAAAATTTCAACCAATTATAATTAGTTTGAAAAACGCTTAAGAGTTTCGCATCATCACCCATTTTCCATGTTTGATATTAAATTAGCTCTGCAGTGGTCGTCAATGAAGTAATTTAATGCAGGTCATCTATTATGTCAAATCTCTCAGGAAGTAATTTTTAGCCACTAATTTGGAAATGGTTGGGAATGAATGGAAAGGGTTATTCTCATTTATTTGAATACAATTTTCGGGGCACGTGTTATTTTAATATATCAGTCTTCCAGTGTCTATTACAATTGGCCATTCCAATGTCTTACCCCCTAATACACTGATTTTGAAATGAATTTAGCTGTACTGTAGTTGACCTACTTTATCTTTGTCTGCTGTACCTAGGAGCTGATCCGAAAACTAACAAAAGAGGGGTCAAGTCTGAAAAATCCTTTCGTACTCGCACGGAAAAGAATTAAGGTCAATTTCCTTGGTAATTTGGCCTTACATTTATAAACAAGGCCGAAAAGTCCCAGTAATGCCCAAAAAGTCCCACTTATTTGGGCCCTAAAATAATTTTGGCCCAATTACGTACCTCCTTGTTTGTCACATTCTTACTTGAATTTTCCTACCACCTCATATCAAACTAATTACTTCATTAATCTTTAAATTCTTAGAGAGAAGTTACAAAACGTTAAAAGCTTTACCAGATTTATTGTTCAGGACATTCATCAATTTCAAACATTCAATTCGATCGAAGCAAGGATTCCGACTTTTTATTATGATGATTGCTTATCCTTAATAAACGTTATTTCGCAATTATTAGTATATCACAATATTACGCAACAACATCCCTAATATGTACATGCACATGCCACAATTTAGAATTAAGCAAAACTTGCCATGTCGTTCCATTCTTTTAAACCGGCGTCTATCTTCGCTTGGCCTAATATCTGTTTTTTCTTATCACCTTGCAGTAATCTTTGAGCTGGCATGTTAGGTAGTCCTATTGTTATGATATCTGCCACTGATTTCAAACTTCCAGCTAAAACATGTTATATATTATGAAAATTGATGGTACACATGACTAGTGGTTAACATTTGAATTAAATCATATTTTATCAAATCAGCGACTAGCATAACTAGGGAAAGCAAAACTGCTACTATTGGTAAGTACCTGCTCTAACTGTCATGTGTGAAAATTTTCCTTGAGCCTTTGGATTTTTAGACAGATATGGCTTTATGTTCGTAACCCCATCCGTTATCAATATAATCAGGTTTGTAGCATCCTTTCTGTTATCACCGTTTGATAGGAACCATTTATTGGATTTAACATACTGCAATGCTTTATGGGTGTATGTTCCTATACCAGTGCTATTACTAATGGACTGTAGTTCTACAAGTAGAAACCTACTAAAATAACATATGAAATGGTAAAAGAAAGTACAAGGATTGAGAACATATACATCAAATACAATATAATTGGTTTTATTGCATGCTATATAATTGTAGAATTAAATATATGCATGGATCACGAACCTCTCCTTTGAAGATTTATTCTTTCATGTACATGCATATACATAGAGAAACACATTACATGGAAGAGCTGTGTTCTTTTGTTTGGACTCAAACACAACAACAACAACAAGTTTGAGATCACCTAGCCATAACTTTTTCCAAGGAGGATTGGCTCCCAGAGAGCAACATCGATATTCTGTCCCATAAATGTGCATGTCGGGATACAAAATTCGAATTCAAACAGTCGCCATTTTGTACACTTCGACTCTTGAGTCGTGAATTTTGGTAAAAATTCCAAAACTCACAAGAAATGATCGAGATATTGGTTCAAATCTTTTGAACTGTTAATTTTGAATTCATAGTCTGTTACAATTTTAGAAAATAACGACATTTCATTGTTGAAAAATATCGAGTTTCGAGCTAATCTTCCTTGAAGATTCTCTTAAAAATTCTAAAAATTCATTTGAACCTTTACAAAGGAAGAAAGCACTGAACCTGGGCAAATGTGCTGTTATATCAAATGTTACCTTTTAAAATGGTGGCTGCATCCCTTTTTAGCCCATTTCCTTGGAGATATATTTCAGGAATCATTTGAATATTGTATGATATGGCTCCAATCCAGGAATCCGGAGAATCATTTAAAATCTTTTTGCTGAGTTCTACCAAGAAAGCTTTAACTTTATCAATATCCGCTGCAGCGATAGACTTAGATCGGTCAACTATATAGACAAGGTCTAATGTTGGAACACGACAAACTGCAATAATATAATACAATACGAATCTTTAATATAATTCAAAATACATTTCTAGATATTAAGCAGCCAAGTACAAGCTTCGTTTAGCTCTGTTCAGTCTACTGATCATTATTATACTTTTATTATATCATATATTATATCATACATGTTGACAATATATTGTTATTTAAGATAATTATAGATATGGAGATATTATTGAACAAATAAGTAGGACTAGAAGTGACTACTTAGTTAACGAACGTGTACATAATGAAATTCCGGACGAGTGCTCTACCACTGAGCTTCTGTTACGGGCAAGTTTATATAAGATTATAGTCAATGCCATCACTCCCTGAGAAAACGATTTAGCCTATGGAAGGTTCCTGGTACTTAACACTACATCCCACATGTTTTGTTAGGTATGGAAAGAAGCCAATCGTTTAACTATGACATGATACATACCTATTGGTGGTTCTGTTATTGGTTCATCCTCAGGTGGACAGATAAACGAATCAATAGAGAACAATACATCCACAAACCGTTGTCTATAATCGGAATCGAAATCCATACGAACCAATGGCTTGTAGAGATTATATTCTAAATCACCATATCTGTCATCATCGCTACCTTTAATGTATTCATAAAATTCAAATGTAGCAAACTGAACGTCCTTGATTTTTAGGTTCTCTATTGCTGTTTTTGTTTTTGTCAATGTTGCAGCCATATTGGTTTTCAGATCAAACGACACACCATCACTCAGTACCACCACAACTTTCCCCCTGTAAATCAAGGAAAGCAATGGTTATGAAACAGTGTTTCTTAGAATGAGAGGATAAACTTGTAATTCATAAGTACAGTGTAACAAGTGAAAGACACAATCATTCATAATGTGTGCAAACTTTCAGAATGGCTTTTACAGATTGAGAATCAGTCCCTATCTTTGGCTACCAAAACAAGGTCAATCTATGTGATCGATGAAACCCTCAATCATGAGACAAATCTATATATGCCTGACATGTAAAAATAACCAGAACAACAAAATGGGGAAAACAGTTAAACCTCACCTATCATCCGAGAAATAATTATGTGTATCTACGAGGTTCAAAGCATCTGCTGTTTTTGCTTTCATGTTGTTGGGGCAATTACTACCTCTTTTAAAGCCCTTCGCCAACTTCTTTGCAAATTTTGTCGGGGTTTGTTGTGATATTACCTCTGTAGCCATCTATAAAAAAATGTGTTTATATAATGATATACCAATTAGATATTCTAGTACACCTACCAATCTAAATGACCTGATATTTTTACCAGGTATTTAACTTATAATAGTAAAAATGACATAATCATAAGCATGAATGTTGAATATCTGAGTACATCCACGAATCAAGAACTTAGTGTGTAGAGAAAAAGCAGATAAGCACTGTTTTGTTATGTGCCAGAATGGATATTCACGCATTAGACTCACCTCATCATATGTGATGAGAGCCATGGTAGAATTTTGATGACCTGACATAATGTTGGCTAAACCAAGCATAAATGCTTTACCGAGCTCAACTAGATCTCCATATAAGGGTGAATCAAGGTTACAGGATGTTTGCAATACAAACACAACATCGCCACATAGTTTATCTGCAGTCAAAATAAATAATCAAATAATAATCAAAAACTACTGGTTTGGGCAATCACATTATGCAGTGCAAACTGTGGACATTATCTAAAGAATTATCTTGTACTGTGAATGAAAATTCACTATTATTACTTCAATTATAAGCTCTTTGTAAAGAGATGTAATGGAAATATAAGTGTGACTTAATTGTAATAAGTTCTTACGTGACCTTTCATCTTGAGACATTGCGTCGCATTAAAGCAAATGAAAATAACACGCACGGTGCTTACCCTGTTTTTGTCCCGTGGTAATACCAGATGCTATAAATGTAAAAACAATCCAACCCCAAAACATGTTTTGTTTCTGAAAAATAGAAATGATTAAAACTTACATTTGATTTTAGCCTCTGAATTAAAATGTTATATTTCACAAACAGGAAATCAATATCAATAAATATGTCATCAATTATGACTAATGAGAAAGTAGAAACAGACAAAGGGCATAATGTAATACAGAGTAAATTTCATGTTTTTATTTGTGTAAAGGAAACCTCATTAACATTTATCAGACAAATTGTCATTTTTGTGCTATGCTTCATGTCATTGTGCCCTATTCTGGTTTGTTCTACTGACTTTGCCTATGGTCGTGCATATGCAAACTAACAATAATTACTAACAATGACAGTGTAAAACACAAGGAACTGCAAGATATTACAATAAACAATCCAAAACATCCCAATCATACATCAAAACGACCAGTGTCATATGTTAAATGACCATAAAAAAGATGTTCATTATTTTTTTATGGCATTACTGGTGGTTATAATCGCAATTATTTTCCGTTAGTTTCTAAAATATAATTCTCAAGTATTCATTATCCAGGTATTTATTGTTTTATAATAAGCAAAGTGATATCAAACTATAAGTAAAATATTTGTATTGCAGTCATCTAGCTATAGAGGCTGTCGAAAACGAAACCATATCCAGAGAGAAAAATATGTGGGATGCGATATGTATGATTTGCATATAGTGAATAAACAATGAAGTCATATTAAAACAATCTACAGAAGTACAAGTTTAGGTGCTCTTTGAATAAGATCATTTCTCATGGGAAATAATTTGGAAACCCATGTTGTGGTATTGCGTCATACTCTCTGTTTGAAAACACTATCATACCGAAAATTTTGAAAAATCAGACAAGTCGAATATTTATTCATTGTTTACATCTATTAATCTGTATTAAAATACATTGTTTTTTTCTTTTTTTATATATTGTACTCTGATTATGAAGTGATTAATGTTTTAATTGATGTGTACATTACAAATGGGATGAAAGCCGTGTATACTTAAATATGTAAGCTAAAGTGCCAAAATGGTAAAGGCCAAGGGGGATTCAAAACAAAGATAAAAATGGAACATGTAAGCATAAAATTGGTCACCTCTGTGAGATATGGTGTCAAATAAATATATATTTAAATTTTGAATTGGGCTTACATCAGTAGACTTGACAAGTCAGTGTCTTTTAATTATATATTAATTTTCTTATCTCCGCTGGTTATAACTCAAGAACAGATACGTAATAAAATACCGACTTTGGCAAGGCTACATTGTATGATAGTAGAGAGCTTTCGATACAAGTTGTTTCGAAAACGTATACGTAAACTTGTACTTTAAGGGGTCTTGTCACACTTGGATCATTTGAAATTGATTTTGATGAATTGTACCCAGTTGACATAAATAGTTTCCGAATTGTTTACTTTATTCATCAATCGGGATTTTGAGATTTTGAGCATGCGAATATGAATGATAGCTGGTACGAACACAATTAGAGCTCCGACATGGGAATTTTTGACATGCTATTTCGAATTTCTTAGTTCTCACAGAGTATTTGTTTGATCGTTCTTATTTTTTCACAACTTGCCAATGATACTCTTATGTTACTATATACACATTTTCAGTGATGAGAAAATACTTGTCAAAAAGTGGCTTATTTTTGTGACCCCCGATATAGTCATAATTCCATTTGGTTACATGCTTTTATATGATTCCCTGTTTGTGCCTTTGATTTAGATATGACGATTTTTAGAAGTACTTTTATTGCAGTACCTTCATTCATATGGTAGACCAGGGTCATAAAGTCATGTAATTTAACAAGTTTTAGTCAACTGGTATTGGTTTTTAATTTGACGAAAATAGCAATGTGCTAATAGTACAATAACGTCATTTCAAAGGGCAATATAGTGAAATATTGGACCAAAGGCTGCAGGCCCAAGGTCCAGTATTTCACTATTTTGCCCGCAGAAATGACGTTATTACTATTATTACCACCGTTAATGCCCAGGGCTGAAATAGCAAATTAGAAATAGAAAATCTTACGCACTGAACGATATCACTTTTCCCGGGAAACATAGCCGGGCGGATAATGTCATTATTGCCCGACTAAAGTCATTAACGCCCGACACAATATTGCTCACGTCAATATAGCAATTTAAATGTCTTCTCAACTTCTAAAACCCCTAGAACAGGCCCTGCAAGGTGGTAATAATATTAATTAAGATATCGCCTAAGCCCTTCGTGTGAAATACCTAAAATATATGATATTATAAACATGTCTTAGCAAGTTATATGGCATTCTGTTATTGTACTCATATAATCATTTACCTTGATGATGATACCAAATACTCATTAAATGAATAACAACATTTTTTCGAGGTACATTGATGAATTAAAGAAAATATATTATATGACAGAGTGGTAGTTGAATTATAAGTGCTATTGTCTAACATAATTTAAAAGAAAATATAAATAAACATTAAACTTACTTATTTATATGGCCTCTGTGTACTTGTCAATTTCTGAGCACTTCTGGAATACAGAATAAGTATATACAGTATATACTAAAATGTCATAAAAGCGCATGGGAAAATAAGGTCATTAAGATTAATAAACAATAATCATTTTTGTTTTTAATATCAGAGGAAATTTACAAGAAAGTAAGATTCCATAAAGATAAAATAGATGATAATGTTTTGTGTTCATTTTAATACTTAATGAGAAAATTCATTGAGATGAATAAGTCATTATTTTATCAGTTGTATCTGAAATTATATGCAAATATAAGCAAAGTCATCAATGGTTATCTAAAATGTGCAGTATTTAGTGCTTCATCATCATTTGATTAAGAATTAGGACTTAACACATCTGGCTGTAATGTAATTGTAGTTAGTATCAACTGGAAAAGGATTAACTAATTTGCTTCTTTATGAATCAAGGCACAAGGCATGTTTAATTATGTAAACATTAAATTGCATATTTCTTGAATCATTCATGTATGGATTTCAACTGGATAATACAAATGTGACACTTAACTTAATTTGCATTGGCGTGGGCATGCGTATTCCTAAATTCTAGACCCTGAGCGTGTTGCGCAACGTAGGTGATGGTATATCGGTAAGGTTATGACTTCTAGATGCGTGTTCTTGTATTTTATTCAAAATTACATACTAAAAGACCAATCACATATGAACGAATCCCCTTTGATAAATTGTCAATTCTGACAATTGGGAACGTAAACATGCGAACCGAAGCGCATCTTTGCGCATGCTTCCGAAGCCGTCTGAAGCTTTACGAAGGCATACTTATACATATGAACAAACCAGCGATGTACAACGTATATACGAGGGGTGATCAGGAATTTCTGGACCGTTGGCTCTATTTTTGCCATTTGTTATGCTTTCTTATTGATTTTTTACACAATATAACCCAAATATATAGGCTCACACCATGAAGATTTCACTGTTCTATGAAATCATTATCCTTTTATTTTTGTTACCATGGTAACCGGTGACGCGACAATGTGGAGCTCAGAAAAAATACCAAATTTGAAAAATCAACAGTAGTTTTATATGATGTTTGGACACTGTATTCATTGCTGAATATGTCACATACTGTAATAGGTTGTATTATATCATTAAGTATATTCATTAATGTTCATAGTAACTGCCATTATTTCCATTAATTCTAATCCTTTAAAGTAGTGACCAGCATTTTGTAAGCATTTGTTATGCCTTTTTACTCAGTCCTGAAAGAGGTGATACAGATCTAGACCATCTTTGCCTACAAAATGTGATTGTTTCCATCGGTTGTGGCCTTGTACCACACGTACCGTATCCCCCAGAATTAGCTGGGTGTGATTTCTATCTTTTCCCAGCAATGAAGAACAAATTATGAGGTATCCACTTTGAGGACAGTAATGAGATCATTCAGGAATTCACACACCAATGTTACAAAGTAGGCAAAGACGGTCTGTGTCACGTCTTCAGGACTGAGTGAAAGGGCATAACAAATGCTTACAAAATGCTGGTAACTACTTTAAAGGATTAGAATTGATGGAAGAATAATGACAGTTACTATGAACATTAATGAATATACTTAATGAAATAATACAGCCTATTACATATACAGTACACTGTATGTCACATATTCAGCAATGAATACAGTGTCCAAACATCATATAAAATTACTGTTGTTTTTCAATTTTGGTATTTTTTCTGAGCTCCACCTTGTCGCATCACCAGTTACCATGGTAACAAAAATAATAGAATAATGATGTCATAGAAGAATATTATGTGAAAAAATTAGTAAGAAAGGACAAAAAATGGCAAAAATAGAGCCAACGGTCCAGAAATTCCTGATCACCCCTCGTATATGTATGTACAATGTACAATGTACAACATATATTAATTGGAACGAAATTTACTCAAGTACTATTCGCAAGACTGCGTTAAGACTGCGTTTAGAGGATACGTAGATATGTGAGGGGCCTTAATACTCGCATTTTCATTTTCAAACTTGTAAACAAAATTGCAAAAGTACGCCTGAATGGATAGCTGAATCTGGACTACTTGCAATGTATAATACTTTTAGTTGTGTCATTAACATTTTCGGATGTCATTTGTCATATAAAACAATTTTCCAAAAATAGAAGTAACACTACATTTTCAAACTTGTAAACAAAATTGCAAAAGTACGCCTGAATGGATAGCTGAATCTGGACTACTTGCAATGTATAATACTTTTAGTTGTGTCATTAACATTTTCGGATGTCATTTGTGATATAAAACAATTTCCCCAAAATAGAGCACTTTCCATCAATAAATTGATATTAGATAAATATTTTATTCATCTATTTATGTTTATGTGCAATTGCAATTGTCTATTTTGTAATTTTGAATATTTACATTATACAAACATTGTCAGGCAATTGTCTATTTTGTAATTTTGAACATTTACATTATATTGTCAGATAATAAGATTAAAAGTTCAGACTGTCAATGCGCCAGTTGTGTGTTTTACATCGATATGATGCAATGAGAGGAGTATCAGTTAACCAAAGAGCTATAAAATCATCTTGCGTGCTATGAGTTTTATTGGAAAATATAAGATACAATCAGGAGACAAAGTGCCTAGCTCCATAACAAGAGAGCAATTGTAATTATTTTTGATAACAGCTGATAATTTAGAAATTAAATTAATTACTAATAATAACCTACGCTTATTCTTGATTAATTCTATGCTGATTTTTATTCATCGAACAAGAGAGATTTTATTGTGATATAAATAGTAGTCCGCTATGGGGATAACGCTTTTGAACGCAACAAATACCTTACAATTTAATTGTTTCATAACACCGAGAAAAAAGAGCCTACTTCAGGCATAACCCTACATAACCCTTGGGATGCATAAGATTTCCTAAGTGACATCTATATTATTGAGTAGAGTGAATGTTTATTCTAAATAGGGAATTCGAAGTGGCCAGACGTACATTCAGCAGTGGTAAGCATATTTTACATGCCCGAGCAAGGGGCTAAAATAAAAGGCTTTGAGGGCCTAGAGATATAATGCCCGAGCAAGGGGCTAAAATAAAAGGCTTTGGGGGCCTAGAGATTAAAAGGCTTTGAGGGCCTAGAGATATAAATGCCCGAGCAGGGGGCTAAAAATAAAAGGCTTTGAGGGCCTAGATATAGATGCCCGGGCAAGGGGCTAAAATAAAAGGCTCCAAGGGCCTGAAAATATATGCGCAAGCAGGGGGCAAAAAATATGAACTATAAGGGGTAATGAATAAAAGGCCTTGAGAGCCTAGAGATACAGAGATTTATGCCAGAGCAAGGGGCTATTAAATATAACTATGAGACAATATAAGAGAATTTTTCTGAGAGGCAAATATTTGACAGAAACAAAGAAAAATAGAACATTGATGACATGAAAAATCTTGATAACATGTCCTTATAATAAACACTGGAAATTCAACGTGTTAATAACACAGTAGAATTAGAGGTCATTATACAGTACGTTATAGTACAGTGTGACGAAAATAATGACACTCAGGTATAATCTGGTAATTGGCAATTGAATGAAAACTGGGGTTTACTCAAAAGAAAGTAGGTTGAATTGTTTTGACATAACTGTATAACCCATGCAAGTGATTGGTTATGTAATGGTTTAATTCCATGTACCCTCTTGTAAACTAATTTGAAAATGACTTGAGTTTGTAACATTTGAAACTAGTGAAGTCTGATAAACAATTGGCTTCTCTTTACATCTAAAGTCCGGGAGCACTGATCTCTTAGTGGTTTTAACCACGTGGACTTCGGATGTGAGAGTTGTCTCTCCACAGTAGAAGGTAATTGGCAATTGAGGTTAATTACTCATGTTAGGGGACTGATTTTTCCCCACCAGTAATTCATGAATGAAACATTGATATGAGGTCAGTTTTAGGTTTTATTAGCTTCATAATTACATCATGGAAAACCATCTACTAGAACTACTGGGAGAGATTGCTCTCAAATCCGATGTCCACGTTAGTTTTTTGTTAATTTTTTATTAAAGATTTGAGGATTGGGAGTAGTAAAAATTAACAAATCACATTATTCAGGATGTAAATACACCGTAAAGGGCAAAATTAAATGTGTATTTCACCCAATCCTTTAACATGAAATCTGCTTGAATGTATGGATGTCACTTAGGAAACATAGATTTCCTAAGTGACATCTATATTATTGAGTAGAGTGAATGTTTATTCTAAATAGGGAATTCGAGGGAGGTAGTCATTAGCGAATGGAATGGATAATAGTTTACATATCATGAAATTTGGATGAAATATCATGAAATTGGGAAATGATTGAAAAATAAGTTACCCTCCCACCCAACCCATTTCCTGAGGCTGTACATTCTGGTGGGTTTCACTTAAATATGTATTTCACCCAATCCTTTAACATGAAATCTACTTGAATGTATGGATGTCACTTAGGAAACATAGATACTCTTTTTGTCGAATCGTATTGATTAGTATATATTTAAAAGTACCTTATTAACACCTAACGGTCATCCGATAAACCATTAAAAAGGAACAGACACATAAAAACAAATAACACAATCATTACTTATAAGCCAAATGGGTTGCTCGTGGACACCAAATGCAATGTATGGTAGAGTGTCCTGGTCTTATTGAACATCTAATCAAAGTGGAGGTTATCTGCAAAAGAAATGCCCATTTGTGGTGTAGGTTACTTCCTATAACAAAAAATCTGAGTTGAAATAAATTATTTTCTTCTTATTTTCAAAAAGGAATCAAACAAATCGTTAGAATAGCAGACAATTCTTCTGATCCAAGTCATTTGTTTAGACGGATCTAAACCCTGAATTGTGTGGGCCAGCAGTGCAATATTTTCATTTCATGAAGAACATATTGAGTGTAAATATAACTTATTTAATCATCATGTAACTCAATCTAATAAAATGTCCCTGCTCTGCAGCAAAGTACAGAGCTGAAATGTAGTTGCAATCCAAATCTATACAAATTATAAGACTCAATGCACCAAATTACTGATAAAGGTCCGTTTAAGTTCGTGATCTCTCCTGCAAAATGTAAATAAATTTTCAGTAACTGAATGTAAAGTAAACAGCGTTATTTAAAACAATGAAGCAAAGAGGATTATGGGTCATTTTTGCAGTATAAATTTGAAAGTATTTCTATGAGATGACATAGACAAGAAAATCTAATGAAAAAATCACTGAAAAAGTACATAGACCCGGAATTAGAAGGGAATGCATTAATGGTTATTTGATAGTGAAAAGTCGAATATGTATATACCAAGTGAACATAAATGGTTAAAATGGCTATATCTCATATATTTCCCGACAGTGAAGTCAGACATATATTTTAGATCCATGCATTATCTCAAGAAAAGGTGTGGATAGGCTATTATTTTTTTCCTCGGATAGGTATTCTGGCATATCCGACTCATGGTCATCCAGTATTTATTTTATTATGTACCTCCCTTGGTTACACTGTAATATCATATTCCTACCATTAATTTCCTGTAGATAGATAAACGAAATTGTCAACAAATACTTTACTTTAAAGAATGGGTCTAATAAAACAGTATATTTTTCAAGGATGGGTATTCTGGCATACGAGATGGTTGGAGCTCTCAGCATGTTTTATTCGTTGGGATTTGCTACCCTGTGGAGTTGCTGTTTTTCTAGTTCATTTTATTATCATTACTCGGTTTTTAAAATAAAAAGTAAAACTATTTCCAAAATGTTAAGGTGGCTTAAAATGCTGCTTATTTTTTCGTGAAGCCACTCAGTAAAATTACGATTTATCTGCACCCTGATGTCCAATCAAAATCATTCGAGTATCTATGTGTTCCTGACACGTTTGGGCATCAGGTAATAACAACGTCTACCCAATGTTTGCATGCGAAATTGACGTAATCAATGACTGAAATCGGGAAGACAAAAATATGTGATATTCTTTCAGAATTTTTTATAATAACTATTTACAAAATTGTTCCCGAGACACAAATCCATTTGGGTAAGGTTTGGTTTAAAGTCGAAAAGCCCCAATAAGAGGATACAAACCCAGATAAACCCCGGAAGACTGCAGATTTCATGAAATGATTTACGTTCGTGTAAACAAGTAAAGTACATACAGTACAAATCCCTATATAAAACACTGGCCGACGTGACATGTAATAACATGTTCAAACTGAAATAAAGACAATTTTCAACATAGCATTTGCTTCCGTATTCTGTATGCCCCTCTAGCTGCTAAATAAGGCCATGTGTCTTAAAAAACCATAGCCAAGTAGATTAAAGTTCATCTTGTTCCAACACCATCCTCCTCGTTTCTGGAACGTAGAGATAGTCTTGGAACGAGATAAGATTTTTGTAAATAGTTTTCACAAGCAATTTTGTTTGTGAATCTCAAATTTTTCTTCCCGATTTTGTTCATGAATTACGTCAATTTTGCGTGCAAACTTTGGGTAGACGTTGTTATATCCGGACGCCCAAACGTGTCAGAAACACATATATATACTTGAATGATCTTGATTGCACATCAGGTTGCAGAGAAATAGTAATTTTACTGAGTGGATTCACGAAAAAATAAAAAGGCTTTACGCCTCGATAACCTTGCTACATTACAAGTTGACTGTTAAGTAAGTCGAAGTTGAATTTGAGTTCACTAATGTCCGGGTTGACTTGGGTCCAAGTGATTAGAAATCTAAATACTGTTGGATAACAGCTCAAAATCCCGATGACAATAAAAACAAAAGAGTAGTCAAAGTTGAGAATTCCTAACTCTCTTGAATAATAATATTTCAATTATCTAAAATTACCTGCGTACAAGTTGATTTAAGGTTCGAGTAAACTAAGGTCTGAGTTGACTTGGGTCCAAGGTGATTAGTAATCTATTTAAATACTCTTGTTTACAAAGAGAAGAAAAGAGTAATTAAAGTTAAAGGCCCCATATAAAGTTTAAACCCGTTTTGCTTGTAATCAAAATGTGATATTTGAAACTCTTGTTTTTTAATATCCAAATGTGGTTTTTGAAGGACTTTTTGTTCGAAAAATTCGTGAATTTATTAAAAGCTAAATTTTAGAGCTCACAAATGTTTTAATAAGTGATAATTGAAACCAATGCGTATAAGCATTCAGAAAAATTGAGAAAATAAACTCAGGGTGCAGACATTTTTTGATATGCTATAACATTTAATTGGCATATTAGTTATGACATTTTATTATCCCACCGAACGAAGTTCGAGGGGGATATAGAGAAGCCGTCCGTCCGTTCGTCCGTCCGTCCGTGTGTCCGGGCGATAACTCCAATACCGGTTGACGGATTTGGTTCAAAGTTTATAGGCTTATGCCTTATGAGTGTAGGACCTCTGCTTGAGAAGGAATTTTCAATATGGTCGCTCAGTTCAAAATGGCCGCCATTTTTCGTAAAAAATGTAATCGTTCATAACTCAAATAAAAAATGACGGATTTGGTTCAAATTTTATATGCTGATGCCTAGGGACAAAGGAGTTCCGCACAAAAAGAGATTTTCAAGATGGCTGCTTAATTTCAAAATGGCGGCGATTTTTCGTAAAAATATGTAATCTTTGATAACTCAAATACCAGTGAACGGATTTGGTTCAAATCTAATATGACGATGCTTAGGGACACTGTTGCTATGTTCGACAAAAAAATTCAAGATGGTTGCTTAAAATCAAAATGGCGGCAATTTTTCGTAAAAAACGTAATCTTTGATTACTCAAATACCAGTGAACAGGTTTGGTTGAAATTTAATATAATTATGCCTAGGGACACAGTAGCTCTGTTCAAGAAATAATTTTCAAGATGGCGGCTGAATTTCAAGATGGCGGCCAATTTTCGTAAAAACGTAATCTTTGATAACTCATATACAAGTGAACGAATTTGGTTCAAATTTCATATGATGATGCCTAGTCCACAATGGTATAAACTAACTTTGTGTCAACTTTCATGCTTCTATCACAAAGTGCACAAACATTTCAACATTTACACTAGCTATAATAAGCATAATATGTTTTGTTCGGTGGGATTTGCTACTCCGTGGAGTTGCTGTTTTTCTAGTTATTCATCTAGTACGTCCTTTGTTTAATCTTCACAGTGGTGTTAAAAAGTTAATATGTTTTGCATAAGAACATATTAGATGGGGGCTTTAAGAATTCCTAAGTCTATTGTCCTTCTCTAATTAATACATTGTGGTTTCCGCGATTAAAGCGATGATTCTAGCACCAAGCATCTTCTTACCTTAGAAGATTGACGTCAATCCTGCAGTTTTTCTGATTAAAAATTAATCCATTGGTTACATGGCCGGTCACACACGCGCAAAATGTCTTTGGCTTATTTAACTGCATTTTTATTGTGATACAGTGCAAATATTATATATATGTGTGTAATGCTAGGAGTGTCTCGTGGTAAGATTGTGATTTAAAACGTAGAATAATGGAAATAACGTCACAACGCATGCGCGTAAATCGACATTTCATGGTCCAAAGATTTCACATTACAGTTTACATTAGGGGATTAGAAGAGTTTATTTTTATTTAGGTATGCAAGCAATATCAATATTAGGCCTTCATGCATGTACTCGTGTGTACAATCAGCATGCCCTTCAATATTATATAAACCAGGCTATTCAAGTACTACATAATGTACACTATTTATGTGTGTACTACATGGGAATACGATTCCCTGGGAAACAAAACAAATACTTTTTATATGTTCAAAATGAGCCATTTGATTGATGCATACAGTTAATAGCTCATTAATAACATCTACAAAGTATATCTGATCGTAATTTTGAATTTCAATGCTGAAACTTGCCTGTTTACGATTATACGGGAAATCAACATGGGACGAAGATTGTTCACCTTCCTGACTTACCTCTGAAGCCTGTACCTTGTAATCTCTTTATATAGGTTAGCGAGAGCGCTGCGCCTGCGCAGTTTTAAACTTTGGCGCACACTTTAAAGGGTTCCGATTAGCATCCCGTATAAAAACAATATGGCGGCTCCAGGCGAATCAACTGGATCAGTCCATTTTTAAGAAACAAGGGGAGTTCTGTAAAATCCAGTTTATTGAAATTGTCTTTGAGATAAAGTAATCCGTTTATAATGATTTTGAAAACGTTATCCAAAGAGTGATTGCGTTCAAATAATACATGTACAACAGCCAATATAAATTCTTGTATTACAAACCGGTTTGTCTTGCTTTGTTTCATTTGTAGGATATTTCATATGCCAAGCTGTGTACTATTACGTTATGGGGAAATTTAGATGCCAATTTTTCCTTATTATACACAAATAGAAAGTCCTGAAACTTCACCCATAAATGTGGAATTGATTTGTCAAAATAAAAATCACCCTTTTATAAATGTGTGACGATCTATAATATACTTATGCTATATAACAGTTAGAGGTGTTGACACAACGACCTGGAACCTGTGAACCATTGAGTATTATTCCGGGATCGGGCCTTTTATACTAAACGGTGAGCAACACCAGAAACGAGCGTTCGATTTGCTAAACGATATGCGTCACCCTTTAATAACTTTTTAGCAAATCATTTATTTTCTTAGGATTCAACGGATCCTTGTTAGACCCAACGAAGTGTTCATTTTGATATATAAAACAGCAAATTCTATCCACAGATCTTTCGGCCTTTTAATGATTTAATTTTCGGGATATTTTGCTAAAATCCCCAATTGGCTGAATTATAAACTTTAAAAAAACTCAAATCCTCTTAATTTCATATCATTCGTTAAGTGATCTAAACGACTGCAATCGCTTAGGATTCAACGGATTCTAAGAGATCAAACCTAATACAATATGTTGACAACCCCCGTTTCAATATTTGCCGCATAATCTTTCGGCCTGTTAGGTCAATATTTTGATTTTCGATCATTAATGACGTACTTGGATCCGAGATTTATTGTTCCAGGATTCACGACGCTATTTTCATTATTCTACGCCATGATGAAAGCAAAGAAAAGAACTAAAATCGTTTGTCAATATTCCGTTACAATGCTTATTTTGTAATCTGAAAAATAATTGGAAGGCATCCATGATGTAGATTTGAGCCCAAGAAGGGGATTGCTCTTTCAAAATTATCATTAGAAAGAACATTATCAGGAATATGTTATAATTGTTGGAATTTTGGGAAAAAAGGCGTGACATCCGATGGTATTGTACCAGTTATTTGTCTTACACTTTTTATGAAAAATGGTGCCCAATAAGCAGTCATGTAATGTTTGAAACTTCTTATTGAGCAAGGTCATATTCCCATAAGACACGAGTTTGTAAAACTTTGACAAAATTCCGATGACCAGTATTTGAGTTAGCAACAATAACTTGTTTTCATGAACAATGCTGCCCAATTTGAAATAAGTGGTCAAAAAAAATTCCTTTACTCGGAGCACTATTACTGCATATTATTTCTCTGAGGCTGCAAAAATAAAATTGGTCAAACTAGAAATATGCTTAACTTTTCTCTCTATAATTTTAATACGCTGTACTAGTGACATATTATATAAAAATCAGTACTACAGCAAATACTTAATTGATGTTATAGATAGTTAATATAATACCCCACTCAAATATTATTCTTGTATGGTAAAAATGCTCAGAATCCTTCGTCCACAAACCATACGACCAAGGCATATATGAGATTGATGCCGATTTCACTCATCTTTCAGAAAAAAATATAACTAACAAGTGGCCCTTTCACTTCCCAAAATGGTTGAAGACTCGCCTAGTAAATAAGCACCCAAAATTAAGTTCACTTTTACACCATCTTTACCAGCAATTCTTTTCTGGTCGGATTGATATTGAGTTGAAAAAGAGTAGATACTCCAAGGAGACTCTACTTAAATACCTGCAAAGAGGATTACAAAAGTCCACACCTCTATTTGAAGGGCTTTTAAGGTCATATCTGAAAATAATTGCTGCTGTAACATGGCCAAGGGAGGACACATCGACTAGTAATGTGGTGTAAAATTGAACTTTATTTTGACCAAATACTAAATGTTAAAAGGGGCTGTACCCTTTTCCAATTTGAGAGTTGAACCATGATACAATTCAATGTAACTTTGGATAAGCTTGAAAATGATATATGACACATACTATGACGACGCTGGTGTATGTCTGTCGAAGGGGGGTATACCTTCGGGACACCCTGTATGTGAACTGTAAATTTTAATGTGTTTGGAACTACTTTGAATTTAAAAAATAAACAGTCAAAGGACCACATTGAAACAGTATATGTAAAAATAGAAACATCTATACATGTCCTAACTTTTTGTATATTTTAGTTTGTGTTGTAGTTTCGCTATCATATCTGTGACCTCTTATATTTTGATGCTTCTCTGCCATGTTATTTTCGGAAAAATAAACATGGCTGAAACTCCCTAAATTACAAAAAGCCACAGCTTTACTGCACATTATACATAACTATCTGAAATATACAAAACAAGTACATGTTTCTATTTTTTATAAACTGTTGCAATATAGTCATTTGATTACTTATTTTTTAAAATTCAAAGTAGTTCCAAAAAATTAAAATGTTACTGTATTTTATTTTTAGGAATATACAGTTGTAACAAAGAAGCATTCTTTTTTATTGTTCTTCAAGAATTGACACTTGGCAAGCTATCCAAAACCAGTGGATAATAGTACCATATTCGATAGTTGAATGTTAAACACAAAATAAATCAGATTTTAAACTCAGTTACATGCATTGCACCGAATCTGAACTAATCGTACTATTTTCAATAGTTGAATGTTAAGCACAAAAGAAATCAGATTTTAAACTCTGTTACATGCATTGTACCGAATCTGAACTAATCGTACTATTTTCAATAGTTGAATGTTAAGCACAAAAGAAATCAGATTTTAAACTCTGTTACATGCATTGTACTAAAGCTAAACTTATCATACCACATTCAATAGTTGAATGTTAAACACAAAAGAAACCAGATTTTAAACTCTGTTACATGCACTGCACTAAAGCTGAACTAATCATACGTACATATTCAATAGTTGAATGATGAACACAAAAGAAATCAGATTTTAAGCTATGTGTCATGCATTGCACTAAAGCTGAACTTATCATACCACATTCAATAGTTGAATGTTAAACACAAAAGAAACCAGATTTTAAACTCTCTTACATGCATTGCGCTAAAGCTGAATTTATCATACCGTATTTAATAGTTGAATGTTAAACACAAAATAAATCAGATTTCAAACTCTGTTACATGCATTTCACTAAAGCTGAACTAATTATACCATATTCAATAGTTGAATGGTGAACACAAAAGAAATCAGATTTTAAACTCTGTTACATGCATTTCACTGACGATGAACTAATCCATCATATTCAATAGTTGAATGGTGAACACAAAAGAAATCCGATTTTAAGCTATGTTACATGCATTGTACTGAAGCTGAACTTATCATACCACATTCAATAGTTGAATGTTAAACACAAAAAAAAGAAACCAGATTTTAAACTCTGTTACATGCATTGCACTAAAGCTGAACTTATCATACCACATTCAATAGTTGAATGTTAAACACAAAAGAAACCAGATTTTAAACTCTGTTACATGTTTTGCACTAAAGCTGAACTTATCATACCACATTCAATAGTTGAATGTTAAACACAAAAGAAAGCAGATTTTAAACTCTCTTACATGCATTGCGCTAAAGCTGAACTTATCATACCATATTCAATAGTTGAATGTTAAACACAAAAGAAATCAGATTTCAAACTCTGTTACATGCATATGACTAATGCTGAACTAATCATACCATATTCAATAGTTGAATGGTGAACACAAAAGAAATCAGTTTTTAAACTCTGTTACATACATTGCACTGACGCTGAACTAATCCATCATATTCAATAGTTGAAAAGTAAACACAAAAGATATCAGATTTTAATCTATGTTACATGCATTGTACTGAAGCAGAACTTATCACATCAACTCACATTTTAATACACTAACCTCAAGTCAGTGTGGGGTTTAGTTAGATAAACCATTTGCACTGGATCTGAGGGGAACTAATAGCCTTGGGCCAAGCCAGTCCAAGGGCGAACGTAATAAGTACCCGGAACGTTCGCAAAATGGTGTTCGGCATACACCATTGTCCAATGAAGACCAAACAAAGCCCCGAATGTCGTGTCGTTTCTCGTTTCGCCCCGAGTATTAAATGAGCCCTTGGTCAGTCGGCTATTATTTCTCCTAAAACCCAGTACTCCTAAATGGACTGAATATACCTAACTGAAACTTTCTTAGTTTCCTGAAAGGACCGCTAGTTGTTTGTAGAATGAATAGGGGGAGTTTTTTCATGCATTTCGCTTGTATTTTTCATTTAAAAACATCAATAAACTGTAAAACAATTTATTGACTATACGATTGCACGATATAACTCCAAAA